AAAGGCGCATCGCGGCAAGACCCGACAAACATATGTGCCAATCTTCACAATCAAATTATTATTGTTAAAATCGCAGATACAATGTGGCACCAAATCAACGAAACGACGCATTCAGCAAATTTGAATTTGAGTCACGCGTGGAAAACCGAAAAAATAAAACGTAGCAACTTTTGAATTTTTTGCTCAACGGTTTTTTAAAGGCGCATCGGTTCACAAAAACGAGAAAACATGGGCATTTCGAAGCATCGCTTGAATGAAATAAAATCAAGGTCTTCTTCCTACCAAATAAACTAGTAAAGCCGGTCGAATTCTAACAAAAAAAAAAGCGGGGACGTCGACCGAATGAAGAAGAAGAAGAAGAAGGGGGGGGGTTGGTTGTGAGCAATTTCTTGAGAAAATCACACGGGTGCGCGTCGGCGACAAAAGGTCAACGATGGCGGAGGGGGTGGGGAATAAACTGGAAGTGAGCTCAAATTTCAATGAAATCGATTTAAGGCGAATGATCGACGAAAAACAAGAAAAAAAACGCGGACCATTATTGTAAATAATAGAGTGGGTCAGACGACACCAAAAATTGGGCCCAAAAACAAAAGATGAGAGGCAGAAAATGAAGCTCACCTTTGATCACTTATCTAATGAATATAAATGAGTTCTGCTGTTGCGCAAACACTCGGAATTTCTAATTTCGGTCGGCGCAACACACAGAAGACAAAAAAAATAGATTCGTTCGTGAATTCTCGCATCAAATACAATTGTCAATTATTTAGGCACACCAAAAAAAACTTCCTCAATTTTTCACCTGCGACTGGTTATGAATAATTTTTTATCAACCAATTATTAATCCGGTGATTTTTGAGGAGAAAAAATCCGGAAATTAATTATTCTATTCAACAACTTCTGATCTACTAACGGCAAATGCGCTCCATTGAACTTCAAGTTTTAAGTGTTCAATTATCCAGCTCGGTACTCCTATTTAATTCAAGAATAAAATTATTTGTGATCTACTATCCAAGAGAAAACGCGCTCCATTAGACTTTCTTGAAACGAATGCCCACGCGCTTTAAAAATGCGCGATTTGACCTACAGTAATCTACAAATTAAAAAGCCGCCGAATAGAGCAGATTTTGCTACATAGAAATGCTGTAATGGCTATTGATCTACTATATGATGGGAAACGCGCTCCATTGAGAACTCGGCGAAATTTGAGACATTCTCCAATAAATTCTACCATACATTTTTTTGGAACTTTTCAACTAGCGCGATGTGGACGAGCCAGAGCTTCGAATTTCGCGAGGATTCTATTTCATTGGGCCTCAAAAAAAAACTGACAAGGCGAAAAAAGAAAACGACGAGAACTCATCGCGATGCTCCATTACACATGGATTATGATAATGAGTGACATTTCGGTCTTTCTTCAACTCGTGAAAATACACACTCAAAAACAAAGTATTAGCTTTTGTGTTGGCTTAAGCCCCCCCCTTTTCACGGATAAGACGGCAATATTAGGCAATCGAAAATAAGGCTTCCAAATCATTTGGTAACTTCCTCAAAGCGTTTCTCCCACAAATCCGATGCATTTAATACTCAGCCAACGGCAAAAATTTGCGGATAAACCAAAAAAATTCGAAAAAAAAAAACTGTTTTTTCTCAAACTACAAGACAATTTCAAAATGCTGAAATATAGCGTCAAGAGCATTTCGTGTTGAGACCGAAAGATTTGAGATGAGAATTTTCAAAACTTATGGATTGGTTTACAAAAAAAATTTGGTGTTTTTCGCAAATTTTCTAGCGTTTTTTTTTAAAGATTTTTTCAAAATCTCATTAATTAATGAAGTAAATTAATTATTGAAGTAAAAATCAACATCAAATATTTTTAAAACGTCAGTGAAACCGATAATCAACTGGACATATTTTAAAAAATTTTTCAGTTTGAAATAATCCGGATTTTTTTACGTGATGAGCCCTCTCATTTATATATATATATATATAATCCCTTGATTTTTTTTTCGTTCTCATCGTTAAAGGCCTTTACAATTTGTCAATGCTCTAGGCACGCTGAAAGCGTTTTCTAGAAGAATCCGACCGCAGCAGGAAAAAAAGAAACCAAAAGTTCCGCACGCTTCGATTAACTTTCTAGATGTCGGTCTTGCTGAAAACATTTCGTGACGAGACCCGATTCAAACAAGCATAAGAAATGTGATAACTCGCATTTTTTTTTCTTCGGCTAAGAACGTTCAACCAACGGAATTTTCTCGAAGAACACGGGTGCGCAATAGGAAAAAAACACAAACTTTGTAAATGCTGAATTAATGCGACTAATCCGCTTCTCATTGATTTATAATACGCATTATTCAAAAGGCGAATGCATTCGAACCTCGCGATTCTCTCAGCCAATTCATTTCGCAAATTTCTTTTGCCGCGCGTGTGAAACTCGACGAATTATGGCGCACTCTAATGCTCAAATTTGTTGCAATATGACTTAAAAATTTCAAAATACACCTAAAATTTGGCTTTCTTTTCTATTAGAAGTCGAATTTTTGCGCAATGGAACGTCGAGAAAACACCTTAAGGATGTTTCGGGCCTTCAGGTTTTTTATATTTTCAATGAAACAATGCAATTTTTGAATTTGACAAAATAAAATTATCAAACCCGTTTATAATTTTGATATTATTATCGCAAATTTCGCATTTTTGTTCATGTGCCTTTAGAAATATATAAATAAATTCAAAAATGATTCGATGGTCCTCAAATTTTATGTCAAAATTCACCTTTGCTGATATTTAACTAGCAAAACTTTTAAAATAGTCTAAATCTATTTTATAACATTTATTTGAATTTTTCTTTTCAGTTAAAATGTCAATTTTCAAAAAATAATCAAAAATCACTTCAAATCCAGTAAAAATCACGCCGGACCAAATCCTAATTCCCAAAAAAAAAAATGGCGCACAAACGATTTTTGATTCAAGAGAGTGTTTTTCTTCGAAGGAATCGGCTCGTTTGGAAGTTTTCAGTGTCTCGACGGTCCTCTCACAATGAAAACGGAAATCGGGATGGCGACGAATTTTTGCTATTCAGAAAACGAAAGCGATTTTCGAACGATAACAAAAAAAATGCAAAAAAAAAACATTTTTTGGAGGGGCGGGGCGGAAACTCGTAATTTCCATCAAAATTATTCGATATTTCGGGAATTTGTGGAAAAAAACACGTTTTGAAACATTAAGTCTGACGTACTTCCGGTTCGGTTTGATTTCAAAAATAAATTTTAAAAAATTAGAATTTGTGCAAACGAATTTGTCAAAATTCGTTGATTAGGTGATAAAAAATTCAAGGTTCAATCGAAGAATGTAGGAAGAAAATAGGCTATTTTGAAGAAACTCCGACTGGGATCAAGAAATTTGCAAAGATACTTCAAATTGTTTTAAAAACCAAAATTCAAGCAATTTATTTTCGTCTAAATTGTTCAGTGCCAAGTTTTTTTGCAGCCAATTCTTTTTTTATATCCATCATTAATGATTCTGTTTTTCACGAGGAGAGAATAATTAAATTTTCACCAAAGCGAATTTATTTTTAATTTTTCAATGAAAAACGAAAACTCACCCCTTCAAACTTTGTAAACTTCGACATTCCCGTCAGGACCATTGCTTGAAATCTGAAATTGAATTGAATGAAAAAAAAGAAAAATGGAAGAATAGTAAAAAAGAAAATGGAAAAATATACAGGCATCATTATTATGCTAATAAACCATGGAAATACGTGTATGCAATTTTTTTTTGAATAATTTCCCACGAATTTCTGTGGATGATTTCAAGACAATCGAACAGTCCGAGAACGTTTTCAGCAATTTCAGAATGATTTTCGTGGAATTTTTGAGGATAATTGCGAATTTTTTGTATAAATTCTGCGAAAAATTTGAAAAGGATGTCCAAATTTTGTCATCACTAGCCTCTTTTAGGATTTTCAGAAATAGGTTTTTTTTAAATAACTTTATCAATTTTTCGAGATTTATAGCATATTCTGATCAAAACTTGATTAATAACATTGAAAATGTGAATAAAAAATTTTTTAACCTGCCAAAACCAGAATTAGACTAAAAAAAAAAGTAAATTTCTTTTCAAAAAAAAACTTATTGATTGATTTTTGATAAATCAGATTTTTGATTATTGAACTTTTGAACTCAGCAATTAATCTCTGGATCGCATTTAACCGATCAAATCAATTAAAAACAGTTTTGCTGTGGAAAACCGGTGGATAATTACGAATTGAAACAAAAATAGTGCAAAATGCGGGTGTCGCGGATGGTTGAACTACATAGTAGTTGAGCGCTCAACAAACAATAGTTTTCGCAAATAAAAAGTTGCGAGGGGGATTTTGTTCGAAAATGTTGATTGGTAATTTCAATTTTTTAGAGCATTGAACGGTTTTAACAAACCATGACGATATTTTCGATTTTTGTGGAGATTAAACCTTTAAATATCTAATTTCCTTTACCAATCTTCACGATTATTACAAATTTTGATGTACATGTGGTTATTTTAAAAATGTTTCCTTAATTCTCACAACATCCTATTGAATAAAACACTTCATTCAAATTCACGCGGCCTAGAAAATAATATGGCCGAAAACTTTGGATCAGTCACATTTTCGGCCAAGTAAATCGCGTATTTTTGGATACGCTTATTTTGATTTTTTTATCTTTGAATTTCCGTTAGAAAAATATTATTCAAAAAAATTGTATCCGATTTTTTCTTAATTAATTCTTATATTTCTTTTTAATAATAAATGGTGCAAGATTGTTATTGAAATGATAATTTTGAAGTTTAAGCGGATTTGATTTAAAAATATCTTTAAAACGAAAAAATATTGAAAAACAAAAAATACTGTCGTAAATTATAATGCAAGTACGTATTCAATAAAAGTCGGTGGTTGCACGAAACCTACAGTATCACACAAATTTTTTATTTTTTATAAAAACAATTTTGGAATTTCATTTTTCAGACCCATGCCAGTGGGCATTCTAGTTTGCCCAATCTGTAAAACAACATCCCCGTCAAAATCAAAGTTAAATCGTCATTTAGACACCCATTCGGTAAGAATAACAATAAAACAGCAAAAAAGAGTGAACAATTTTTTCAGGTAATATGCGGATTATCCTGTTTTCTATGCAACCGCCTCATTCGTCATGACAATAATCTTGTTGCACATTGGAAGCAAAATTGCGATGGTGTTCGATCGATTTTCTCAGAAGCTGAGTTGAAAGTAAATTTGCGAAAGAATTTCGAATTTCAAAAAATTCATTTTCAGTTAATGCCCAGTTGCGAAGTGAAAGAAGCAATTTATGAATATATAATAACTCTTGAAGACACAATTGCGAAATACGCGCCGACGTGCAGCGATATAACCACCGAATTCAGCGATATGGCCGCGTTCTGGAAGATCCCATCAACCTGCTCGTTCTGCAATTTAACCTTGTCGCCATCAACAATCGGCCATCATTACGATGTCCACAATCAACTGAAATCCTTAGAATCTCCATTATCAAACCTTCGAGCCCCTTACGTCTGCGACATCTGCGGATTATGCTTCAGGAAGAGGACATTCCTTTTCAAACATTGGAGAGAAACCTGCTCGGAAGTTTTGGTATCAATTTTATGCGCGATATTCAGAATACGATTTTTTCAAGGCTCAAGTGCCGAATGAAGGGATATCTCTGAATGACGACGAGCTGGTGCGATTCGTCGAGAAGATTCTGGAGAAAAGCGTTGTCGATCCGAATGGTCAGAATTACGATGCTTCTAAAAAGGCGCCCGAAAGATGCTTGAAAAATTTGGAGGAAGAAGACGAAAATCTAGATTTGCCGTCATGCTCGGTAAAATTTATTGCGAGAAATTTGCTGATTCCATTTTTTTTCCAGTACGCTGACGATTTTTCGCCTTCAATAATGGCTCCATTAAGAGTGAACAAGGAGAAATGGCTGCCAAGTACTGGCTATTTTTCCTGTAGCCAGTGTCACAGGTATTTTTTTAAATTTTACCAAAGAACTACTTTTGAAATTTTTTTAATCGCGGAAAATTGAAAAAAAGGCATGTATCATTCATTTTTCGGGTGTTTTCCTCACAAAGGAACAATAAAGATAAAACTTTAAGAGATATAAAGAATTCAAAAAAAAAGTATTGTATGTTTTTTTCCGTTTATTGCTGAGAAAATTTTAATGCAGAACAAAATTACAAAGAATTTGATTCATTTTTATCTGTATTGTCCCCTTAAGGGAATCGTTCCATTAATCAACGAAAATAGAGCTAGAAATTTTCAGAAAATTCTCGAATAGTGGAAGACTTGAGCGCCATTTAAGTGTGTTTCATGAAGAATGGAAAGCGCAGGAAAAATGCGAATTGTGTGGAGTAATGTAAGTGAATTTCTGTTAAGGAGGAGGTTGTGGGGTCCATCTTAAAGTATTGATAATTGTTACATTCAGATTCTTTAGAAAATACGTAAAAGTTGAGGATCATATAGGGGGGAGATTATCGAAAATTGTTTTTTTTTGGACGAACTGCAGAAAATGTCAATTTTTTCTTCAGGATTCGCAAAAGAAGCTCGTTGATCTTGCATCTCCGTCGAAATTGCCAAGTGATGCGTGCCGAAATTCGCGACGACAACCAACGAAAAATGATGAGCGCCACCGATCTTATGCTTCAGGTCGAGCTCGTCAAAGACACGTGGAAGCAATTATTCAAATATAGACGCGAGAAGCTGATCAATCAGATTCGAGTATCATTGGTAAGTTGAACGAAGAATCGGCACTTCATGAATTTATGGATTATTCAGAATCACGTGCCGACGATTCCATCAAATAATTGCGTGCAACCGCCGTTTTCTGCCAAAGAGCTCAAAAATTCGACATTAATAATTCCGAAGTATCGAAATGTGACTGAATCGCTTGAATGCCCGTATTGCAGTAAGAATTTAGCGGAAGTACTGTCAATTTTGTTCATTTTTGAGAAATTCGCTTCAAGACCAGCGCTATCGTATCGCAGCATGTCACTATGGCCCATAAGATCAACACGCAAGTTGTGGATGTCCTCGACAAACCTCAAACAGTGAGACAATGCATTTCAAGGAATTTTAGACGAATTTGAATTGCAGAGGGTTTCTGTGAATCCGATGAAAGAGAAGGAGATTGTGTTTTATGATTTGAACGGAGTAATGCATAAAAGCTGTAAGCGATTATTTTGCAAAAATTTTCTGGAAACTCGAGTTTTAGCTCGACCTTTGACTAGTGAGCCGCAGCTTCTCGAAGCTCTCAACAAACAGCCGACGGGTTTGAAGCATGGAGCGAGAGTAAAGCAGAAAAGAGTAACAATTCCTCTTTTTTTGTAATAGTTTTGGAGTAATTTAATTTTAGCATGGAATTGGTATTCAAACGTTTGTAATCTCTTTGATACAAGGCGAATTCCCGGTGTATGTGATTCTGAGCGAAGAGGAATGGGAATCTTCAAAGGACAGATTTGGCGCTGTTCAGTTTTTCGAATCCAGGCCCAAAATTATGGAAGGTAATTTGAGAAGCTTTTGGAACAATGCACATTCCTTAAATGAATATTGCAGATATGCCTCAATTGGTTAGAGAGGAATCCTAAAATTTCGTCGGCTTCTACGTGATTTAATTGTAATATTTCTTTTCCATGTATAATTGTATCCATGTAATAAACGTTGTCTTCGTTCCGTTGTTGTTTAATGAAAAGGAAAACTTTCGATTTCAACGCCTCTCGACGCCGATCGTGATCATGCGAGCGGTCGGTCGATGTGTTGTTTGCAAAACGAGGCAATCGAAACACTTGCAAAACAGAAACGAGAGCGACGAGAAGAGGGTTTTGGGGCGCATTCGAATTGCCGCCCGCCGCAGCCACGCCCAGCCTGCACATCAAAGTGTGGCCGAAGAGGGTTTTGACGTCACAGCACGGCAAAGCGTATATATACTCAGTCGATCGTCGCAGTCGCAGCCAGATCGGTGAGTCGCTTTTGTGCTTCTTCAGTGTTGTTCAAAACGGGAAACGCGAAAGTTTTTGGCGATAATCGCTCGAAAATAATTAGCAACGACAATGATTATAATGAAAACGGTAATCAATAAAATGATTTTTGCAATTTCGTCGTGTTAAAAACCGCACGTTTTATTGTGAAAAGTCGAAAAGCAAACAATTTTTGTGTGTTTGCGAACAATACTTGAATATTCTTTTCATTCTTGTTGGAATTTTGCCTAAAAAATTGGGAAATAGTGGCGCACATCTGAAAATAGTGCTACAGTGTCATGATGTTCCGCACGAGGATCAACAAAAATAAATCAATGCGCCTTTGAGCGCGTGTTTTTCGAATTGTTTGTTATTTTATTTTCGCTCTCAATTTTCAATATTCATCGCTTAACATTGTTGAAGAAATTTGCAAAATACAAAAGTTAAGAAGATTTTTAGACCGTTCGCGAATAGAATGCGGGAAAAAGTAAAATAATGTGGCAGAAACCGGTTTTTCATTATTCTGCCGACGAGATGAAAATAAAATGGAGCGATTCCGTTATGAGAAAAAAAATAATACAGAAATGTGTGAGAAAACATAAAAACCAATTTTTCGGAATTGCTTTTTTCATTTTTTTTAAATGTTTTTCTGCAACAGGTTCGCTCTATTATGAATTTCTGACGAAATTCGAAAGAAAGTTCACTGCTTTTTTGGTTTGGATTCGACATGTTCACGAAATTTCTGCTAGCGAAAAGAAAAAAAAACAATCAATTTTCGGCGGCGTTATTTGATCCACGTCCACGTTTCCCACAATACAATCATCAAATTGGGGATTAATGAATAACTTTTTATTAATGTTTTCCTCTTCTATCTGGGATTAATCAATTTTCGTCATCTCCCAACACATATTAATTTCACTTCTATTTTGATGTTATTAAGCGGGCACACAATCAAACATTTCTATTACTTTTTTCAATTACTTCTATTCGAGGCGACAAATTTTCAGAAACATGTCGATTAACAACACCATTAGCGACGTGTATCGATCAGTGATAAGTGATGTTATCACACAGATGAAGGAAGCATTCCTTGATGAGAACGTTGATGTCGAAATACTTTCACAATTGAAGAAGGTAATTTTTTGGAAGACGTCTAGATTTTTTAATATTAATTATTTTTTTTCTTGATAAAATTCCAACCCGAATTTTTAGGAATGGGAAGACAAGGTGAATTCAAGCGGATGCGTGAGCCTTGATGCTGTTGCTCCGGCTCCGCCGCCTCAGCGCACCGCCAATGTTGTGCCGGCGCCTATGCGTCCACAAATGAATCGTCTTCCTATGCAACAACAACAGCAACAACAACAGCAGCAGCAGCAGATAAGAGCTCAGCCGAGACAGGTTTTCTATTTGACTGGAATTAATCATTCAAAACAATTACTTGCAGATGATGTTCACCAATCAAGGTCAGGATCAATCTATTCGTGCACAGTACACTCAGCAAACCGCTCAACCGCAACAAATGACAATTCAGGTGAGATTTTTTTGCTGGAAGTTCTTCTATCAATCCGATGAGTTTGCAGCAAACAATTCAACCGCAAATTGGTCAGCTTCAAGTATTGCCTAATGGGCAGCACATTATAATGAATCCCCAACAGTTGCAACAACAATTCCAGCAAGGACAAGTCGTTGTTATGCAACAGCCGAATGGAGGTAGGCGATTTTCGTATGCAATTGCCGACCATTTTATTATGGATTTTCAGGACCCCATATCCAGATGACGGTTGGGCCCAATGGCATCTTCCAATCGCAGAGAATCGTCACGCAATCGCAACTTTCTCATATCAATCAGATGGATGGAAATGGGGATGTTGAGGAGGAGGCGAGCTCGAGCTCGTCGTCGAAAAAAAGCAAACGCAAGAATCGTGGCAAAGGCGCGACACGTAAGTGATTTTTTAATGTTTATTTATTTTTATTTTATCGACAACACAATTAGTGAGCAATTACAGGAGAGGAGGCCGTGCAGGTACTTGGAGCGATTCTAAATGGAGTTCAATTGGATGGTGGTGGCGGAATGTCAGACTCGTCTAGTGAAGACGAGCCCGAAGAGGAGGACGATCCATTGAGACGAATTGCGGATCGCATTGGAGATGGGGATGTCGACGATGGAGATCAGATTGCTGAAGAGGATCCCCTCAATTCTGAAGACGATCAGTCTGATGATGAGGATCTTACTATGCTTTTCGACGCGGAGAATATTGTGATGTGCCAGTTCGAGAAGGTAAATCCTTAAAATTGTAGAAGTGGGAGAAAATTCTTTAAAACAATTTAGTTTTTTTTAATTCAAATTACATTTGGCGACGGAGAAGGGGGTTGAATTTTTCTTCAAATACTATAACTATAGAATCTTTGAATTAAGAAAAGTTGATTGTTAAGGTGAATCGCGCTCGCACCAAATGGAAGTTCCAGCTCAAGGACGGAATAATGCACATTGACAAAAAGGACTATTGTTTCCAAAAGTGCACCGGTGAAGCTGAATGGTAAATCGGTTAATCAACACAATGTGCAATCTGATTCAATCCTAATCTTCTAATCTTCTTCCCTTTTTTTCTTGCAGTTCCGATCCAAATAGTAACCATTTGTCTCTAGTATGATTGAATATGGGTGCCTTTTCCTATTATTCTTGGCTCTTGTGATATGTCTTCCAGATATTCCACCCCATTTCTTCTCCCCCGATATTCTTCTTCTATTTTTATAGACTAATTTGTGCCCTTAAAATGGTTTTACAAAATACACATTTTTTTCAATGCAAAATATGGAATAGCTCCAGTAATTAAATTACGAGGAAATTCAGCCATGAGACATATTGTTGCCTTACCTCCTTTTTTTTCAAATTAACAGTATTAATTTCAAATGTTTTAATTTTTTATTCATTCGTAATTTAATTATTTTAGCCATTGTATTTTTTTTTGAATTTCTGTATTGTGAAAAGTGTGTATTTTCAAAGGGCCATGAATAGGTTCATTACGTCTGTGTTTTTTATATTCGGTGAAAACCGCCCGTTTCATTTCGATTCTTACTTCTTCGTATTCGTATTGGATTCTTTCTTTCTTTCTTTTTTTGATGACTGTGTTATCGGTTTAATAAATATAAATCCAAAAAATAGCGATTATTGAGCTTCATCTATTGTATATTAGATTTTCAGTACCTTTTGGATCGACAATTTTTCTCGCCTTTCAATTTTGTTTCATTTGCGTAGATGGCGTTGGAGGTTCAGCGAAAAGACGACGACCTTCGAATTGCGTTGGAAAACGGCGCGAGAATGGTCTCGACGCGAAATGTCGACAATTTCGGGCGGATTGTCATCGTGTTGACAAAGTCCTCTCATCAAAATTGAAAAAAAATGTTTCATTTTTTGTTTTTAGACATCTGAAATTCGAGCGATTCGTGATATCGCCGAAATCGCGTTGGCGCAAAGCGTTGCGCGTCTATCAGACGCCGTACATTGTGGAACTCGAAAAGGATCATCCCGATTTTGAGGAAACGGTCGAGATTCAAGTGATTTTTTTAATAAAATAAAATACATAAATAACATAGTCTATGTATATTGCCGATGGACGAATTTAGAGAGGCTTTGCCTATTATTCAAATTTTTTTTTACTTTTATAATCATTTTCGATTTGATCTAGTTCGAAATGCATTGAAAATTACAGTAGATATCAAAGGCGCATGCAAAAATTAGTGGTTTTCGCGCTAAAGCTAACGCCTTTCTCTGGTAACTCAAAACCAATCGTATCCGACAAAATTCGACCCCGGAATCAACCTTATCCGATTGGTAATTTTTCGAATCCATTTTGTTTTAATATTTCAATTCGAATCGGATTCGACAAAAAACCAATCTTATCCGTAGAATTACCAATCGGATACGAAAATACCCAAAAAACCAAACGGATACGACAATTTTACAATCTTATCCGTAAAATTACCAATCGGATAAAGTTAATTTCGGAGCCGAATTTTGTCGGATACGATTGGTTTTGAGTTACCAGAGAAAGGCGTTAGCTTTAGCGCGAAAACCACTATTTTTTTCCGTCTTCGACAATATTTATATAGATTAAAAAAGAAATCGGTCGCCACAAGACCCAACTCATTTCGCTCGTTATGTGTCTTCAATCAAATTTGATTTTTAAAGCAATTTGATGATGAGCTTTTCCAAATTTTGGATTAAAGGCGCACCGAGTTTTTGCTTTTCATCGATTCTCTGGTGGCCGATTTATTTTTTCAAAAGCAGCCTTTATTGTTGTGAGGGTCTCACATGGAATATAAAATCGTGATCGATTATTTCAAATCGTATTTTCGTTCGTCTCGAGACGTTTTAGCATTTGAATTGCGTTTGTGGGTGGTCTCGTATGAAGACTCTTAATTTTTTTTTGCGCCACTGCGAAAAATTGGCTGAATTCCAAAAAATAATTCGGTCTTGGCGCAATAGGTCGATGCATAAAAATAGATTAAAGGCGCACTAAGACCTCCGTTCAAATATTTTTTTGCATTAACCAATTTTCCGCAGTCGCTTGAAATTAAAAAAAACGCACTCCGAGGTGCATTTTGGTTCAAAATCGAAGAAATTGAATTAAATGATTCATTCTGGTCTTCATCGCCCAAATTATTCACCCAAATGGTGTTCCTCGAGAGATTAATCACCCAAAAGCCCAAATTATTCACCCAAATGGTGTCTGTCCTCTGTGCGCCCTCCTAAAATAGGGAAATCAATATTGTCTGTTCAGATGAACCCGAAAAAGGTGATCGCGTTGCCATTCGACGAGTCGACGCCGTCGATGAGCTCAACGCAAAAGGCGAAAGTGCGTCGCATTCGCACCGCTGCTCATTTATTGAATGACGTTGAAACGTATTGTTGTCGGGTGAGCAAAAATGCATTGAAAAAGAAATTCAAAAACGCCATGTTTTTTAGACATGCTTTCGGAAATTCGCGAGAAAATGGAATCTCGATCGTCACGAGACCACATGCACCCATCATTCGGTCAATTATCGATGTCCGATTTGTATGAAAATCTATCACAAGCCGTCGTATTTTGCGGTAAATCGACATCATTTTTCATCGAGAATTCGATTCTGCGATTTTCAAGGCGCATGTCAAATCGCACAAGGAGCATGATGAGGGAAGATCGTTAGGGCTCAGCATCGAAGGTGATTATGCGAATAAAATGAAGTTGGACGAATGGTCCCGTCGCGGAAAAAAACCTTCCGAAACCATTAGTTTTCAAAAATGTTCGGTGAAATTCCCGAAAATGTTGGTCTCGAATTCAGACCCACAGTGTTACTGTAGTGTCGATTTGATATTTTAAGAACCCATTTTTTGTTATGGTCTCGACACATTTGTCTGGATACGGTAGTTCACAATACCGTGGCGGTTTCTCATAATTTAAGCTAATTATTCCCACGCTAAATTGACCTAATTACAGATATGGATCGTGATGATTCGTCTTTAAAGAAATGTGCGATTCCATATGAATTTGGAGCAATTATTTGATGGAATTGAGCGATTTCGGTTTGCCACGTGGATGCCTTATTCGGAAGAAGGAATCCACGAGATGTTCGCAATTGGCTTTTATTCTCCTCATTTTTTCCTCGTGTTGCAAATAAATTCTTTTCGAAAAGCTTGTCTCAATTTCTTCTCATGTTTCAGTCGAGTTTGAACTTGAATTATGAGCGATGCGTGGCCCTATTGGGAATTTCAGGTTGCCAAGCACGTCGCCTAGTGACATACAAAGGAATTTTTGGGGAGGTCGCGGGAAAAAAAATTCCGCCAATTTTTTTTGCCACCCAACGCCCTCGAAAATATGGGCATTTGGCAATTTTTTATCGTGTTTTTTCGATTTGTCACCGACACGAGGACGCAGTGCGTTTCAGATGAGCCGCGTAAGGCTTCCATCGTAATCATCATACTAATTCGGATTATTATAGCGATATCATTGAGACCATTGCATCAATATCGAATTGGAACCGATGGGAATCGTAAGTGATTTTTGTTCATGATTAATTTTTAAAAAATCTCGCATAGCCATTTATGGGCATCTTCTTGTCAATGGCAACGCGCAATTCAAATATGGCGATGAGAGCGCTCAACCGATCTATGATCTAGTGAGCTTCTTCTTCTTCGAGGATTCCAAATCAATTTTTTTGTCAGGATTTCATGGGCATCTCGGGCGCCGATGCGAATTGCCCGATCGAATGTGTCACCAAAGTTTCGGCGTTCTACAAAGCTGTTGGCGCAGAGTGTGCGTATTTCGGTCTTTTTTAACGATTTCGGCTTCCGATTGCATTTTTTTTCTTAAATCCCCGAAAAGAAAACAAATTTCAAATTCTGATGGACGCGTCGCGGTCGCGTTGCGGCTCCGCAATTTATTCGTGCAATTTGAAAAATAATGCAATGATGGATTGTGAAATATTAAATTTAATTTTTTTTCCATTTTTTTTGCAATAAAAAAGAGGCGACATTTTGAAATTGGCGTCAATTTTCAAATTTTTGCAACATAAAATGTGGACTCGAGGTTCGATTTTTCTTGACACCAAAAAATCTCGCATGCTGCCGGGCGCGTCGCGGTCGCGTTGCGGCTCTTCAATTCATTTAATATGGCTGCTCACATTGGTCATTCTTCAAAACTTTCCTAATGGGTCTCACCACGAGCGTTACAGTAAGCATCGTGATGGCGCGCCCGTCCGACGCGGCTCTCTATCCCGACTACACCGACATGGGTCTTCCGCCGTTCTACTGCGCGACGGCTTCCGGCAACTGCGCGGCTTCGACGCCCCTCTACCTCTACTATTCCGACAACGCCGATGGTACCTACCGTAATACTAGGCCACGCCCATTGTTTGTTATTGTAGATTACTATGCCGACACTCAGCAAAGAAGCATGAACTCGAGCTACACGATGTCACTTATGGGAACCCCACTCTGCTATTTATGGGAGTCAGATTACGGTAGGATACTGTAGATCGACAGACTGCAATATTTCAGAGCAATCACCACCACTACCATTACGCCTGTCTTGAATGAGACTACAGTGGCCCCTGCGGACACTACAGTAACGCCGAATGATCCTTTCAACACTACAGTGATCCCTGAGGACACTACAGTAATCCCGAATTATCCATTCAACACTACAGTGGTCGCTGAAGATTATTCGAACACTACAGTATCCCCGGAAGAGTATCTGAATAGTACGGTAGCCGTGTTCACAACAACTCCAAATGTGCTCGATTCCACCAACGCCACTGACAATTACGGAAATACCATGACTACCGTAATCCCGCCGACTACCGTAATCCCAAATCAGCCAGGCGGCGGCGAGAATTCAACAGCGGTTTCAGCCAACAGCAAAAATTCTAGAATTTTTGAATTGAATTTCAGCCGGCCAATCATTCTGACGACGACGACGACAAAAAAGACTTCTGGCATCGATGGCGTTGGGTGTTCATCATGCTCGGCTGCCTGCTCGTCATTCTGCTCGTTTCAATCTGCGTAAAACGCGCGCCGCCGTCAAACTCGTCTCATCTATCCGCTTGCAGATATTCGCCTGGATCATGTACTTCATGCATCCGAGCTCGAAGGTCGACGGCGGTCCGCCGACGTACTCGTCGCACGGCTCATTCGATTTGCCACCTCGTCCGGCTCAAGGAGCCTCAGTCACACCGTTCACCGTCGGCTTCCCAACAGCGGCCTATTGAAGCAATAAAACCCAAAAATGGATTATAACGTTTATACATCTATTTTAATACTTTCAACAACGAAGAGAATTTTTGAAACAAGGTACACGTGGCAGAAGGACATTCAAAAAAAAAAACAAAAAATAACAACATTCCCAGAAATGGGCCGGAGATATGATACAGAAACAAATTCTAGACGAATGGAACACTAGGCTTAAAGCTAGACCAATGACACCAGTCCCCTCCCTCCTTCATTTGTCAAAATCGCAAATTGGCGATGACGCCATTGTCGGGCGCAATGCCGGGCGCAAGGCGCGTCGGCGGCGACATTGAGATGATTGGTGGCGGCGGTGCGGGAATGTCGGGCGGCTCGTTCAGCGACAACGAGCTGTTGCACGTCCTATAACGGGTGAATTAATGATTTGAAACAATCGAAACAATCGCCACGAGACCCAACGATGGGAATCTCGCAACAATCGGATTGTTCCGATCTCTCTGAAATTTCGACTTCAAATGACTCACCCGATTCCACTACTCGACGGCGTCGTCGTCTCAAATATATTGATCGGATTGGGTCGCTGAAATTCGAAATTCTCAAATTCCACCAATTCTGCGATTTTCCAACCTTATTACACTGATAGTACTGCGGATTTGTGATGGTGCTCGACGACATTCGCATGTCGCTCTTGACATCGGCAATCGGCACATAGTCGTCACGTCCGCCGCCAACCGGCAGATAGCTGTACGCGTTGCGATCGGCGCTGATCCGGCCGTTCTCCATGTAGTAGTGCGTCGGCTCCGCGTCGCAGCCAACCGGCACCGGTGTGTAAAGGCTCTGCAACCACATCAGTTAAAATCCGATGATTTTCAGATATTCCAGCAAATTTCTCAAATGCGCCTACATGCTACTTTCAAAGAGAAGGAATAAAACTTTCGCGGTGAGATATTTCCCAAATTCCATTTTATGCACCTTTAAAAATCTGCCGATATTCCTTTTTTCACAAATATTTTCCAATTTTTTTGAAGCCTCGAGAATCGCCAACTTAAAAAAAAATGAAATTCTCACCGGCGTCACAACATAATTCATTCGCGGGCTCGGACCGCCCAACAACTCGTAGCTAGTGTCGGTCGACGACGAGGCGGTCGTCTGCCGTCGCGATATCGACATCGGAATGATCATGGTTCCCTGATCGGGCGAGTTCGAGCTCGGCGGTATCGGTAGATCGAGCGGACTCGGCCGATACGAGCTCGGCAATTGCGCGGGACGCGGAACATTGTTCTCCGAATACCCACGTCTGAATCACGGCGAATTTTCATTCTCAATGGCTCATACGATGGCTTACACATCAAAATTCGGATTCGACGGCTTCTTCAATGCTCCATTTTTGTCCGACGGCGACACTTTGTTGCTGGTTCTGAAATTCGAATCGTCTTCTCAAGATTGATTCTCATCGATACCTTGGCGACACACTATCATCCATTCCACTAGTCGTCCGTGATCGCGAAGCATGTTCCATGGGGAAATGGCCAATTGCTCCGCGAGTCATCGGTTTGATCAGCGTGTTCTTATTGCACGACGACGTCGACACCGTTGATGATCGATTCTTCGAATTCTCCTCGTCGTCGTCATGAGATTCGCGTTTCTTCTACAAAAAAATAGACGATTTTTTTACTAGAAAAATAAAGCCTCTTACCGTATTCCGAAATTTCTGCCAAATCTTGTTACGAAATGTGGTTCTCGATTTCGAGTGTTCAGCTTCATCAGCAGAATCAACTGAAAAAAAATGAATTCCATAATTTTTTCTGTTGTGTTTGAAAAATCGAAATCAAATTTGCGGGAAAAAAAGAAAAAGTTCACAACACCAACTCGATGCGAGATGCTGATCGTCGTATAATCCGCTCGCGTTGCTCATCGGCGACGTCGCGTCGCTCGGCCGATGCTGCCGTCCCGATTTGATTCGAATCGCGTTCTTGCGCTCCATTGTCTTACCGCCAAACTCGTGCGCGTTGCCATCGAACATCTGATTCAGATTCGGCGTGCTCGTCGAATACTGCGACATTCGGCCGAACGAGCGCGGCAGCGTGCTGCCGCCGCCGGATTGATCGCGGCCAACTGCAAAATTCGTCACCACAAATGCACTAGCACGAAATACATTGCAAGGGAAATTTTTAAAAAACCCTAATAGAAGTATAATTATTAAAATCGCACAGAACAAATCAAGCACCCTGGCTTCTTAGGGACCATCGAACATTTGCTTGCGGCGCTTCAAAAAAAAATCAAAGTACGATGAAGCCAATGAGAATTCGTGTACCGTACCAATCAAACTCGCGCTCATTTATAAATTACAGTAACCCGGGTGCCAAATTTCTTTTGGCGATTCTTTTATACAGTATATGATGCTGCTTACCGTAAACCTTGAGATTATTTCCGACTTCATCGCGCTTCACCGACACCAAATGTTGGACGTCTGCAAAAAAATGTGTTAAAAGCTGTGAAAGTGGAGAAAAATAGTTCGTCATAATTCCGTCAATAGAGAGGCCTAATCATATTCAGATTCTTCAAAAAATAAGAAGGCGACATGAGCTAATCATTCAATTATTCAATTAAGCTTTGAAATTGTGTTTTCTTTTCTCCTGAATATCCAGAATTCGATTAGTTTTTTCAAAAAAAATTTTTGTGAACACAGTAATTGAAGACGCATGCTGTAATTGCAGCTGGGTCTCATTACGATCGATTCTCGTGGCCACCCCCAATAATTTTTTAAAAAATCAAACCCACCGAAAAAAAAACTGAAAAAGGCTAGAAAATTCAAAATTTGCTAGAAAATTCAAAATTTTTCGGTGAAAATGTGAAAATTTTTGTTTTAAATGTAAAATGAGGAAAAAAATAAACGATAGAAATCGCAAATAAAATTTATAGGCAAATTTCATAAAGACTAGTTTTTAACTAGTTTTTCCCTCCAATTTCTAGTCGAAAATTTTCGAGACAAAATAAAAGAAAATCCGTACCACCAACGGGAGCGCTGATCTCCAATCGTTTTCCCGTTTTATACTGACGCCTCGCTTTCGGATCAGGCGCCAGCGACCTTCGATTCTTTCGCTCAATCCCGCCAATCGGAGAATAGAGATTCTTGAAGAGCTCGTCGAGCCTAGAAATAACAAATTTGAAAGTGGTATTCATTTTCAAACAGCAAACGAACTCTTTATTCTGATCCATTTGGCATTTCGTGTAAATGTTCTCAATATTATGGGCGATGATGGTTTGAACGCGTTTGAGCTGCGTATCCAATTGTCCCTGTAGATTTTCCATTGAAAAATATTATTTTTCTTTTAAAGGCGCATACCGCAATTGATTTGTCCTTCACATCCTTGGAATAGTCTTCGAAGAACGCCACCAGATCATGGAACGTCGGACGATCATGAGGGTTGACCTCCCAACAACGCTGCATGATCGTCTTCCACTTCATCGGACAACTCTCGTCGATGACAAGACTCTTCTTCTGATGGACGACGTTGATCGCGATCATGTTCTGATTCTCGCCCTGGTACGGCTCCTTCTTCGACAGCAGCTCCCAGAGGACAACGCCGAACGACCAGACGTCGGAAGCTTCGGAATAGTTGCTGTCGCGGAACGCTTCGGGCGCCATCCACGCATAAGTGCCTGCCAAGAAAAAACAAATGATGACGAGGCTTTTCATGGAATGTCGCCACACTCACCAACGGTGCTCATGCGATTCGCCTCGGTCGTCAGTTTGCGTGTGACGCCGAAATCCGTGATTTTGAGTTGGAGGCGATCGAGTGGACGACAACCGCATTTCGGGCACCAATCATCGGACCACTAGGAAGACAAATTGGGAATATTTTCGACAAGAGGAAGGGGGAATTGAAAAAAAAAATGAAACAAATCAAAATTTTACCACTTCCTCGTCGCCTGCGCAATAGCAAACTTCATCTTTAACAAGAACTGCAAATGTTCGAGTTTAAAGGCGCATGACGCAAAATAAAACCAACTATTGTCTGCCTTCAAATCGCGATGAACGTAGCCCTGTCCGATGAGATATTCCATTCCGGAGGCAATCTGTTTCGCCCAGTCGATGAGCACCCGAAACGGTATGATTTTCTCGGTGGCGGTTTGATAAACCGTCCGCAATGAGCCGCCTATGAGCAAAAGGAAATAAGAGGAAGAAGAAAAGTTGAAGCTCACCTTCGCATAGCTCAAGGAGCAGTCCGAACTTTGATTGTTCGGGACATACGCCGAACAGTTGAACGATGTTCGGATGGCGGAGGCCGTTGACGAGATTCGCTTCGCGTTTCAGCATGTCAACTGAAAAAGACACACTGATGACGGATTATGCGAATCGACGAAATGACTTACACGGTAAGGCACCTTCACAAGCATGTATATGAAATCGTTTGAGGGCCGCTTTAATGAAATTTGTTCCATTTTCCAGCTTTTTGCCCTACAAAATTGTTTGAGTTGTCGAAACACAACGGAAAATGGGCTTCCGGGTTGTGTAAATTTACACACACCCAACGGCTTGCTCAAAATATCAGCAGCCTACGAGCATGCTCCTTTAAACTAAATCGTCATGGGACCAAGGTTAAAGGTTGAAAGCTGCTTTTTTTAATATGCGCCTTTAATTGAGGATCGACCTTTGTTTCTCCGAATTAGGGGGTAGGATCTGTACATGAAGCCGAGATCGCCGTGAGACCCGAATTAAAGGCGCATCGATCGATCACTCGCTCACCTCTTTATCCCGTTTACACCAGCGCAGATCAACTTTGTAGACGTTGGCGGTCGCGCCTCGTCCGATCATGCATTCATCAAGATCCCTATTCGACGGAGTCCTGATGTCATCGGCACCATACTCGATCAGATTCTCCTCTTCGCCTGCAAAAAAAACAAACACAAAATGTGATTTATTTTGTGGTTTCGGCACAAAATTTATGCAAATTTTTTGATCAAAAATTGTGAAAAAATTTCAGCTCTCCAAAAAAAAATAGACGAACCGAGTAATCGGACATAGTTTGAAGGAAAGAGTCCCCGATGACCGTCGAGTTCACCATAATACCATCCCTCTTCGTGTCTGAAACCACCAAAAAATATTATTCGCGTTTTTTCCACCGATGAAAACAAAAATGACGCGTTTTTTTCTCATTTTTGTGTAATTCAATAGCTTATTGTTTTAAAATTAAACGTTTCTTTTTGTTTTTTTTTCCTTTCAATAAGAATTGATGAAGCAACATTCCTCAAAAGGTGGTGGCCAGAAAAAAAAATGAAAAGAATGTTGTTGATTTATTAACTTTGACATTTGGATCGGAATTTAATCTAGGATTATTGAAATTTCGTGATAAATATGCAGCTTAAAGTGAGAAAAAATTGTTTTCGTGTGGTGGCATTTTTTATTCAATTGCTCACGGAAAAGGAAATTTTGAGGAAAAAATGAAAATTTGAAAAAAAAATTGGCATGGTTACGGTACTCAATTGAAAGTACGCAGACAAGTGTCACCGTGAATACAGAATTGTTAAATGTTAAATTTTTTCTTCGTCATTTTTTCCATTGAAAAACATTTTTCGCGTCATTTCTCGAAACAAACTTCATATTTTTGCAGGATCCGAAAGTTTTTTTTTTGAAATCGTTGGTACCTCGCCAGAAGCTCTTTGTAAATCGCTAATAAATCAACTACTCACGTATCGCGGTTGATCAACCTCACGATGGAGCCAAGTGGCAAGCTCAACTCATCGCTTCGTTCTGCATTATATTCATAGGCGGCAACATATAACTACAAATTGAGGTTCAATTAAATCGGCAATTAATTCCACTCACAATTTTCGACGGACTATGTACTTCAGAATTGCCATGCGACGAATCAACACGTAAACGGACTCCCGCTGAATAATTCAAAGTGAATTATTGGAGATGGAATAAAAATAAAACCTAAATCGTTTGTAGATGAGGAAGAGGCAGATTGGGTGTCATCACAGCTAACAGATCGCGAATGCTCAGGCGTCGGCAGGTAGTTGGTACTCCTCGCTGAAAATCACTTTAATTTTTTCGGCATCGATTCAATTTCAACTCACTTTTCGTCATCGGAGGCACATTAATATAATCGGGATGCTGGGCTCCGTCCATCATTTTCATTTCGTTTTATTATTTGTTTTTATTAATACTAGTGTTATTATTATTATGATTGCCCGTCAATTACACGTATGGTTTCCTGAAACAATTAAAATGCGTCCCAAAGGGATTATAGAAAACGAAATCAATAGCGAAATGGGCGCGGTCTTCTTTTATCAATATGCATGTGCTTTTTTTTCTCGATTGGGTCACAAGACAGGCGGCACAGACAAAATGAGATGGAGTGGATGGCGAGCTTTCATTAGAGGAAAAAAAATCGCGAGTGGAAAAAATATTATTTCGAAACATTTAGAAATATTATATTGTGATAATCATTATACAATAATTGGAGGGACAAAAGCAACTCATTTTCATCGACAACGGGGCAATGGAGCGCAATATAGTTCGCATTCGAGGCGATGGACAAAGTGCGGACGAACGATGGAGGCATAACGACGAGTTGAAGAGACGGCAGACAGCCGATCGAATCGCGAAACGTCGGTTCTTCGCCAACCTCGAGGCCTCGCCGACGGCTCGCGCCGCTTGTCGGCGTCTCATCGACCGGCGCGCTATTTCGTCGCGATTCCAGCGCAAAAAATTTTTTTTTGCGGTTTTTTTTCTTTCTTTTTGCCTTTCGTTCTCGTCGGGAAACCGGCAATGTCTCGTTTCGGTCGTAAAAAAAACGATTTCACACGGTTTTGGATTTTATTTTTATTATTATTATTATTATTATCATATTTTATTCTCGATATGTACAAGCAAAACGATTTTTTCTTCTTCTCATTCTTCTCGTCGTGTTGCGTCTAGCAATGCCCGTTGACGCTGCTATCCAAATATGGGAACAGGGTTCGGTAGAGGAGATGCGAGAGAATCTCGCCGATGACGGTGAACACACAAAGATAAACATTGAAGGTCATGAAGATGAGCATCAGGAAGTAGGCGAGGGTGAGCTGCAGCAATTGGAATATCGGATCGATGATATCGAGTTTCGGGTTGACTCTGAAAAGGAAATTTAAAAAAAAAGACAATAATTTTGTGCCGGGGTCGAAAACGCCACCCCGTGATTGCAAGCGGCGCGCTTAACCATTCGCACCTGCACAGCCCCTGCAGGGCATGTTGCTAGAGGTGTATACAAACTGAGCGCCTTACTTGAGTCTCTCCTCTGGAGCCACTGGCATTCGACCAAGCTCAATTTGAGCTTTTCTATATCTGCGGAAGAATCGAACGGTTTCCATGAGAAACGCGATGGCCATTGTCAAAATGCACGAGATGATCATGCCGAAAGCGGTGTGCGTTTTCCAAAAATCGAACAATATCGTCTCATCGGTGCCGAAATGGAACGACATCGCATGATGCATCATCATCGTATGAGCACTGCCGGCGGTCGGTGCCGAGTGCCCTGCAAAAATTGCATGTTTTTGTGAAATCGGCGACAAAATACAAAACAAATTTGGCCAGAAAATATGTCCTTTTAATGTGGCAATTGATCGGATTTCGCACTTTTCTCTCTTTCTCTTTTTGCACTCGTTAATCACCGAATCGTTAACTAATTGGCAATTTTCGAGAAAATATCAAGTTCATTTTCAGCTAATTAGCGTTGAAAAAAAACCGGTGAGTTTTGTTTTAGGCGCGGGTCTTCGCGGTAGGACCCAGAACATACCGATATGGTCCTTATGATTGTGATGGGCCGAGTGATCCATTTAAGGTCTCGTCTGGAAAAAAGTGGTTTAAGAAGGGAAAATACAATTTTGCGATACAAAAATGTTTTGATCTACTTCTAAAAATTGGCAGAGTTAAGTTTCGATGCAAATGCGCTCGGCTGTACATATGCTTCAAATTATAGCGTCAACGGTGCACTGCTCCTTTAGGAATTCAATGTGAGTGCAAGTGCGCTCTACCGCACAAAAAATTATCATATTTTTTTTTTCAATTTTTCCAATAAAATGCGAGCAATTTTTAAAAATATTTCACGAAAAAAAAATGCGTCTAAAAGTTTCTATACATTTTTTCTTTAATAAAAACGAATTACAAAGGGGAAATTGTAATAATAGAAGGAAAAAAACTGGAATGAATAAGTGAAAACTGAACATTGAATAGGAATGGATAAAATCGACGGTGTGTTGGAATTGTTCGTAGACAACCACTGATGAAGACGACACGATGGTTTCGAACATGCGAAGGAAAAAAAACGCGATGGGAACCGGTCGAATGGGCGGAGCGGACAACCGATATTACTGAGATTACACAATCGGAGGAGAATGGAAAAAAATACGAGGAAGAAGATTGAGAGATAAGAATTTTGTTGTCAAATTGAGAGATATTAATTGCAAGATTTTCTTGTCGCGAAAATCACACAAAAATTTTTAGTGATGTCATCAAAAAAAATAATAATTGCCAAATTGATACAAAAATTGAATTTGGAATTATGGTGAGGCTCGTGTGGTCCCAAAAATATTGATTTGGTTTCTTTTTGTCTCTTGCTTCTGGAAGAATGGCAATGATGCAAAATTTGCATGGAAATTGCGATCAGGCCGCAAACACGCGCACGCAATCTTGCACACATTTCGAAGCACGCAAAATTATTCATTTATCATTTAAATAGCAATATCTGCAAGAAGCTTACCTATAATAATTTAAAACCATGACTTTGTATCAGCTTAATTATATTACTAATAATATCTCATCTGCGGACAAATCGCATTTTTTATTTCAATGAAAAATTGATCCTGCGAACCGGAAATTTCATGTTTTTTCTTTTCGATTTCAACAAAACAAATTCTTATCAAACTTTGCAAAAATGTTGCTGATCGAAGAAGTATTGTTTTTTTTGCTACGGACATTTTTGCGAGAATTCAATTTTTACCAAAACATAAACAAAAATGGCAATATATAAACGAAAATCAATAGAATTGAGGGCGACTGTGCGACTCATTGAGCATCACCTCCGATTGTTTGTTTATTTGTTTACACACGAAATTGGTGTTATATACAATCAATAGAAAACAATTTGTCAATTAATACTCAGAAGCTTCTCGAGCACGACGAACTTTAATTAATGAATCTTCATTGACGGAAAGGACGAGCTGCAAATTGAATGGTCTTGGTGTTGGGAGAAATAATTTTGAACGGAATACGGGAAAAAATTGAAAGAAAAAATTAGGTGCATTTTCGCGTGGCAGTGTGCCGCACTACTTGCCTACAGTACCACAAATAAATTTTAAAAAAACAAGTGCTGGTTACTGTATGCAAATTGTGCACACACCGCCACGCGAATATACACCATTTCCCCCAACGCATTTTTTTTTTTGATTTGGGAAAATCAAAAATTTTCGTTGCTTTTCAGCCAAAATCAACTCACCGAGTCACCATCGATCGATAATTCGGAGATGCCTTGGATTCCGATGAATACCATCGAGAATATTAGGACGAGTACGATGAACACATTCATTTTTGCGGGTGTTGTTGTTGCAAATGTGCGACCGAATTGAATACGAATCGGATGGGCGTCGCGAAATTCAAGGACACCCGCCGACGCATTTTGAATCGAAATTCATGAACAAAGCTGATGATGATTTCTATCTTGACCTACTTTCCACTAAACTAGAGCATCAGAAGACGAATTGCAACAAATCGAAACACCACCCAATTTGGCTTAATTATATGTTCGCTTTTGGAAATTTTTGAAAAAATTGAACACCTTCGATTTCTGATTACAATGCAGCCGTCTTTATCCCGTCTGGAGGAATTTTTAAAAATCTCTCAATTTCGAATTTGATATTTCAAAATCGATTGATTTATTTTCTACATCGATTAAATTGATTCACATTTATCGGAGAAGTTTGGCAGGCATTCATTTAATAAGGACTTTGTTGTGAAATATTGTATCATGGTCCCGCTATTCTTAAATCGATCCTTCAACAAAGCTGCCTGTCTGCAACAAAAATAAACATCTGAAATTTTAGTGGGTTCGGTCGGAAGAAATAACTAATCACAGGCCTGATCTTGGAGTCATATTGACATATTTTTACAGGTTTCTTGAATTGCCCGAAAATACCCACATCGGGCATACCCGGTGCATCCCTTGTCAATCGTTGCTCATCTTGCTCAGATTCATCATTCTGTCTTATCCTGGCATTAATATTTAAAATTATTTTAAAAAAGCGTGCAATTCTTTTAAACGAATCGCCGAAAAAATTTAAAAAAAATTTAATTAAAAAAAATTAGCACCGTAACGCAAATTAAAGGTGCAAGTGAAATTAAGTTGAAATGTCTCGAAGCGGGCGACATGTGCCGATCAAAAAATGTTCAATTTTTCGAAAAATTTTGGATTTCTTATTGTTTTTTCAGAAAATTTTATCATTTTCAGAATTACAAACAGTTTTTCCTGCGAAATAATTTTGTTGAATTCATTTGCGACGAAGAAATTTTCAATTTTTTGTAGACTTTTAAGCTTTTTCATGAAAATTATGTTTTAATGAATTTCTTGAATGTTTCATTTCAATTTTTATTTTCCCAAAATGTTTTTTGGTTATTTAAATAATTAATTTTAAAAAAATTGATGGTTTTCCCGTGACCGATGATAGCCATTTTCAATAATTTGTTTTTTTTTTAAATTCAATGTGGTCGTTCCTATTTCTAATATCAATTTTCCATTCAAATCAAGCATTTTCAGTAGAATGAGGGAAAAAATTGAATATAATTAATTGTAATTTGCAGATTTGCTCGAATAATGTGAGCATTTGGGAGAGAAACGAGCCAAAACCGCACATTTTTCTCCTCCGCGACTATTTTTCGAATCGAGCGGCGAATTCGTTGCGAGAAATTCGATGCTTATTGGAATACGTATGGAATTTTGTTATTTGCACACGAAAATAATTTGAATTTCGTTTTTTCCAGAATTATATAATCGATGATAAAGCGAACATCAAACGAAGGAACGAAGAGGAATTATGTTTTGCAATAAGCCATGTAATCGGAAAAGTTTTGAAAACAAAAAGAAGAAATTAAACATTTTGAAGGTCCCGTTACGAATTGGTCAAACTCTTGTAGTCCTCGTGGACGGCGAATTCGCGGACGATTGCAAATCCCCAGTGTACGGCCCAATTCCCAATATATTAAAGGTAATTCTCGAAATGCTTCTGAAAAAAAGCGGCTACCAGAATTCGCCAACTGCATGCGCCTTTAATTACGGTATTCCAAAAAAATAATTCGGAAATTTGAAAACTCCTGAAAATGGGGGCGCAATTTTTAATTAAACATATTTTTGAAATTTTAATAAAAATTGTGTAGAAATGAAATTCACTGACGAAATTTAAAAAAAAAAATGAAATAATTTATGAGATGAGCATTTTTCATTGATTCTGGTAGCCCCAATTTTTGTTGAAACAGACATTTAAAAAAATTGCAGTTCAAAGTTTTCACGGAGCGATTGAATTCGACAACGAATGCATCGAAAATCAATGTAATTAGTAGCTACAAAAATGCTGGCGGTGATATAAGGTTTTTAAGAAAAATTAATAACTTAGTATTTCTATCGCAAAAAATAACGAGCGCCTCGCCTAATTGTGCAACTTTGAAAGGGCCAAAAATAGCACACTCCATTTTTGTGCCCTTCCCATTTGCAGACCATTGGAACATCGCATTTTTACGAGTCGGTAATTCAAATTTGAATTTTTAGTTGTGGGAATTGGACCTGAAAATCAAACTCCCTTGTAAATCCGTGCTGGGCGCTCGTTTTTTTTTTTGCGAATATAATATTTATTTAAAATTTTTGCTTCATTTAGAGTCGAGTTCGATTTGTACAAAATGAAGAATATTGAGCGAATTCGCGAGACCCTTCGATTTTATCAGCGGCTTTCCACTATCACCCCGCAATATGGTAAAGAAATCAAGCAAATTATTTATATATTTTTTTTCTAGAGAGTTTACTGCCTAGCTGGAAGCCCGATATCCGTCTTCCGCCGGATTATTTCTCTCATATCACCAGAAGGCCGACAATCAAGGACAATGCCAGCTATATGCTCATCCTTTCGTGCCTTCCGATTGTCGTTTTTGGGACCATCACTTCTTGCTACTTGGTGCTAACCCCTCGCGGTGGATTAACATTTGTTGATGAGGATATCGACTATTCTATTGATATTTCGTCGTTCACTGAAGAGGATATTCGGACGGCGATGGAGAAAAGTCGAAAGACGTCGAATGAGATTTTGTGTGGATGCAATGAATCGTCGAAAAAGTTAGAAATTTGATGAAAATCCCAATAAAATGAGTAGATTTTAGGAGTAATTCGATCAAAACTGATATTACTATGGAATCGACGATTCAAAATGATGATGAAGCGCTTAGACTTCCAAGTCTTTTGAGTAGATGAATCAAAAAAAATTGAAAATGTTAATTTTTTTTTTAAATTTTTTAAAGAATTTTCATTAAAGAAAGGCGTTCAGTCGTGAATTTTCTATAAAAGGTTCGTTATCGATTTTTAATTAATGCATTGGGTCACACAATGCTTAATTCGAATTTTCATATTAAATGTGTGCAATTTTGCGTGCGTGTGAATGCAATTTTTTTGTGGCAAACCTTTTTCCAAAAAACTGTATATGAACCGTATATGGGAATTTCGTGAAGCCAAAATTTTGGAATCAAAAAATTTTTGACGATGTAGCCTGTTCTCTATTGTTGTAGTCTATCAATCAAGGTGAACCCTAACAATAAAATGAAAATATTTTTCTAAAAATTGGGCATGAATAAAAATCGTGGAAAAAGAGCAAATTCTGATTTTTGTGTTATATTTGGGTGGCGGTGTTTGCACAAATTCCACAAGTCTTACAGTAATTTGATTATTTTGCCGGCAAAAAAATGCGCAAAATCAAAAATTCCACGAAATTCTGAACCAAGGTTTGCTCAACTTCACCAAACTGAAGAAAATATTGTATGTGTCACATTTTGATTCATCTTATCATCACGTGCTCGCCAATTTTTTTTGGCCTCGCGAATTATCCTGTTCTTTGCTCGATTATTTCGGGTTACTTTCTCCCAAGAAAATGTGTACTTTATTCTTCGCCTGTCATGCGATATAAACAGGTGACAATCATCGATATATCACATTTTGTACTTTGAAATATTCGCTTTCTGATTCGCCCGCCCCCCAGCGACATCATGCCGTTCAATTGGCACTCATTCGTCTTATCGTTGAACTGATTTTGAAAAAAAAAATGACGATTCTTCTCGATTTTTGGTGGTTTTTATTCCGATTCTTCTATTTCGCCACTATTATTTTGATTATTTGTAAAAAAGATTGGGGTGAGTTGAGCTCAGAATTAGAAAAACCCGATATTTGCCTCAGCAATGAGAATTATGAAATTTAGAATTTGTTTTCTGACAGTTACTGTAACACGAAACTGTGCGACCACAATGCCGCCAGAATGCACGCAAAAGAATCGAATTCAATTTTCAAATTTTATTTTTTCTTTTTCTAATGTAATTGCGCAAGGCCCAAATTTTTCATCATATTTTTTTTCGAGTTATCATTTTTTGTGCGGTTCGTAGATTTGGTAATTAAAATTTAAAAATAGCTTCAATTAATTAAAAAAAAGAAAAAAGATTCCACTATTCGAACATTGGAAAATTTTTATGGGGTTACTGTAGGATCAAACTGTGCAATCACCATGCTACAAAGACGCAGACAAAAATGAATAATTTTTTTTTGTATTTAGATTTTCGTTTACTTTATGTTTAAATTTTAGTAGTTTTTCTGTGATTCTGTTCATTTTTACACGAAAAATAGAAAAATAATTAAATTATAGAACAGGAATTGATGTTCATGATGCAGAAATACTTCTAAATTTTTAAGAATGTCTGATCATTTTCCCGAACATTTCTAGCAGAACTTTCGGAGTATTTTGCGAACAATTTTTGTTCGACAATTCAAGTTTGAATTTTGAAAATAAAATCAAATCGGTCACACCTAAAACATTTTTGTTTCCGAGACGTCTCACAATTTTCGCCTCGAAATGTGTGATACGAATCATACCACCTCGATATTCTTTGCACCTTTTTGCTTATCAAACGCGGAAAAAAACAACAAAAATGTCTGATAACCGTGCAAATTTTATAGGACAGTTGCCCGATTGGCTGATTGGCAACTTCGCGACACTTCTGGATTGGATCGAGAATGGATCGGATCGTAATAATAATGAGCTCAAAAAGCCGCACGAAGACGATGAGATGTGTATTGAAAAACAATTTTTAACGCCAAATTTCATTAAAAATTGTAGCAAAAAAATAATTGATTGGAAAAAAATTAAAGCAATTTTTAGGTGGATCGAAGAATCCTCTAGACGTCTCAACGATGCTTCTGAATCTCGGCGTGCAAGCAATCATCCAGGACGATATTTCGAGACCATTTTCCACGAAATGTTCGAAGCTCAATCTTCTGAAAATGCCCGAAGATCGAAAATTGAAAGTCTTATATGGAATCGGGTTGATTTTCAGGTATTTTTGAATTGAATGCAAAAAATTTCTCGACGAGACCTAGGACATGAAATGCACGTACCTTTAATTACCATATCAAAAATTGCCTTCAATCCACAGTTTTTTTGATATTTCAATATTTCGATGAAAAATTTCAATAGGGGCAATTTAATCGCGAAAATTAGCTGGGTCTTGAGGCGATCGATTCAAATTTTAGAATATTTTCAGATTGACATTTTTGTTTCCATTGAGAATTTGCTTATTGGCGACTAGTTTGATCTACTTGCCAATTACCGGCCTCATTTGTGTGATGTTCAACGCCGAGCAGAAATATTGTAAGTTTCGCGAAATGATCCAAAATGCCCCTCGTAAAATAATAATTTTCAGATCGATATTGCGGTATAACGTTTGCCAAAATTTTCAACGCCGCAACGGGATTGATTGTCAACTCGCATGATGGTCAAAATCGTCCAAAAATGCCAGGTACCCAATTTTTTTTTTTAAATTTAATTTCTTCCAAATTCTTTTTAGGTCTCGCTGTGGCGAATCACCTCAGCGCCAACGATGTCATGACAATCTACTCGGACTGTAGTTTCGATTCGTGCGGTAATTACATATTATTTATTATATTACATTGAAATGTAGATGAGTTCATAATGGATTTAATGAATTTAATGAAAATCAATAATTTTTGAAAAAAAAAATGCGTGTGCTTTTTGCTTAAGCATCTTTTTTTTTCGAATGAAATTCAAAAATTAAAATTCTGAAAAGCAAATTTCTGAAAATTTCAAATGGGAAACGTTTCGCTAAGAAAAACTTGATTGGCTGGCACAGTCCGCAAAGGTGTGCACGCGAAATTGCACACATTTAATTTTTTTTATTAAAATAAAATTAATTTTAATAAAAGATCACTAATTTTAATTGAAAATCGATAAAGCGCGAAAAAATTGAAAATTTGCGCGCACTTCGAAAATTATCATGACTGAACATCCCCTGGGTTTCCATGGCCGTGGCCGATATTTGTTTTGCTAGGCCATATTTGTGAGGTCGTCAATTTGCGAGTTTTTCTCCCAATCAATTCAGATATTCAATTTTTGTTTTTAATGGAAAAATCAACATTAAAAATGTTTTAATGAAAAAGTTGAATTTATTGATTTATGGTCCAAGATTTTTGTGGAAAATCGAATAATTTATTAAAATTTTCGCAAAAGAAATTCGCAACCCCCTTCTTTTTCTATTTCTTAAACACTGAATTTTTGGAAAACAAAATTGCGATGAAAAATTTTCGAAAAAAAAAATTATTTTTCTATTTTTCAATACATTTTTTTTTGGTCATCAAAAGAATTTCGCCTTTTTATTCCAGGCTACACAATAACCGCACAATCGCACGGCGGCATCGTACACTTTCTCGAGAAATATGGCGAACTGTTGACACCAATTCTATTGGTGAATGGCTCGTGTCACACCAATCGCAACGCGTTGCGCGAAGCGATTGTCAAGCACACGCGCGAGGCGACGAAAAAATCGTATCCGATTCTGTTGTTTCCCGAAGGATATTGTTCGAACAATAAGAGTGTTTTGCAATTTCGAAAAGCGACATTCGACGGCCACGTCGTCATTTATCCGATGGCATTATTGCAAAATGAGAGGTGAAATTTTGATCTCATTAAAGGCGCATATAGAAAATCAATTCCAATTAAGAACCGAACTCACTAAAAGAAAAGTGTGGAAAATTTTTTCAAGACTCATACGCTAAAACAATGAACAATTTCCAGATTTGGCGACTCATTCTGGTCCGAGCGCACATATCTGCCATATTTGGTTCGGATAATGACGTCGTGGTGCCTGAAAATTGATATTTTCTATTTGCCGCCAATGTCGAAACTCGAAACAGGCAAGTCGGGGAGATTCCAAAAATATTAACAAGGCTAAAAAAACTTTAAGAAAAAAATTGAGAAGTACGCCTCAGAAAAATTGAAAAATATAATTTTTTCGTTTTTTTTCATTTATTTGCAATGGACCGTTACGTTATATTCTTTCGATTGATGGATATTGTCGTCAAATAAAATGCATAGTCCGCAATGAATTCAATAGCGCTTATTTTCAACCATTTTTGGCGGATTTTCCAGCTACCCAATTCTGCGAGCCCAAAATAACAAAAATTGCGCATTCAAAATATGAATTCACGTTTAAATTACAAAATTGCCGTCGAATGAAATGTATTAGGTGTAAACACGCTATATGCTATATACTATGGAATTTCGTATTTCAATTTCTGATTTTTGGTCTCAAATATGAATCCAGAACTGTTAGGTAATGAAGGATATAGTAAGAAAAAATAAAATTTTGAACTTGAAAATTTCATTGCGGACTTGTGCATTTTATTCGACGACCATACCGCCTCTTCACAAAGAGTGCCTTCATTTTAAATTTTATTATTTTTTCTTGTAGTTGTATTAAAGATTTTTTGTCATTTGAGGTTACCTCCCCCCTTTTAATTACTACGTCTTTAACATAATATTTTATTGTAGTCGCTACAATGTAGGCTTACACTACAGTGTAGGCTAATTAGCATAACGCCATAAGAACTGAAAAAATGAAATTTGACTTGGTTCGGAAACAAAACTCACAAGAGTTGAGCCTCATCGGCGACCTCAAAAAACATGGCCTAGCAAAATGGACATCGGCCACGGTCATAAAACAACAATTGGTTTTGCAGAAAACGACGAGCAATTCTCGCGGCGAGTTCAATTGGCGATAAGCGAGAAAATCGGGCGCATCGCGTTGCCGTATGACGGCAAAATGCGAAGCCGAAAAGAGCAAATCAAATATCGATCGAGAATCGAGCAAAGCATTCGCGAGCTTCTAGCCGAATAATCGTGAAGACCACAAAAGAAACTCAACGCTCCGAATTGTTTGTACATATTTTTGTAGTTTGCTTTTTTTGATGATAAAAAGACATAATTCGAAGAACTCGTTCATCAACAAGTACCCCTATTGTTCGATAAGACTAGTCATTCCTCTGAACAATGCCATCGACGATTTCCTCGAGAATCCGCACTCTCAAATGGATTATTCGAATATCAGGTATTTATGATTATTGTATAATTAGGCAATTATGATTAATGTAGCAATTATCGCGTTCATCGCCATCTCGACAATTTTCACCGCGTTCCCTTTCTTGTACGCGTACGTTTATGAGGCAAAAGCTCAGATTGCGATAGGTGTTCGAGAATGTAAGGTGAGAATTTGGATTGTTTCCGTTCGAGACCCAATCTCAAGCGCATTTCAGACGACAGCTCAAAAAATCTACTATGAGACGAACACCATCGAGTATTTTCAACGTCGCTATCGACATTACTGACTTTATGCCTTATATAGTTAATAAAATATAGTAAAAAAAATACACCCGTATCGAGTCGAAAAATTGGCACGTGTAGTAATAAAATTACATGTGTTGCACGTGATTATCCCTGAACGAATCCGAAGGCGTCATTTCGATTTGTGCCTTCTCCTGAGCACCTTAAAAATCGGTTTTTAGAGAGAGAGAGAAAAGAAATTACGAATTACCCATAATTTCGTTGAATATCCTCTTGTCGCGCTTGATGGCGATCGCCGCGATGACGAAGAGGATGACGGAAAGGACGAGAGTACCGACGCAAAGATAGAACGACGTTACCAGCGAGTGATAATGACCCTGTGGTGTGTCGTCGCCTTTACGAATCGCGTCGGAAATCTGAAAATTCGAATTTCAAAGAAACTTCTTTTTTTGTATTGTATCTGTAGGAAAATGAAATGGGTTACGGTAGGCAGTTTGGGTGCAAACATCTTGACTAAAACATACACCGTCGAGAGGTGCCCTTCGGAAAATGTTTGCGAACATTTTTCCGGTTCGAAAATACGGAAAAATCACGAAATATGCCTTTTAGAATCTTTCAGCCAAAAAAAACCAACTTTATTGGAATTCTCCAACATGTGCCTTTAAACATCTACAGTAATCTTGGAATAAAAATTGATTACCAATACATGCAATTTCAGAGCGATAATTGCTTCTTGCTTTTCCGTTTTGAAATCTTACCAATCCGAGAATATAGGGTCCCGAAGCATCTCCGCACATGTGAGAGATTAGAATCTGCCACGAGCTCGCCGAGCTTCTTCGTTGCGGGATCACAACCGTCTGAAATCGCCAATTATTTGCAACAAATATCGGACCATGCAGAATTTTTTTTAGACGAAATTTAAATCCAAAAAAATGACAATTTTTCTTTTTTTTTGTATTTAAATTTTTTCCATTTTCTCTCATTTTTCAATTTTTTTTCTGCATTGGCCCTTCAGACAACAAAAATCTTACGAGGAGAAGGTCGACGTTGGTCGCCCAATTGAAGCTTCCCGTCGTCACACAAATGAACAGCATCGCCCATGTGAAGCCCATGTTGTTCTCGATGTTCTGAATCGCGAGTATCAGCGCCGGAATGCAAATCGCGGCGCCAATCGCGCACACGAGCGGATCGGCGCGCTCGGTTTTGATGAATTTGAATGGTCCGACACCGCGCGACCACAACTGCAAAACGAAAAACGCATATGGGTTTGAGAATGTTCAAATTTCGCTCGCCAACATTCGACAAAACGGTTCCGATGGCCACGCCGAGAACACCACCGACGCACGTGATTGCTCCGAATATCAAGTTGATTCTGAAATTCTCGAAAATTTGCAAATTTGTCGATGAAACAACATTTTGTTGGTTATAGATTAATTTTGCTAAAAAAAAACGAAAAACTTTAATATTCTTGGGAATTTCAATCTTTAAATAATTATCCAAAAAAACCTTTTTTGCCTTTAATTTTTTGTATTATCGGAGTCAAACGACTTGACAAAGATTAAAAAATTATTGGCAATGTGCCAATGCGTCTCTAGGCAGCGAGAAGTACGTGAAATTGCGTACCTTGTATTTAAGCGTGCGCGCATTTCATTTAATATTCAGTCAACGAAAAATTTAAATCTACACTGATTTCGCGAAGAAAAGGAAAAAAAAGCCCCCCCCCCTTTTAGAAAAGGAATATTTAGGAGAAAAATTGATTTTCACTAAAAACATGCGAAGATGTCTATAAAAACTTGAAAATTCTCTTAAAAGCTTCTCACTTCGCCGCCTCAGCATCGGTTATCTTCGGGACTCCTTTTCTCGCCGCTTCCGCGTATTGAATTGTAATCGGCGCCCACCACGCGAGGGTTCCAACCATGAATACGGTAGCAGTGTATCCCAATGTTGAGCTCATGTAGGTTATGCTAGAATTTAGTGTTTCAAAATTCGATTTATAGAAATTGTCGAGCGATTGCGAAAAATTGGCTAAATGCCAAAAAATTGAAGATGAGGTCTTAGCGCGCATGTATGCGCCTTTAATCTATCTTTTTTTGCTTCAAGACTAGTGTGAAGGCATTAATCCAATTTTTTCTCGCAATGCCAACAATCGATTTCAAATTTACTTGGTGGCTAGTGCTTTAATGTCGTCCCAATAGCTGGTCGCCTCAACGCTGGCGGTGATATCACCTCGTTCTCGCTCAGCACGACCACGCTCGGGCTCGCGAACGAATAGAATGATGAGAATGAGGCAGATGACGCCTAGGACTCCGGTCACTCGGACTCCCCATTGCCAATGACCAGTCCAACTGCTTACAGCGGACCCTACGACGAATCCAAGACCACTGAAAATTGGAAAATTTGTTTTTTTGGTGGGTTTCTTTTGGGCGAAAATTACCATCCAAATGGGATTGCAAAATAGAACACCATCAGCATTCTCGATCGCAAGACTCCGGTGAACATGTCGGCGATAACCGTCGGCGAAATGATGGCGTACGACGCTTCGCCGATGCCAACGATTCCGCGAAGCAGCAGAAAAAGCCAGAACATCTGGAAAATTGATGAGTTGCTCAAAATTGTTTCGAGATTTATCAATTGTTTCCTACATTTTTTGGGATTAGTGTTGATGCGAAGACGGCCGAAACCCAGATCACAATTCCGACGACAAAAATCCATTTTCGATTGTAGCGGTCGCCGAAAAAACCGCAAATCGGCGAGAAAATTATGAAGAAGACCATGAATGTGGTCTGAATGAGACCCGCCCAGGCGTCAGATATATCATAGTAGTTTTGAACATCGGACAGCACTCCTGAAAACAATTTCTACAATTTATTTAATCCAATTGATTCTTTTTAAATTTTTCAAAGAAAACATTAATAGAAACATTTTCGAATTCAAGGCTCGTGGAAAAATAATAATAATTACTTACTTAAGAACTAATACTTTCTGAAAGAAGTACATTGAAACTAGCTAGAAGTTTAAAAATTTTCGAAAAATATCATTTTGCGGCTAAAAATGGCTAAAAAATTGTGTAAACATGAAGAACTGAAGAGAAAAAAAAGGGAATTCCGAAAATTGATGAATCGAAAAATGATTTGGTGAAATTGTGCGCGTCGGTGAACTGCAGATTGAGCGGGCACCGTAACACAATACAAATTTTTAACAAAACATTTTTTAATTATCGCCCCAAAAGGGCACTATACTCAAATACAAACCTGCCAATGTATAGCGATCCATATAATTAAGTAGATTGATAATAAATAATATTGAAACAACGACAACCGTCCAGCATCCCTGAAATTCGGAACGCTTCTCGCCATCAATCGTCGTCGGCTCGATGCTGGTGGCCGCGTCGGAATCCCTAGCGGACCATTCACGCGACGGCACGTCGAACGATCGGACCTTCTCATCGAGCGGCGCCACCTTGTTTTTGCGCATTTTTCAAAATGTGGTCCTAAAGAATTTCGATTTTATCAATGCAATAACGAGCACGAGGGTCGTAAATAAAAAGGGCAACGCATAGTTAAACAAATTGATAAACATGCGCCTTTAAGAAGAAAAAACAAATAATAACTTGGGACTTTTTCTTCTTTCTCTCACTCTCGAAAAAAGAAATGAAGAAAATACAATGTGCCTTTAACATGGTAAAATCAGACCACCACAAAAAAAGCGCGAATGTTGCCATTCTTATCTCGACACTTAATTCTTCCACTTTAAATGCATCACCTTTTTTGGCGGCCGGCGCGCTTCCGGGAAACAGATTAAAATTTTGAGGAAATTGGGCGAAGAGAAAATTTTAAAGTGTCTCGAATTAACTGAAAAAGACGACCAATCGAAAATTGGTATGCGCCGATTTTTTTTCTTCTCATTTTCATGGTACTATGCTCTTTTCGCGAAGAAAAAATGAGCTAAAAACCCACGGTAAAAAAAAAACATCAAAAAACTCTGAAAATCTGCATAGCGAATTTGAAGTCGGGAAAAAAAAAGTTTTCAAAAATTTTTCCCAATTCGATTATATTTTTAAGCGGCAAAAATATTTAAAAAATTTACATAAGCGGGGTCTTGAAGCGAATCGCAAATCATTTACAATGGCATGCGCCTTTAACACCGAGAACTGTATTGTACTATTCAAAAATAGTGGATTTTAAAAAAAGCGAAAAATTAAAAATGTGTGTGTTTCAGAAAATTTTGAGCGTCAAAATTTAAAAAAAATTTTAATTATTTGAAAAAATGTCTTGACGCGAATTGTCGAATTTTGGCTCAATTAATGTTCTTCTCAAAAAAAAAATGACATTTGATTAAAAATGCGATAAAAAATGTGAAGAGCGCGTGTAAGACGATGGCGATAATTGCGGAATTGTGCGACCAATAATCGGCGAGAGCGGGTCAGATTGGTAATTGGTCGACGAGAAAACGACAAATTCATCATCAGTTTGGCAATTTTTATTTCGAGCTAAAAAAAAAGGTCGCCTTCTTCGAAAAATCAAGCCATCAGAAATGATCGCCGCAAGACCCCCAACCTTCAATTTTTTTCAAGTCGCAATTTTCGAATGCTCAAAAATACAATTAAAGAATTCTAAAATTGCATTCTTCAAATTTCAAAAACAATTGTGAACATTGAAACCACATGATTTCGGGTCTCGTGACGATCGGCTCAAAACGAAAAAAAAACAGAAGAGACATTTTTTGTTTCACGGCTCCTTATTAAAATAATCGTTTGGAAAATTGTCCGCAGCATGTCGTTGATATCTAAAGTGCGCGACATTGCCGGGACGTTGAGCAAGCTAATGGACAATGTCTCATGTGGATGTAATGCGTTTTTTTTTCTGATTTTTTTCAATTCACTATCTGCGGCGCGTTTTGGGCAAAAAATGGCAATTTTCAGAAATTGAAGAACATTTTCGACAAAACGAAAGAAAAAAACCATGGGAATTTGAACATTTTGAAAAAAAAAATTTGCGTTTGAATTGCCGCCCAAATGTTTTTTTGGCAATTTCTGGCAAAAATTCATTTTTATTTTCGGGCGGTTTTTGATCTCAAAATTTGAGGTTTAAATAATCTTGGAAAAATTGTGTGCAAACACCGCGACGCAAATCTACACAATTGAGATTTTCAATACTTTTTTTTCGCGGGGTTTTTTTTTCGAAAAACGCAAAGCTCGAAAATTTGACAATTTTGACAAATCACTAATTCCGTAAAAGCGCTTTGCGAGGAATTCTTCAAGTATTAAAGGATTATAATGGTCCGTGGGAAAACCAAAAAAAGAGGTATGCGCCTTTAAAACCGGTTTAGGTGTGTGAAATTGAAGCGAACAAATCAATTGCATCGCAAAAAAGAACCGCAATTCTCAAATCAAATCTCGTCGAGACTCTCATCATCATCAAAATTAAAGGCACATCGCGTCGTAAAAAGGGACTAATCAAATATTTGAACATACCGTGACAAATTGTTGATAAAAAAAAAAAATTAAAAACGGTTCCGGAAAAAAATTGCCATTAGTCACTGGCAGAATAGTAAAATTGGAAAAAGAAAAGGTGTTGCGGCGAATATAAAAAAAAAAGTGGGTGTCATGGATGGTTGTCGAAAACATTTTGAGAGAATTCCAACGCGAAACTAGTTTTCGTCGACTCCGGAATCGACCTTTTTCGAACGGAAATTCAACGGATTAAGATTGTAAAATTATCGGGTCCGAATGGTTTTTTTTTGGGTTTTTGTCGAATCCGATTTGTTTTAATCTTTTACTTCGAATCGGATTCGACAAATATCCAATCGGATCGGAAAAATATCCAGTCGGATCCAACAAATTACCATTCGGATTCGACAAATATCCAATCGGACCCGACATATATCCAATCGGACCCGACATATATCCAATCGGATCTGAATAATATCCAGTCGGATCCGAAAAATATCCAGTCGGATCCGAAAAATATCCAGTCGGATCCGAAAAATATCCAGTCGGATGCGAAAAATATCCAGTCGGATCCAACAAATTACCATTCAGATCCAAAAAATATCCAGTCGGATCCGAAAAATATCCAGTCGGATCCGAAAAATATCCAGTCGGATCCGAAAAATATCCAGTCGGATGCGAAAAATATCCAGTCGGATCCAACAAATTACCATTCAGATCCAAAAAATATCCAGTCGGATCCGAAAAATATCCAGTCGGATCCATAAAATATCCAGTCGGATGCGAAAAATATCCAGTCGGATCCAACAAATTACCATTCAGATCCAAAAAATATCCAGTCGGATGCGAAAAATATCCAGTCGGATCCAACAAATTACCATTCAGATCCAAAAAATATCCAGTCGGATCCGAAAAATATCCAGTCGGATCCAAAAAATATTCAGTCGGATGCGAAAAATATCCTGTCGGATCCAACAAATTACCATTCGGATTCGACAAATATCCAATCGGACCCGACATATATCCAATCGGACCCGACATATATCCAATCGGATCTGAATAATATCCAGTCGGATCCGAAAAATATCCAGTCGGATCCGAAAAATATCCAGTCGGATCCGAAAAATATCCAGTCGGATCCAACAAATTACCATTTGGATCCAAAAATATCCAATCAGATCCGAAAATTTTACAATTTTATCCCTAGAATTTCCAATCGGTTAAGATTGATTCCGGAGCCAAATTTTGCCGGATCCGATTGGTTTTGAGTTACCGGAATCGTGAAAAATGTGAACCAAAAATAAAAGAAACCGAAGAAACCATTTTTAGAATCAAATAAATGTTAAAAAAATATTTTTTCTAGAATTGAATTGTAAATTTGAATAATTCTTTAAAAATAAACGTTTCCTTCGATTATCAATGCCAAAAAAAACAGTGTGAAATTGCGGGACCATCGTAATTTTTTGGCGGCAATTCAAATTTCAATTTGAATTGTCGGAATTTGGACACCGAACTACGGACGAGTTTTAAAGAAAAATCTTTTTTTCTCTTTATTAGCCTCGAAAAAAATTTGCTCCTTTCAGTTTTTTCCATACAAGACCCAAGGCGGCAATTCAAATTGTTACAGTAATCCCCAAAAAGTTTTTATGGGATTTGCCAAAGAAAAACCTTTCTTCTTTAAAAAAAAAGTTATCTTTTCGTTTTCAATTTTTTCAGCTCTCCGCTACGCGCCTTTAAATCTGGTCTTGTCACGAAAACAATTGTAGAGAATTTCCAAGAGAAAATTCAATAGCAAGATTCGCTTTGAAAATTGGCCTCGACCCAAATAACGAGACCAACACAATTATTTCTGTGCGCCTTTAAAGCCTTTGCGACCAAAATGCAAAAGAATACGATTTATCAGCAAAAAAAAGTGTCAGCTAATCCTCAATTACATGGAAACCGTTGAAAAATGTGTGAGAGAGAGAAAAAAAACAAAGTGCATCAAGATTATACAGACAGATAGCAGAAAGTGTGATCGATAAGAAGAAGATCGAAGAAGAAGGCGAGAAACGCCGACGGCGAATGTAAATAAAATCGAATCGAATTGGATCGCAGTCGCGCGAGCGCGCGACTGCGCGGATCGAAAACGATAACCCGTATTAATCTACGTACATATGTATGTATGCATATATGTATAACTATACATGTTATAATAAAAAAATTGACCCGTTCAAATATTATAATGTTTGGCGAGAAGCTTCCAGAAGAACTCGAATTGATTTTGGCGCCCGTTGAATCGCATGAGACGCTCGGCGACGAACTCCTCGAAATCGACGCGACTCATTTTTTGCCACACTTCGCTGAGGCGACGCACGAGGAACTCGTAGAACTCGGCGGCGGTTTCGATGTCGAGTTGGCGGTAATCTGAAAACCGACGAAAATTGCATTATTTTTCGTTTTAAAGGCGCATTCAATTTCTTCGGAAATTGATTTTTTTTCAACGAGCAATTTCAGAAATTGCCGACCATCGTACTTCTTTCGCGAGCGGAAATTCGAAATTTCGATTTAAACAGTGGGGTACCGTATTTCGTAATTCTACACAGAGTGCCCGTTTATTTTTGCGATTGTAATATAAAGAGATGTGTGCCTTTAAAGCAGCACGAAGGCCCATAAATTAAACTCGATGGTCTCGAAACTCTTCTTCAATATTTGAGCGTCTAGAAAAATTCCCTTCAAATATGAACTCGAAGAATGTTAAGAAAAACTTCAAAGATTTTTTTTTATTTCTAGAATACCTTCGAGACCGCGTTTAAAGGCACACGCCCTCTCTCTCTCTCGCGATCTTCAATCATTTAAACCTAATTTCTCGGCCAACTCCCTTAAATAGCCATAATTCATGTGAAACATAATCAATTTCTTTTCGGCGCAAATTCAATTATAAAATTGGTGAAGGAAAGGAAAAAATATGGTCAGTTTTGTCTGGCGCATGCTGCGGACATCCTAACCGGCCCCGCGCTTCTCCCGTTCAAAGCTCGATTTCATCAATTATTCAAAAAAAAAACCCCAGACAGCTGAATTCAAGTTCGCCTCCGATTCATGCTCGCTTGAAACCTTTTGCAGGAGGCTTTTGATGGATGACTATTATAATAATTATTATTTGATTAATTGCGATTTGAATTTCACCGTATTCTCCACGTGGCAATTTCTGGCCACCGCCGTTCATATTCTTTCCGTATTTCTCGTATGTGTGAATTTGTTCGGCGCCTATTGCATTCTGTTCAAAACGCCACCGAAAATGGAGCGCGTCAAATGGGTGATGTTCAACGTCCATTTTTGGTAAGAGAGCTTCGCCGATTTTTGAAGGCAACAAAAAATTGCGAGTCTCGTCGCGCAGAAAAAAAATCGCATGAACGTTTACACGTCAAAAAATCACGTTTTCCTTAGAAAAGAGACAACAGCTGTTTCAATTTTACGCAAATCGAAAATCAAAAATTCGATTTTCAATTAAATAAAAAATATATAATTTTAATGCCCAATTTCTAATTTTTTTTTTCGGAAAACTTCAAATATGTAAAGGTCTCAACACGATTTACATTTATATATTCAATGGTCATAAAATTGTGCGTATTTGTTGAAAAAATAAACGATTATATCTATTGTCTGTTTCGGAAAAAATCGGCTACGAGAAAATAAAATCGCTGCGAGATTCGCCGTAAAAACATGCATGCGCCTTTAATTACCGTATCCAATTTCTTTAAATGAAAAATTCCGTTTTTTAATATTCAGATTTCTACAAATTTGAAAGAAGTGAATTTAAAAAAAAAATGAAAAAAAAAAACACTATTTCTAATTAAAAGCGCATGACGCTGAAAATGAGCTGGGTCCTGCTTACGGCGATCAATTTTTGTAGCACCAAAAATTTGAAAAAAAAAACAAACCCTAAAAATCGCTATGCAGATGGCAGAAAAAAACCAAAAAAATTTGGCCACGGCCAGGAATACCACAGTTTTCATAAAATCGCTGAAAGACGGTATGCGCCTTTAACCTTATTTTTTTTAATTCCACATTTTCATATTTCGGTTAAAGGGACATGAGATGAATATTTTTGTGATTCTTTCACGCGTAATTTTCGCCTAGGAGCACATCAGTCGACATAATGCTCAATTCGATCATCACTCCCTACTTCTTTTTTCCCGGCATTTGCGGTTTTCCTGTCGGCGTTTTCGCCCATTTCGGCGTCAACACCGGCCTACAGATATTCCTCGGCCAATCGTTCGTCGGCATTCTCGCCGTCGCAATTCTAATGATGTTCGAGAATCGCCATCGGACGCTCGTCACCGGCAAATGGAGTCTCGAGAATCGCACGATTCGAATCGTCTACTATGCGATCAACTACACCTATGGTGTCATGTTTGTGTTTCCCGTCTTCATGGATATTCCCGAACAGGAGCCCGCATTGTTGTACGTCTTAAACAATGTAAGAGTTTGATGAATTCGGGTGCGGCGAGACCCACATCAATTATGATTAATTAATGAGCTTGATTTGCGCGTAGAATGAAATGCAAACTCTTAAAGAGAGTACGGGGAGGGGGGCAAAAAAAACGAATATTCTTAGTTATTTTCTCGAGATACTGTCGTCAAATAAGATGTACAAGTCCGCAATGTAATGAGTCCGCGTGTTTACACCTAATGCATATTACTTGACGCCTAATTTAAAATCTCGCGCGATTTCTGGGTGGTTCGAAGAAGAAAAAAATGAAAGACCTCCAAAAAATGGAATAATTGCGGACTTGGACATTTTATTTGACGACAATTCCCAGTTTTTTCATCCTTATCAATTTTCAATAATATTTTAATGATTTTTGCAGTTAAGCGCCATTTGAAAAAAAAAACGATTGCGGACAATGCATTATAATTGACGACATTTCCCCATCAAACGCTATCGCTGTTGCAGATCGTCAATTGCCCAACGCCGGAATTTTTTCTCGGCACCGTTTACGTGCTCACCACCGACAACACCCAACTGATGGCGATGATCATCATTTTTCTATTCGCCATCGTTTTTCAATGCGCATTTTTCATCATTCACTCGCTATACTTTTTGCTGACTCGAGCAAATTCAATGTCAAAAAGGACACTTCAACTACAAAAACGCTTTATCATGAGCGTCTGTATACAGGCAATAACTAAGCTCACACGCACCAAAAAAAAACCAAGGCATTCGAATGTATTTCGCCATTTTCAGGTCGCGAATCCCGTATTCGTTCTAGTCGTGCCGGTTGTAATGTTCATGTATGTCATTAGTGCCGGCTATTATAATCAAGGTGGGAATTTAAAGACGCATGGGCTCTCGACGCGACCGAAAATACACCAATTTCCATTTGAGAGTTTAAAGGCGCACATAGAACAACGCAAAAATATTCAAATGATACAAGTCTGTTTCGAAAATGGAGAAATCTAACCGAATGTAAAGAAAATACAAATAATTAGTAATTTTTATGCATTGCCCTAAAAAAGCAAAATGTACGAAAAACCGTCTGTCTTTATTTTTCGTTTTTGAACATTTTTAAAGGAATTAAAATGATCTACTAGAAAACTTTAATGATCTACTAGAAAAGATTGGCTGGTTCTTTTTGCTTAAAAAATCATTTGAATAAATTGACTAAACAAACGACAACAATTCTGAAGATCACAGGCGAATTCAAGAGCGGGGTAACTTTTTTTTTACTTTTTTTCTCCAAAAATCGCCACAAAAGAAATCCCCCGAAAATTTTCAGCTCTCAACAATATCACCGTGATTCTCATCAGTCTTCACGGCATCACCGCCACAATCTCACTAGTGCTTCTAAACGAGCCGTATCGAGCATTTCTATTATCGATTCTCAACAAGAACAGACACAAACTGAGCTCGAAATTAGCAAAATCCTCACAAGTGTTCCAATTGCGCTCGAGTATGAGCTTCAACGAGCGATCCGTTCTCTATTGATTCACAAATTTTTTCCCCCTCAATTGTTACCTTATATTGTTATAATAAAATTTGCGCAATTGGTTTATTCATTAAAGAAAATCGAATTCTTCTAAATCGAATTGTTTCGAATCCAAAAATAGGGCACCAAAAGAAACTATTGTCTATTTGACGACTCGCTTTCGACAATAATCAAGGTCACAAACGTTTTCGTGGTAAAAGCTTCACGAGTGATAGAAGAATTTCGAAAAACCGCGTTACGAGACCATCAGGAATACTTTTAAATGAGCGCGATTTTAAATCGGCATGAACATGTCGAAAAGTCGTATTTAAAGGAGCATGCCTTCAGAAAGTTCGTAAATCTACCTGTCTCATCGGAATCCATCAAACTCTTCCGTCTGATATTGAAAGCGTGCGGCGGCGGCGGCGGCGACGAATGTTCCTTATCGCTTATCGGCGTCCTAAAAATTGGCAATACCATACATTTTTTAGCTAGCGCATTTTTTATTTATATTTCGCGCCCACAATAATATAAAAAAACGAAAAAATGGCGTTCAAAAATCGTTTTCACGGCCGCCAATTTTGGAATTCCCCAGAGAAATTCCAATTTCTTTTTTTTGGAAGGAGTGAGGAGGCGAAGGCCAAAGAGCGCTTCGAAGCAGCACCGCGGCTATTCATTCATTCTAATCGCCAACTTCCTCAGTTTTCTCCGCATTTTTTCTTCTTTGCTGGTTTTTTTTTGTCAAATAATAATTCGTCGCTCCTCATTTTTTGGAGGGGGGGGGTGGCTGTTTTTTGATTTTTTCAAGTGCACCCATCGAAAACATCAACCTACTTCTCATTTTCCGTCTCCTCGTCGATTCCTTCTTCAATTTCGCCTATCATTATTCCAATAGCATTCCCAATTTCCACATTTTTCGATCTGCAAACATTCAAAATGACAAAAAAAAAGTTTAGATTCTCATTTTCGTTCGACAATACCTCGAAAATGTGTTGGGCGTCGTGTCGGGTCTCATCGCGTTTCGCCATTCATCGCATATCAGAAAACTACCCGCATTCACCTGAATAATTTAACGAAATTCACGGATTTTGGAAAATTTCTTTTTCACGTATAAATTTTGTTGAAAATCACGAAGCAACTTTTAAACATAGTAGAATTCATTGCAAAAATTATTATTTTCCTTTTTGTTTCTTCGAAAAAAATGAAAATCGACGCGATTTTCAGCGATGGCCGCCAAATCCGCGGCCATCAAAATTAGTCCATATTGTTTTTACCCTATTTTGAATAATTCGCCTAATCGTTTCCGGCTGCACATCATCGACAAATTCGACAAACGCTTGCCCGAATTGCGTTCGCTCGATTCCAATTATCGCAAATTTCTCGCGAATCACACATTTCCAATTAATAAATGCCGAATTTTCGAGTTTACAACACTTCAACTCAACACCGATTTTTTCGCCGCCGATTCTCAGATTTTTCCAATATCTAAAAAAAGAAATTGTCAAAAAACAATTACGCAAAACAATTAAAAACCTGACGCATTCAGTGCGAAACTGATGAATTTGGTCGTAAATCGTGCGTTTGCTCACCGAGCAATCGGCGATTTCGCCCATTCTTCGATTGCTTAGCCATGAAATTGTTATGAACACTTGATCGACTAGACGAATGTGTGATCTTGAGAAGAATGTCGATTGCTTCATGCTGGCTGATGAGCAATCTTTACCGCGACGCCGGCAAATCCACTAAAATTTTCATTGCAATTTTAAAAAATGCATTTTTTCTCACCGAATTCCCTTTACAATTGCGAAATTTTGGCTTCATTTGATGGCCGCATTTGTGACAATTCGGTTTTTTGATTATTCCTGATTGCAAGAGGCATATAACGAGCTCTTTCTCACCGCGCGTCTTCATTCCATCAGCCGATGTGCATTCCCAAATAAATTCCGGCATTTTGTTGGTGTTCTTGATTTCCAGTGGATCCTGGATGATCCACATCTCGTCAACTGACTCATTTTCGCTCTAAAGCGCTGCGGTTAGCAAAAAGAAAATCGCATTTTTCGACAAACGTTCATAAAAAGCCCGACGAGCTCGTCAATTTTTGATCGCGATGGTTTGAATTCCGCATATTCATCTATTTCCTCCATGATCTTGTCCAGCGCATACCTGAAATTCGATGTTGAGTGCAATTTAAATAAGCAATTTTCAATGAAATTTAGGGGAAACACAGATCTTTTTGAAATGTCCGCAAACACCGAGTAAATTATGAATGAACCAGTTGCAGAGCTACAGTACACAATCACCAAAATTCACAGACAATTTTTTTCATTGCGTTTCACGAGACAACTCGATTTTTTACCTCAATAGAACACAAGACAAAATCTATTTTTGCTATAAAATCGCCAATTTCATTAGAAATTATCATTTTTTGCTAAAATAGAATAATGATAAACTTACTCATTGATTTGGTGAGGGTAGGAAAACTAGCATGGGTCGTCGAGAGGAGCGACAGATGGAGAATTGGCGGGGGAGAGAGGAGGGGGGTGTCTTTCTGCATGGGGGGGGGTGCTTTGGCCACAGCACAGATCATAGAGTATAGGAAAATATGAGATGACAAACAAGAAACGTTAGAGGGGGGGCTGTATTGCAAATGGGAACCCCACCCCCCCCCCCCACCCCCCGTCCATCGCTTTCTCTCATCATTCCAGCGAGGATGTCGGCAGAAGGAATGCGCGAAAAAAATAAGAAAATTGGACGCAGGAAGGGGGCGTGGTTGGCGAGGGACCTCGTCGATCGAATCCGCTCTTCGCTTTCGTTTTCTATTTGTTCCCTTCATTCATTCCATCTTTTTCGCTTTCGTCCCCACCCTTATTACTTTTGGTTTGCCTCACCGCTCTCACGCTTCATCAATTTTCAGATGTCCGCCAAAAGGAATGTCAAAGGATTCCTGCTTGACATCACCGGCGTTCTATACAACAGTCGAATGGGAACTGATGGCGTCGCGATACCGAGATCAGCGGAAGCGGTGCAAATGTAAGAAAATAGGTGATCAGAGAAATTAAAGGCTTTTTTCAAACGAAACACACGATTTATTAGCGAGAAAACTCAAAATTCTAGGCCGCTTGGAGAAATGCTCACATGATGGCCTAGAAATTTCCTAGACCATTTTCTATTTTTTGTTTATCGAAAAAAATTTGTTTTCTTTCAAAATATTATTAATACTTTAAAAACATTTCTTACATTAAAACTAAAATTTAACCTATTTAAATTTGAAAATTTTCATTTGGCTTCAATATTACACTTTTTTTCTCATTATAAATTAAAAAAATGTTATTTAGTAATTGTATATAAATTTGCAAATGTTAGTATTTAACCAATGAAAGATTGTTATTTTCTGTTTTAAAAAACACTAAAATTTGTTTTGAATTTACATTTGCATTTTCTAGGCTTTATGACAATTCGAAGGTGAAATTTCTTAGCAACTCGAAAGGATATTCAAATGCCAACGTTGCCAAACGACTTCAAAGGCTTGGGATCAAGTAATTAATGATAATTATTGTGCAATGATGATTATCAATAATTAAGTGTTCGCGAGGAAGACGTTATAACGCCTGCACCAATCGTCGCTGAATATTGCCGACGCAACAATCTGAATCCGCATTTATTCATCAGAAATGGTATAATTTTCGGGCATATTCGGTGTGATTTTGGCAAATTTCTCTATAGAAACCCCTTCTATTATAAACAGATGTTGCGCATTATTTCGCCGGTCTCGAGGAAACCGAAACGCCGAATTGTGTGGTGATGGGCGAGGTTGAAGACGGATTCTCGTTCGATCGAATCAACAAGGCGTTCCGCGTTCTTCTCAATATGGAGAAGCCGTTTCTAATCACAATGGGCAACGGGTAGCGTTCTAGTTTTTTTTTTGGTCAAAACGGATTTTCTAAAAAATTGAGATTTCAGAAAGTATTTTCAACGAATCGACGGGCCTTGTATCGATATTGGCGCATTTGCTGCAGCTCTCAAGTTTGCAACAAATTGCGAGGTCATGAACATTGGAAAGCCGAGCAAATTCTACTTCCAGGAAGGGATTCGAGCTTTGGGATTAGATCCTAGCGAGGTAATTCTGATTTTGAGCCGGCTTTTTTGGTGTCAAAATCGAAAATTCAAAAATTGTCATGGGTTTGTGGGTTCCATTTATCTATAATTTTAATTTCCGACTTGGGTCTTGTATGGAAAAGCTTTAAAAAGCGAGTTTTGCATTTTTTTCGCAATGAAAAAAATGATATATAGAAATTGGAAAATAGGGAAAACATAATTTTAAGAAAATTTCATTATTTTTGTTCTTGACAAAAATTTTGCGTTGATATTCAAAAACGAAACAAAATTCATCGAAGTTCATTTATGAAAACTCATTTTTTGCATTTTTTGATTTTGTAGATTGCGATGATCGGCGACGACATCGCTTCGGATATCGGAGGTGCTCAGGATTGCGGAATGATCGGCATCCAAGTGCGAACCGGCAAATGGCGTCCGGAATTCGAGAATCATCCAGTAAAGCCGGATCTCATCGTCGACTGCCTCTACGACGCCGTCAAGCAGATTCTTGAAAATAATCATACCTTGTAGAAAGTCTCAAAATTAATTTATTATTTTAAATGCCTCGATTACTGGTTTATTTCTGCCATTTCATTCCAACTCGCTAATAAATTAAAATCGACACGCAATTATCGTGGTTTTTTGTTTGAAATTCTCATTTTCTCATAGAATTTGCGCATAGAATAGACGCATTAATATTTGTTGAATCGGTTTGGATATCACGATGAGCACGAGCGGTTGTGAGCAGGCGCAGCAGACGGTCAAGAAACTCGAGGATGCGATTCAGCTTCTGCTCAGCAAAGGACGACAGGTGAACAAGATGCTGGATGATGAGAAGACGCGGATGAAAGAAAGTCGGAAGCAGGAGATTGCCGGATTGAAGGAGGAGCTCAAGGTTGGAATTTTGATGCAAAATTGCTTTAAAAATTTTTCTATAAATTTTGAAATTCAATGCCATTTTTTTGTTAAATAAAAAATGGTCAATGAAAATTGCGATTTTTTTTTGCTAATTTTTTGAAAAGCTTAAAAATTGCCTTCAACCCCCTGCGACAGAGAATGCCGTATGATTAATCTGGACGCTTTTGCTCGTCTGCGCGATGTCTGTCAATTTTTTCTCAATTCTTTATTTTTTTTAAATCGAATACGTCTAATTTCGAACCAAAACCGGTAAATTTCGAAGCCGGAAAGCGATTTGAAACAAATTTTCAAAATTGAAGGACAAATCGGTGAAATCTCCGGTTATTTATTCCAGAACAGCAAAACGATTCGCGGTGTGAAGCCAATAACATCAAAACGCGCCATTTCCAATAAGGTTGTCCAATTATTTTTTTAAATTCCTAATTCAAAATTTAAAATTTCAAGATTCGCATTGAAGAAAAAATGGACTTTGACGTGCCCTCATTGGTATCAGAATCTAATGGAATCATTCAGAATCTGTTTTTTTTTGTGATTCCAGCCGTTTGAAAAATCAACAACCAACGTTGGATCATGCTCGTCATCAACGAAAATTGAGAAGAAGCCGTCATCGAGCGCGACCATCTCGCCGTCGTGCCTCGTCCGATCGCCAATGCCAATGAAAAGCTCGACGTCGAATAATTATATTGTTCTCGAAAGCGAGTACAGCGTTCAAAATGGCGTCAATATAAAATATTTGCCAGCGTCGGTGAGATTTTTCGAAAAAAAAAAACACAGAATAATTGAAATTTGAATTCAATTTTTCAGACAAAGGTGTGGCAGAATAGCGACGGATCGATAAATGTGATTTACAGTTTTCTCGATGAGAACAAAAATGTGAGAATTTTTTGAATTCGCGTTTTTTTGTACATGATTTTTTTGCAGGTATTGCTTAATGTGAAATGCCGTTTGAATGGATCTCTCGTCTCGAATGTCTCGATCGAATCTCCGCAAAAAGTGAATTGAATTTGCTAAATTTCATCTAATATTGTTTTATTGTTTTACTGAAGTGAGCGGGACCCGCAAAATTCGTGCATATTTTTTCATTGGCTGAATATTAAATGCGCGTACGTTATAATGCAATGTACGCAATTTCGCGTAATTCTACCGCTTTGGCACAGAGCCAATTTTTTTTTAATTTTCATGCAGTCGTTTAACGCCGATTTCTATTATTTCCACCAGTCCTATTTCGGCAAGTGCTTCTCCGAAGTATCACCGAATATTCGCTCTAACAGATTTTTATCACCAGAGGAAAACCGCGATACTTTTTGATTTGTCGATTTCACCGAAAATCCGTTTTTTTTTTTTGTGAATATCAAGAAAACACTTGGGGATTCTGAAAAACCATCAAAAAATTGCAAATTTTAAAGAAATCCTATTAAAAAGTCTCTTTGAAATGAACATTTAAAACATCTTTTGAGAGTTAAGCAAAAAATTGTAATAACACACCATGAAAGGAAATATTTATTAAATATGAAAAAAATTCGACGTCGCGTTGCCTTTGCTGTTGGTATTTTTCCGATTTTGCCGCACCAACGCGACGCTGAAAATGCGAAAAATGCGATTAATCAGCGATTCATGACTGATTATTTTCAAGAAATCCCCAAATCAGGATAGTGTAATTCAATCAATCAACATCACAATCTCGAGATTCTCGGTTTAAGAAGACAATAATAATTTTGTGCATCTAATCCTCCAAAATCTCATCGAATAGCCATCGTGGTCCGCGATGTCGATGCTTATGCTCATGGTGTGCGTGGTGTTTGGCGAATCGAAGCGCCTTCAGGAACACGTGCTGATCCTTCTGATACTTTTGCATCGATTCGAGACTCGTCGAGATTCCGATCAAATCGCAAAATCGCGACGGACCATTGACGACACCGCGTTGAACCATGCAATAATTAAACAACGATTGCGAGTACTTCTGCCTCTCGCGTTCAATGATAATTTGGCCATGTGATGATAGACCGCGAATCGCTGGAACTCGATCAATTTCAGTTTCAATATCAAAATTCCGTTTTTTTACCTGGATTACATATAAAAATCGCCTTCAACAACAAATATTCGACATGGTCCAATTGGGTTCGAAGTAGAGTTGCCACAGCCATATGGATGTTTTGGCTGTGATTCTTGTAGTAATCCACTTCTTCAGCATTCTGCGGAGGTTTGCTGCAGCTGAAAAAAAAGAACCGATTGCGATTCGGAATATCGAATTTGAGAATCTCTCACCTAACCGGACTTCCATCGGGAAGAAGAAGCCGGTCGGCCTTCATGATATTCACCGAGAAGTACGCGTTCATGAGATTCGAGCTGATTAGTGTGACATGTTTGAGAAGAGCAATCTAAAATTGCGAAAAATCGCGGATTTTTATCAATTTCGAGCTCGTTTTTGGCATTTTCAATATTTTTTTTCCGTATAAATCCTACCTTGCTATCGGGATCCAGTTGATCGATGAATTCCAAACACTTGGCCAGTTCAATACTAGCTAGAATGCTGCCATGAAGGTATTTCGTGCGAGTCGCATGGTTTTTCCGACGATCGTCATCGCTGAAAAAATAATTTCAGCGATTTTCCCAAAATTTCCCCATTTTTTCTCTCTTTCATATACCATTTAAATCTCGGCGGCAATTTGACCAAATTCGGAATTCGCTCAATTTCGAAAACCGGTTGCGAGTTGATCAAATCATTGAGGGTCCTCACATCAATATAGCCGAATGGGACCCCGTTCTCCCAAATCGGTTGTACAAGACGCTCAATATAATCAAGCGTGTTGATTATCAGCGTGACCTTCGATTCCATTGTTCCCACATTTTTGTAGATCTGAAAATTGGAATTTGGAGAATTCAGAAAATTTGAAAACACCCCAAAATTATGAAAAACATGAAATTTCTCTTTATTTTGACACAAAGAAATCTAAATATATCGAGTTCCGTCGAAAAATCGAAAAAGAAACTTTTTCACAAATTTTGAAATTGAAAATTTTTTCGCAAATAAAATTAAAATCAGTTTTTGATTAGAACAACTCAAAAAAGGGTTAAAATTGTCGAAAGAATCTCAAATTAAACATGTTTTGTCACAATTTCTATTAAATATCACATTAAAAATAAATGTTTTTACACGAAAGTTTTGAAAATCTCAAGAGAAACCAACCTTTTCAATGACCATCTGCTCCTGCTTATGCTTCTGCCTCGCAATCACCTCTCTGATCAATTCTCGCCCTTCATCGTTTTTGATTTCCGCCTGAACAGCTCTTGGATTCATTCCAGCTTCCACGCATCGATCAAATCGACAAGATTGGCATATGCGTTTCACTTTTCCTTCAATTTCTCGTAATAAATTTGTTGGCCATTTTTGACATTTAAAACCTCACCATTTCGCCATTCCTCAAAACAATCCGCTTTTTTATTGCAAGCGAATCTCCGACCGTCGGTGATGGTCCGTCGGAAGAATGTCTTGCAGCCAGTGCATGAAGCAACCTGAAATTTTCGAATTTCTCATGATTACTTACAGAAACAGCCTTAACAAACGAAAATTTTTGAATTTTAAAAATTTATTGTCAATAGTCAGAAACATTTTGTCAGGAAGAATTTAATTTTTAAACTTCAATTTTTTCATAGGTGACAAATGAACAAATCTCATTAATTTTTCAAAAAAGTTGAACAAAAAATTAAAATATTCAATAATTTTTAATCAAAATTAATTTGAAAATAGGTATTTTTTCAAATGATATATTCCTTACATCATAATGATAACCAGTAGCCGGCAAATTGCAAATTATGCATATTTTCGGGCATTCAAACCGTTCGCTCTCATTAGTAGATGAACTGAAATTTCAGAACAAAATTGTTTTTATTTCGAAACGAATTAAGCTCACGAAGTACAAGGGCTATCCGTCACATTTCCATTTGTATCAAAATATTCCAAATTCATCTGAAATTTATTTCAATTTGAGAAAATTTGCGTAATAAATCAAATGAAAACAATTCGAAAAATGGTTGTGTCGAGAAAATTTTGTCTGCATGTCTTCGACCTCTCGCCTCTCGTCGAATATTTGCTTTGACTTGAAAATTGAAAACTATATTAACGACTTTCAGTTTTTATAAAACCAAAACGTATGAAAAATATAAATCCTGTGGAAAAATACGAATATATCGAAGTTTCGTGCGATTTTACGTTTTGAACACTCGGAGTAATTCTTTTTTTTTAAATCATACCTAACCATTTTTGGTGACTCTATTTGTATTGCGAACTATGTTCGACATTTTCTCGACCTGAAAAATTATTTTGAAATAACTAATGCAAAAACGAGATAGTAGAAACGCAAATTGAGAGTAAAACAACAATATTTATTTCATTTCATTAATGGAACTACGCGGATTTGGAAAAAACTCAAAAACCTTATGTAGGTCCAGATTTTTCGAAGTCTACATTATCGCAATTTTTTTTATCAAAACAAAAATTTTTAATTAAAGATTCATAAATTAAAGATTCATTAAAAAAATTAATTAAAGATTCATAAAAATTTTATATGCGCGCCATTAATTCCAATAGAAAAAAACCAAACCTATTCGAAAAATTGGATAAAAAAATAAAATCGTTACGGTTAAAGACGCATGTGCTAAAATTTCACGCGTTTTGCAGCGATTTAATAAATAATGTGTTACTGTAGACTTCGAAAAACATGGCCGTGGCCGAGGTTATCGAATTTTTATTTTAGCAATCATATCGATTTTTAGTTTTTCACCTATTTTTTTTCACTTTTTTTGTTTTTCACCTTCCATTTGAGTTTGTTTTTTCTAAATCTGTACCATTAATGTTAGTGTTTCAGTTGTAGGCTTTTTGATGAGGAATTTTCCCCTTTCGCTATGATTCTATTAGAATTTGATCTTTAAAATGCTTCAAAATGATTCAAATTAAGCGCAAGAAAACAGTGAAATGCCTTTAATTAAAACATAAGTTACTCGGCATTTCTTCCTCAGTTTGAACAGCCCTCAATTAGAAGTGTTTAATAATAATAAAATTCTGTGAGGATTACGGTAATCAGATTTTCGCATTGCGTACAAAACGCAGGATCTCACGCCATCGTAATGCTATATTCAACTTTTCAACATTAAAGCGATAATCAAATTATGAAAATATGGAAAGCCTTCAAATGCACAAATTTAGTCCTCGATGTCTCGAGAAGCATTGGCACATATCCAATAATGTTTTAAAATTTCGTTCAGTCGTTTGACGCCGGCAATATGCTTCAGAAAAAAAAGTAATAATCGGCCCTTACGAGACTCACATCAGCGCAAAAAAGTGTGCGCGCCTTTTATTCCAATATCTAAAACTATTCCAGTTTTTCTTCTCTAAGCCGTCGTCGTTTACCAATTTCTGATAGATTTTCTTAATTAGGGTGCTTGTTATTATTGTAACATTAAATTATTGTTTGGAAATATTTTAAACGTTTTCCGGCATGAAGTGTTTCCAAAAAACAATGAACTAACCGGTCAAACCATGTTCAATCTTGAAACAAGTGTATGCCTAACGATTATTATGCGATTATTGCGAACGACTTTGAGCAAACAGATGAGCCGTTCACAAAAAATTGGATTGCGCAATACTGCCGGTTGCCAGTGGTCGGAGTTATAAAAACGTTGGGAAGCCGCATTAGCATCACACCTGACAACCATGCGCTTCTTCTTCGTGCTCTCCGCTATCTTCTTCCTTGCTTCGGTAATTTATTAATCATACAATTAGAGTATAATTAGCATTTCATGATAGGCGACATCTCTTCGCGATAAAAGACAATGTGGTTGCACAGAGCAGCCGACGTGCTCCTGCCAGCAATCGGCCGCCCAGCTATACACCTGCGCTTGCCAGCAGCAGGCTCCGACGTCTTCGTGCTCATGCTCCCTGCAAACCGTCCACGTGCAAACCACACAGTGCGCTCCAGCTTGCCAGCAGAGCTGCACTCAGCAATGCCAATCGAACACCCAGTGTCTGTCGAGTTGCCAGGCGACTTGCCAATGCACCCCACTCCGGCTCCACAGGTGCTCCAGCTCCAACTGCAGTTCTCAGCCCAATGCATGCCCCAGTGTCAGCAACAGTGCCAGCAGCAGTGCACCACTACGCAATGTAGCCAACGGTGTGACCAACAGTGCCAGACGAAATGCGAGTCGGCCCCCGTCGCCGTAGCTCCGACTTGCGCTCCAGCTTGCCAGCCAGCCTGTCAGACCACCTGTGTCGCCCAGCTTCCAGCTGTCCAGCAATGCCAGCAACAGTACTGCCAGCCAATTTGCCAGCAGGCACCAGCAGCCATTCAATGCCAGCAGTGCCAAACCAACTGCCAGACTAGTCCAGCTCCGCAAATCCAAATCGTCAGCTTCGTGCTCCAGCCAACCATCACACAATCCGCTCAATGCATGCCACAATGCCAGTCCACCTGCCAACAGCAATGCGTCGCCCAGCAGCAGCCAGTCGTATCATGCGTTCCCGCCTGTCAGACCACTTGCCAACGATCCTGCCAGCCAGTCCAGGTGCCGTGCCAGGAGCCAGTGAGTTCGAACACCTGCACCTGTCAGATCAACTACTCGCCATGCGGAAACGGCCAATGCTGCAGAAGATAAACGAGAATGAGCCGCCTCATTATGTCTGTATATAATCGAATAAATATTAATTAATTAATTGATTGATGAGCTGATGTACCAACTATTTTGTTGCTGACCTCCAGACTCGTTTCTCATACATTAGATTAGTTCCTTGTAACTACTGGCTCAGCACTATTATCATCGCAGATAATAGAACCTTGAACAGTTGTGGATCAATTTTTGGCGGTAGATCAAAAGCCGATTTCACAGTGTGAATTTAGCTACCATACTTAACCTACGAAACAAACACAATCGCAGAGGTTGGAATTCCAACCATTTCCGAAAAAATTCAAACTTTTCCTAAAATCGATGCTTCTAAATTACGGTAGGCGATGCACTACAAATATAGTAACAGTGTACAATTTCATTATTAATATATCTTCTAAACTATATACAAATAAATGATGTCAGATAAACTACTCGCCATGCGGAAAATTCGTAATGTACAATATCACAAGAACCATCTCATTTTCAACAAAATTAGCTTTTAATTGAGTATGTTATTTACCTGCCAACAGCAATGCGTCGCCCAGCAGCAGCCAGTCGTATCATGCGTTCCCGCCTGTCAGACCACTTGCCAACGATCCTGCCAGCCAGTCCAGGTGCCGTGCCAGGAGCCAGTGAGTTCGAACACCTGCACCTGTCAGATCAACTACTCGCCATGCGGAAACGGCCAATGCTGCAGAAGATAAACGAGAATGAACCGCCTAATTTTGTCTGTATATAATCGAATAAATGTTAATTAATTAATTGATTGATGAGCTGTAGTACCAACTATTTTGTTGCTGTCCTCCAGACTCGTTTCTCATACTTAACCACGAAACAAACACAACGGATCGCAGAGGTTGGAATTCCAACCATTTCCGAAAAAATTCAAACTTTTCCCAAAATCGATGCTTCTAAATTACGGTAGGCGGTGCACTACAAATAGTAACAGTATACAATTTCATTATTAATATATCTTCTAAACTATATACAAATAAATGATCACTGTTTGCACCCATATTGTTGTGACCAGAATGGCTCGATGGCCCAATGAAAAGTGAGCGGGTCCATCGTTCGACCCGATATATATTTCGCATCCGAATGTATACACTTGATATCGTCGCGTTGTGGAATCTGAATCATCTCATAATTTCACTTTTTTTTTTCTGTCCACTCAATCCTTACTTCACAATAGTCCACATTTGGGCATATCGTATCAAATCGATGGCCTTCAACAAACCAAGGATGATAGAATGTCTCATTGTAACATTTGAATATTATTGGTCCAAACCAATTCTGATAATTCAGTTCACCGGCGATTGCCTTCATTTCTTCGGAGCTATGAACCCTTTAATAAAATTTCAAAGCGTTAATTAAAAACGTTTCGCTGCCTCACTTTCGAAAGTCGTTTTCCAAAAAATTGATATCATTCTCCCTTATTAGAGGTTCGGTTGTTGTATTATAAACCATTGGGATGCGGAATTCCGCAGTTCCATTCAATTCTCGATCAAGAAAATCTTTGATATGCATCAATTCATTGTCAAGAGAGTGAATTCTGAACCAAAAACGAATCTGGCGAAATTTTCAACATGAAAGAGGTCAATTATTCTTCACTACCGTTTTTTTTTCAATTATTTGAATAATCTCTGCATAAGACCCCAATACTTTGTTGTGGTAAAATGAGAAACCCCAAGTTTCATCTTGATCGCCACTTGTCGACCCGCCCCGACACGCTCGACCCGATAATAGATTTTTTGAAGAAAAGTTTATTTTAAAAAATCGAAAAGGAAAAAAAAAACAGTGAAAGCTGGTTCAATCAATTTTGTTTGAGGACTTCTGAGCAATTTTTGTTCCGAAAACAATTAATTCTACTCTAATAATGCAATTCGAATTTTTTTTTCGCTAAACAAGGGCCTCGCTGTAAACTTGGAGTGTCGTTGCGGGGAGGGGGCGGCTCGACCCGGAAATTTGCAAGTATGGTATTCTACGTGGTGTGCCACGTGACGTGTCAAGGTCACGTCTCCAAGAGAAACAATTTCAGAAAGATGATTATAAGAAAATTGGTAGTGAAGAAGCATTGACCCATGTAAAAAAACCAACCGTAAAGTCAACGGAATCTGTTTTGTATAATGAATCCACGTGGAATTATAATTCTCAGTTTTTACTACAGTTTTCCCAAATTCCACGTCACTTTTGACATCCATCGTGGAAAATAATCCGCGGAAGCTAAAATTTCGAGCGTTTGCAACTAAAATTTCTATTTTACATTCGAGAAAAGTTGAGAAACTTCTTGAACCTTTCTCGACCAGCACATTCCTTTTTTGGTAGAATATTGACGCATAACTTGGCGCCGAACTGTAGACTTTTGTGAATTCCTCATAATAGTTGTAGGAATTGCGAGGGATCAAGATGTCGTCGATATCGAAGAATGCGATGAAGTCGGCAGCTTCCTGACAACAATTTGTCTCGTTTCGCGGTCATGCGTCTTTAAATTAATCGCACCTTATACTGTAGCAAGCAATCAGTTTGAGCGCCGGCCTGATTCCTCCATTCCACTTCGCTATTCGGATCCGATGCCACGATTTCGGTTTTATCGAATTTCGGCCTCAACCAGAAATCCACTGTCAAATAGCCCTGCAAAGCGATTCCAATTTGTTTTTTTTTGAAAATTTCAAAATTTTACCAATTTCTCATAGACTTGAAGCATCTCGAAATACTTCTGAATCATGCTTGTCACATAGATGTGCATATGCGCTTGATAGCGTTTGACGACGTGAATATGCATTAGAAATGTCTGCCATTTTTCGGCGAGAAATTGCGGAGCAATGCACACAACCACACGACTTATTACGGACTCTCGCGGTGTTTTGAACGGAATCTCAAGAATATGCGTTTTTGTTTCTCGAAAATTGTCGATTATTTTCAGAAACCTGCACTCGAGAGCCTTTCGATTCAATAAATATGCCATCGGGATTATCGACATCCAAATTTGTCTGCGCCATCATCATCACATACTCGCATTTCGAAGGATTCGTTGATTCCCTTAATTTTTTTGTCAAATTTTCAGCATTTCTCAACGCTTCTCACTTCTTCAAACTGGCTATTGAACTACTAAATGAATCTCCTTTATTGGCAACAATTTGAATTTTATAATCCTCGAGGTTGCTCGTAGTATACTTGCTCATCAGCAGAACAAGTGCCACAGCATTTTTGCCAAGTCTAAAAAAAGCGGAATAGAGAAAAGATGTGATCTCTTACGATTTCGATGTCTCATAATAGTAAGCGGATGTTATAAACGAATTCGTCAAATTGGTTTCCAATCCAGAATTCGGATCCATAATTTTCGTTGGGTCCGATCCATTTTTCTTGAATGTTGTCAAAGAGACAATTGTGCAAAAAACGATGGAAATGAAGTAAAAAACATGGGCATATATGGATTTTCGCCTCTAAATTGCCGAAATTGAAAGGAAACGCATAGGCGGGAGAAAATTGTCTTACGTGATTCAGCATGCAGGCAATAATGATGAGAATCTCCGTCGATGGAATGGAACGAGATCACACATCGGATGACAGAAGAGCGAAAACTCGAAAGAAGCGCGCGGGCGGAGTGTTGCTGGGATTGTCTCGTTAAAGGCACAGTTGGTCGTGGTGAGACCCAAATGGATTCCTAAAACAATGATATGGTGCTTCGAGGATTCTTGAGAGTCGGTTATATGAAAAATAACTATAGTCTGTTACTGAAGGAAAAAAAAAACTACGGATATTATGTCGATCTAAAAATTGTGCATGGCTTGAAAAACTGGTTCCGTCTTCTCCGGAATGTGTTCAGCATCGTCATTGGCAGGCTTCGATGGTCCCGTTTTTGTTTTTCAGAAACTCTTTCAGAATAATTCGAAAAGTATCGCGATATCGCGAATTTCAAATCTCTAAACGTACCGCAAAAATTTTAATTGAACGAAAAGATTTTTTGGCGAGATTACATCGTTGCATTGTTTCTCGCGGACAACACAAATCCGAATGAGTTTGTGACAGATTCGTATAGAGGCAAAACTGGCGAACAAATTGGGAACGACAATAGCTTTAAAAAAAAAATCGAAATGTGACACATGGTAGATTCTGTTTCCGAAAAAATAGGTGTTGCTACTAGAATCGGTGGTTTTGATTTTTCTGATCAATTCTCAATCATTTAATATTTTGTATAACTAGAAATTTTCATGAAAATTTACACAATTCAAGTGGAATAAATAACATACTCAATTAAAAGCTAATTTTGTTGAAAATGAGATGGTTCTTGTGATATTGTACATTACGAATTTTCCGCATGGCGAGTAGTTTATCTGACATCATTTATTTGTATATAGTTTAGAAGATATATTAATAATGAAATTGTACACTGTTACTATATTTGTAGTGCATCGCCTACCGTAATTTAGAAGCATCGATTTTAGGAAAAGTTTGAATTTTTTCGGAAATGGTTGGAATTCCAACCTCTGCGATTGTGTTTGTTTCGTAGGTTAAGTATGGTAGCTAAATTCACACTGTGAAATCGGCTTTTGATCTACCGCCAAAAATTGATCCACAACTGTTCAAGGTTCTATTATCTGCGATGATAATAGTGCTGAGCCAGTAGTTACAAGGAACTAATCTAATGTATGAGAAACGAGTCTGGAGGTCAGCAACAAAATAGTTGGTACATCAGCTCATCAATCAATTAATTAATTAATATTTATTCGATTATATACAGACATAATGAGGCGGCTCATTCTCGTTTATCTTCTGCAGCATTGGCCGTTTCCGCATGGCGAGTAGTTGATCTGACAGGTGCAGGTGTTCGAACTCACTGGCTCCTGGCACGGCACCTGGACTGGCTGGCAGGATCGTTGGCAAGTGGTCTGACAGGAGGGAACGCATGATACGACTGGCTGCTGCTGGGCGACGCATTGCTGTTGGCAGGTGGACTGGCATTGCGGAATGCACTCCGACGATTGCACGACGGTTGGCTGGAGCACGAAGCTGACGATTTGGATTTGCGGAGCTGGACTAGTCTGGCAGTTGGTTTGGCACTGTTGGCATTGAGAGGATGCTGGTGCCTGCTGGCAGATTGGCTGGCAGTACTGTTGCTGGCATTGCTGGACAGCTGGAAGCTGGGCGACACAGGTGGTCTGGCAGGCTGGCTGGCAAGCTGGAGCGCAAGTCGGAGCTACGGCGACGGGGGCCGATTCGCATTTCGTCTGGCACTGCTGGTCACACCGTTGGCTACATTGCGTAGTGGTGCACTGCTGCTGGCACTGTTGCTGACACTGGGGCATGCATTGGGCGGAGAACTGCAATTTGAGCTGGAGCACCTGTGGAGCCGGAGTAGCAGGTTGGGAGCATTGGCAAGTCGCCTGACAACTCGACAGACACTGGATGTTCGATTGGCATTGCTGAGTGCAGCTCTGCTGGCAAGCTGAAGCACATTGTGTAGCCTGAACTTGGACGGTTTGTTGGGAGCATGAGCAGGAAGACGTCGGAGCCTGCTGCTGGCAAGCGCAGGTGTATAGCTGGGGAGTCGATTGCTGGCAGGAGCACGTCGGCTGCTCAGTGCAACCGCATTGTCTCTTATCGCGAAGAGATGTCGCCTATCACAGATAAACGGCGGCATAGGCACAATGGAAGCATAGTGGAACGGCTGTGGATATCATAGGAATCTTATATGCAAGTTATATGGAAGCATAATGGAAGCATTTTTTTGCGGAACCGCGTGTTTCGTATATGGAATGAGCCGTATGCCTTCCATATGGGAAAATAAGAAAACAATTTGATTGCTGTATTCAAAATTTATTTCATATTAACACATTTATTTAATTTAAAATAAAAAAAACAACAATGAAATGAATTTCAATTAAGATATAATCAAACCATTAGTTACTGGCAGCTGCCGAACTATTCGAATCATTGTCAGTACTGACATCGAGCGGGACGCTGTAATAAGTAGAATTCATAGCGTTCACACTTGGTTAAAAAGCCGTGTTATGATATTTTTAAAAACAACAACTATTGCTAAGAAATTAGGCAAAAGTCCTAATGCACATTTAACCTATCCTTTTTTCGCAAATATACGCTTGTAGAAAGAAACCGTTATCGAATTTTTACCTTTTCTCCACTTTTCCTAGTCGCTTCACTTAGATTATAATGGGCCTATTAATTTGAAAAACTTGTAAACCATTGTTACGTAAACTAAATTTTTCGAGAAAATACAATCAGTTTTTTTAAATCAATAATTTTCTTAAAAATAAAAATAATTTATTTTTATTGCATTTTTGGAAACCCTTTAGTGCACAAAATAAAAAGTGAATTGGCGGAAGAAAGAACAACTCCAAAATTTGAAGCAAAAAGGCATTTCGGTTAAAATTTCAAAGACATATGAATACTCACATCTGAGGGTTGCTGGTAGAATCAAGCAGCTTCCTTAATTGCGCCGCGAGCGCTTCCGGCGCTACACCAAATTTCCTTTGAAGTCGTTGGCGCATTCTATCGCTTAATCAAATAAATAAATTAATAGTCATAGTTCAAAATCTTACAGGAGATTATCCATGACTTCTCGAACCATGCGCAATGCTTTCGATTTGAAGTCATTTGTCGGTTGTTGCCCAAAGCCATGGATAAGAACATCTGTAATATAGATATAGGATAGTATAGGATCTTTATATAGTCGGCGTCTGGCGACTTCTGTACTAGAGCCCCACTTAAAAAGATAAATGCCACTGAATGATATTGGTACGAAGGCTGTACGGCAATCGGAAATTTCGGCGATTCGGCTAATGGCAAACTACCGATCGAAATTTTCTTCGGCAATTTGAAAAACCGGCAATTCCATTGCCGCACAGCCCTGATTGGAACCAAATAATCAACAAGCTTTAAACTTAGGAAGTACTTTATAAAGACTTACCGCAGCATTTCATCATGAAACGATCTCCGAAATACAAGTAACCCTTCGATGACGATGGACTCGATGAGTATGCTGGAAACCACTTATCTTTTAAAGCTACCTAAAAAAAGAATTTTGATTTATTTATATTGTTAAATGGCCTATAAAATTACTTTTGTGAGAGCTTCTCGCATTAGAGTCCGACCGTCCCTATCAAAATATGATGATGAAAGATTGGAAGCGATCATTGGGGATATCAAGTCCTTAAATTGAAATGAGTAGAAGCTCGGTAAAACGAACTCCTCATTGCATTCTTTGATAACTTGATCGATACTAAATCCTTGCTTTGGCTTAAAAATATTTTCCTGGTTTGTTTGCAATTTTCCTAATTCATTTGCTGATTTGCATTGGTTGACTGCAGTATTTATCTGCAATGAAAAATCCTATTAGGTATTATGTATATGAAACGAAAGCATACAGCGCACGCTAAGAATGCTTGCCCGAGGAATACATCTTTCAGCTTTTCATTCTCTTCCATCTCAGCCATAGATAGAAATATTTGGTAATCAATATTTTTTGGAGATTTGATTAGTTTTTGTATATTTGCCTAAAAAGACGTGTAAAAATTAATGTAAAATTGTACAAATTCCAGTAAATGAAAATCAATTGTGTTCGAAGAAAAATGAAATATTAATTAAATTGATTCGATTAAGAATGTTCTTAAATTAGATTAAGAAAACATTGAATTCGATGTAAAAAAAAACTTGATTTCAATTGAAAATCTTCGAAATTACTCTCATTTTCAATATTTAAAACTTATTTCAATTTCAAAAATCGTATCTGATTTGTCATATGTTTCGATACATTAATTATTTTCGAATTTTGAAATCGAAATTATTTCGAATCCTATTGATTTTCATTTACCGAAAAAATGCAAATTTTATTTTTCCTGTGATTAATTACTTACTTCTTGTACTTCTCTCGAGTACGAAACTCCATTAGAAACATCAAATAAATAATTTTTAGCAAAGTCGATTGGATTCCACTGGTGGTTTGAAGACGCATTCCCCTTTCGAATTTTTTTTGTAGTCATCGCCATAATTTCTTGGTTTTCGGCGACTTCCATAGAATCTGTATGCTGCCTCTTTACGGTGCTTGCCTTTTGAACCTAAAACATTTCATAAATTATTTAAAATTCAATGAGGAAAAATTTTGTAGCCGCGTCTGGCCATATTTTATACAGTGCTCCACATAACTATACACCCACCCCTAATTTTGTCGAATAACTCGAAAAAGCGAATAGCTCCAGAAATAGTTTCAATTAGAAAAATATGCGCAATTATTATTAGTTTCATATTACATTCACAAAATAAAACAAAAAATAACAATTTAAAATTGTTATTTTCGCGAAAAAGTGGAAAAATTTTTTTCCACAAAACTATATACCCACTTCATTGCGCATATTTTTCTAATTGAAACCATTTCTGGAGTCGAACAGGTCAATTTTTGATGATAACAACTTACAAATTGCGCGTACGAAGGTTTAGGAATTGGTGTTGATTTTGTTGTTTGTGAGGACTGTGGAGAAAAAAAATTTTGTTGAGTTGGCGAGTAAATTGGACTATCTGGATCTGAAGTGTCGAGCGAATTTGGTTCCATGTTAGGGACTTCTGGTTCTTTGTTATTGACTTCTAGAGCCGTTTCAGTTATATCTGACAACACTCTCGATCTTGTCTTCATCTGTAAAAAATTTCAAAACATTATGTTTTATTAAAAGAAAAAAGCGAGCGATAATAAAAAATATGTTAAAGTAAATAAAAATAAAACGGATTCGATGAGAAATTAAACACAATTCGATTGAGAAAATATTTAAATTCGATTTTAAAAGTGTCGGAAACGATTTGAAAACATCGTATCGATTTTAAAATTTTCGAATGCTATCAATTTATTTTTGGTTTCGATTTTGATGATAAATATGAAAATTATTCCTTTATTTTTTAAAAACATTTTTCCTTTAATTTTGAAAAAAATTCTTTAATTTTTGACAAAAAAAAACACAAAAAATCTTGAAAATTCATTGAGAAAAAGCAAAAGGACAAAAATTTTGAAAACGAATTTCGAAAATTCTGAGGCGTGGCAGAATTGTGCAATGCGGCGCACTGTTTCGCAATGCTGCGGCGCACTGTTTCGCAATGCTGCGGCACATCTCATGATTTCTCGAGTATAATACACTGCAACTAGGAAATTTCCATTAATGGACAGAAAATGAATAACTGATTAAAAATAGATACTTCTACAGTGTATTAACTGGTTCATTTTCATCATTAAATATTTAAAACCTTTATTAAATATTTTAATTATGCACAAGAGCGCCATTTGCAGCAACAATCAAAATTCCATTATGCGTAGGAATATAGCATGCACAATGCCTTATACAATCAATAGAAATAATTAACCGAATTCCTGTGAGCTCGCCGTTTTTCACGCCTTTGTATTCTTTTAACATTTTCAATATTTCATTTCCATAATAATAGTCCGTGTCATGTAGATCATTAATTGATTTCGCGAGAGAAGCGAACTGCGATCCTGGTTCAACTTCTTTTATTAGTTCAACAACCACTTCAGCACAGTTCGAATGGTATACAACAGCAATAAATCGGAAAACCTCTAAATTGTTATTGTAAACAGCGAACATCACGTCATCCACAGTTTCATCATCAAGGTATGCCGATTTGAATTTTCCGCAAGCCATATGTAATGTTCCGTAATAAATGGCGTTCTCGTCGGCAATTATTACGTCCTCATTTTTAATTCGCTTTATTTCGTTACTCCATCTTGTCGCACTTGGCAACATTTCCGGAGTTGCTTGCAAAAATTTCTTCAGAGACATGGAAACTGTATCTTGAGCTGCTCGTTGCCTTACTTCTCGTCTTAGCGCTTTTTGCAACATGAATCTGAAGATGTCTTTGCTTTGCTTTTCTCGATTGTATTTATCATTTTTATTTACCTCGAAGATGCCGTTTCCAAGAAATTTCGAGAAAATCGACTCTTGTAGCCTTTCAAAATAAATTGATAGGCGCTTTCGAAACTGAAAGTCGATAGCGTCGCTGTGTTTCCAAATTTGTCAACAATTTGCGGCAAGTGAAATAAAAATTCCTTTGAAAAACTATTTTTTACAATTGTTAAATTTTTATCTTACATGAGCTTTACAAGTCATATATTCTTCGTTTGCTTCGATTAAGAACCACCTTGCTGCAGCGCACAGCTGCACAAAAAATATTTCGCAACTCTCGCAATTCGAGTACAAAGAATTTGCAATTGTTGCAATGGCAACAATCACCAACCGTCCTTTTGTTGGCAGATTCGGCGAACATAAAGCGGCGAGGAAAAGTTGAATTCGGAAAAACTAAAACCAATAAATTAGGCGTATCTTATATATTTATAATATTTGGCTCACGTGAAGCTTGTCGCTACCGTTTCGACAATCCTTGATTTTAGAATACTTCGAGGATAGAACAACTTCGGAAAGCAGTTCCTCGAGAGTGGTGTTAGAAGCATTTGGATGAAATAGATCTGATTTGAAGCGTTTCGCAGTCCGAAGGACTTCTAGAAATAGCGTCTAATAATAAAAAATTAATAGAATACCTTTTGTAATGATTTCACATAAACCTTCTCCCAAATCATGAAGGATATCTATAGGCGTTTCATATGGCATGATGATCTCTATGATGCCTGCGGCAGTGTTTCCAAATCCATTTTCGTGTTGTAAACTGTCTAAAACAGTAAGCATATCTCCACGAGTAACACTTCGAACTGTTTAAATAACTATTAAGTTTCGATTACGATTATTAACCTACGTGGTCCAGCCTGCTTGTAGTATGTTCCGGTAGCCATGCAATAGAAACAAGACTGGATCGAGTGATGTGACTTAAAACCGAAAAGGGCTCTTTTTGCCTATAAATGCATGGATAGAAGTAGACTCAAGGAACTTATGTTTACAGGTTGGTCTGCTACTACTGTTACAAATTTAAAAGAAATATTCACTCCTCTCACTGTTCCAAGTGATCCGATGCAGTCCGACTTGAGAGCTGGTAATATAGCGTTCCAGAAAATCGTGCTGGGGTCCATATCACTCTCTGCAACTCCTTCGAGGAGAACATTAGTCGACTTCTGCATTTCCCCGGTTGGCAAATCAACAAGGATGCAAGAAATGGGCCACAGTTTCCTCAAATCGTTTTATTTGAAAATGTGTAATTTTACCATTATATCACTTTCTGCTTCCTGGAACGCAGACACCATCTAGCGACAATACGCTAGATAGCTTCAGCTCTTTCCCTTCCTCTTCTGATTCCCAAAATTTTCTAAAGAACTTGCTTGCCAAGTTGTGGTCTCTCTCTTTTCCCTGTCGAATACTGGAACGAATAGCGATGATTTTTTCGAAATATTCGTTGATCAACTGATGCAATTGTGACTGAATTCCCAAACGCACGAACTTCACAATTGAACCGCAACTAGAAACATACAATTGTGGTAATTTGGAGTTTCGGATAGTGCTGCTATAGTTGACGGTGTGCGAATTTGGAGATGGCATTACTTAATTTTTTGAATTTTTTGCGGGACCAATTAAATAGTAGTCCGCGCAGATTTCTAACATTCTTCTTTCCACAAAAATACAAAAACACGCTTTCAAAATAACAAACCATTTCTCATTATTTAGCCGTTTAGCACCGCAACCATTGCAATAATAGTGAATCAAATGTTTGTTTTTCTCCGTGCTCCACAATTTTTCAACATATTCAGCCATGTCTTCGTCCATTACTGATATGAATCGATTGAATTCTTTAAAAAAACTATTATGAAATTGGTATAAATAACTTAACCACTCTCCGATAATCTTGACATGCATACTGCACATAGAAATTGAATAACTTTATCTGGAGCCGAACGAAGATCTCTGACTATTCCTGTAGAATAAATTATCCTCGATTAATTTACTTTCCCAACTAGAAAACAATTCTTGTTCTTCCTCGCTATCTGTATCCATATGGATATCGGCATCATAAAGGTTCATCGTCTCCTCAGCGCGCACGCTTATTTCGTTAACATTATTATTTTGACTTCTTTTGTCATCAACGTGTTCACCATCTATAAGTTAAATCCAATTAGTTGGGACTATTATAATTACTAACTTGACTTTTGTGCAACACTATTGAAGTGGCGATGAATACTTTTTGGCATTATCTGAACATAATTAACGCCTTGAAAAATAATGCGAAGCAAAGATAAATCTTAAGGAAACAAAATAAACCAATGTGCTTTAAATGTGGTTAGTCATAGCTAAAATCATAATGATACACAAAACAAAATAAAAACGGTGACATGCGCAAATGTTGAGTTTCTTCCGCAACTGAAAGAATTTCTCGACTCGGCTTAACCCAAATGACGTAATTTAAACACACAATCGCGTTGGCATATTAACATTAAAATGAAAACCAATCATTTTTTATCATTTCAAACATATATATATCGGGGAAGCGTCTTTCTCTTGGTCTCCCACGGACTTCGAAAAACGAATTTCGAAAATTGTGAGGCGTGGCCGCATTGTGCAAAGCGGCGCACGGTTTTGCAATGCTGCGGCACGCCTCTTCTACGCGCGTCTGCTACCAGTTTGGAGCAAATTGTGAGTAGTTTGCGATGCCAATTTCGGAAAAACCGGCAAAAATATATTAATACGACTAAATTGTAGTTGGCAATCTTTAAACAAAGTGAGGAACAGTTGACTGAATTAACATAAATCTGAGTAACATAAGATCATTAAGTTTTTTGTATTGATTTTTCTAGAAATTGTCTTGGTCTGCCGTCCAGACGCCAATTGTATAATGTTTATTGACATATGATTATTTTATCCATATTCCATCCATATTTGTTCCACGGCTCGCAAACACCGGAAGCATATTCATCCCGTTTTCATTCCATCCATATTCGTCCCATAATTCTTCCACAGCCACTAAGAATTACATTATGCTTCCTATATGGAAGCATTATGCTTCCGTTCCACAGATTTCCCACAATGCTTCCATTATGCTTGCGTCGCGCTTAATCAGTGATCATGAAATGCTAATTATACTCTAATTGTATGATTAATTAATTACCGAAGCAAGGAGGAAGAGAGCGGAGAGCACGAAGAAGAAGCGCATGGTTGTCAGGTGTGATGCTAATGCGGCTTCCCGGCGCTTTTATACCCATGACCACTGGCAACCGGCAGTATTGCGCAATCCAATTTTTTGTGAACGGCTCATCTGTTTGCTCAAAGTCGTTCGCAATAATCGCATAATAATCGTTAGGCATACACTTGTTTCAAGATTGAACATGGTTTTCGATTTATTGACCAGTTTATCACAAAATTACCGGAGTTTTCGAAAAATTGGCTAAATTCCAATAAAACAGTGACAGCCGTCGTAGCGTAAAAGTAAAAATGTAGATTTACGAGCTTGGCTTAGCATAAGAATAGGCTAAAGGCGCACATCTAAGTAGGCTTATAGCCCGCTATGTTAAATAGGGGTTGTGGGGTTTTGAATTCAAAATTTTTGAAATTTCAATACGTTATTGCCTATTATTGAAATACCAACATATTTTTTTCAGTGATGAATTAGGTTTCCAGAACCACGCGGATATAGAAAGTTTCAAAAAAAAAAAGATTAATTTCGTACAATACAATTCGATCTTCAACAGGCAGCGAGAAACGTTTTTTTTTGGTTTTTGAACGGAACATTCACACTACACTATTTCGTAATGTCATCATTCGTGATCAACGCCACAATATTTTGCGGCAATTACACGGCGTTGATCAAAACCCACAATTTATCGGCAACGCATATACATATAATAACCCCCCAGCCACACATTATTTCAATTTCGTTTAGAATGGTGCATTATAAGTTGACCTATTTCGATAGACGCGGATTGGTGGAATCGAAGATGGTTTTAAAATTTAAATTAACTTTTCTTTCTAGCCAAAAGATTAAAACATAATACTTACCTAATGACGAAATATTCGGCTGGCTGCTCTTTCGGCGATCTCTATTCGGCTCATTACGCGATTGTTCACCTGACAAAGAAATAATGAATGCATAAACGGATAAGAAAAAAAGAAACGAACACATTACAATAACGTTAAAAAGTTGATAAGTTCGAGGAAAAAATTGTCGAAAATGATAGTTAAAATGTCTTTTTTTTCGGAATATTGTTAGTTTCTTTTTATATAAAAAATTTTACTTTGTATAATATACAAAATGATTACTATTACACTTTTTCAACAAAAAATACGACTAAAACCATAAATCCGCCAAGAAAACACAGAAAAAAAACGAATAAATAAATTAATTTTCAGTTGAGATTACTGTAGCTAAGAGCGAGATGTGCGGCTCGGTGTACGCACACAATGCATATAATATCGCTGCAGTTTTTCTCATTCCTCATTTTTCCACAATAATTATTCATTATATAATGCTTGTTAGGCTCGGTTTTCTTTTATTTCTATGAACTTGCGTCTTTTCTTTTGACATTTTGTTTTCGAAACCGTTAAAACAAATAATATACGTATTCATTTAGTTTTTCTTAATTATATTAATTAATCCATCAAGGGTGGCCGTGGTCGAACCTAATTTTTGTGGGAAATTCCGCCTTGAAGAGCACGGCGTTCACACTAGTGGGATTTACCTGAAATGAAAACTCAAACTGTGTCAGTGATCGATTGTTGGCGTCTTTGTCGCGCAGACGAATTTTTTTAAAATCGCCAGGTTTTGACTCTTTTTTCAAGTTTTTTGAATTTTTCTCAAATTTTAACAAAAAAGTGCGCCGACCACGTTTTTCGCAAGGCTTTTTTCTATCGAAAAAGCTTTACTATAATTCAATCGGATAAGTATTCAGAGGTCCGTAGTTTTTTTAAAGATTGAACTGTAAAAATATTCACATTTCTTTTCTCTGTTTTTTCACTCTCTCTTTTGTTAATATCATTTATTGTTATATTATATGGTTTGATTTATACGATTATGTTTGGTAACACTTGGAATAACATTTCATAGTTGATTATTTTTAATTTTTTTTGCAAATTTTAAATGTAAATTGTGTGTCATTTCGGCGGAGAAGTTGCAAGAGATTCTCTATAATTTTTTGTTGTTTTTTTTTTAATTTCGTTAGTTCTTACGTTAATTTAGCGTTTTCAGCTTCTTTTTCCGAATTCAATCTCTTTCGCGTCTTTATCTACTCGCATTGAATTCATTTATTGAATACAGATAAGCACTCCATCTCGAAAATCAAAAGCTGGCGGAGTGATGAAACGATATCACGGACAATTCGCTTTTCGAGATTTTTTTTAACTTCCGAATTACTCCAAAAGACCAATGGAAAGAAGTCCTCAACTCAAAAATGTCTTTTTTTAGTCATTTGTGTTGTATAACATCAAATTGTTCTTTTCAAGCTGCCTAATGAAATCGGTAAAGAGAATCATGTTAAATGTATTTGTTGATTATCCATTTGTTTCCAAATTGATAAGTGTGTTTTTTCCCTATTAGTTTTGCAATTTTCCAAATGTCCTTATATCCTCTTTTTCCGAATTCAATCTCTTTCGCGTCTTTATCTACTCGCATTGAATTCATCTGCTACACATCATCAATTTTTATATCATAATTCAATTGTGTAGTATTTCTTTCGTTTAATTGATGGTTTTATCATTTAAAAATGTTATGTATATGTTCAAAAAAAAAAGATCCGATATAAATTTAAATAACTTATTTAATTTATAACTAAATAGACCATAAATTGCGGTGAATCTGATCCACCCGAAGAAATATTAAAACTAATCCTTCTTATTGAAAAAACGCTCCATTTTGAGAATGTTTCTAATTTATTTCACAAATTTAATTTGTTGAATTTATGCACCGGAATAGCGCTAAGCTGCAAGTGCGCTCTATTGAGAAAAATCTTTTTTTCATGTAAATCCCACTAGTGTGAACGCCGTGAGAGCCAGCGAGAAACGGTTTTTTGGTTTTTGAACGGAACATTCACACTACACTATTTCGTAATGTCATCATTCGTGATCAACGCCACAATATTTTGCGGCAATTACACGGCGTTGATCAAAGCCCACAATTTATCGACAACGCACATACATATAAATACCCCCAGCCACACATCATTTCAATTTCGTTTAGAATGGTGCATTATAAGTTGACCTATTTCGATAGACGCGGATTGGCGGAATCGACTCGGCAAATGTTCTATATGGCCGGTGTCGAGTTTGACGACGTAAGAATCCGTCTCGATAGCGAAGATTGGGTGAAGCTCAAGCCACGTAAGTGAAAAAAGATGGAAATTAAAGAACAAATTTTATGTATTTTCCAGAAACTCCTCATGGACATCTTCCGGTCCTTTCTGTTGATGGCTTCGAAATTCCGCAATCGTCAGCGATTGCGAGATATGTAGCCCGAAAATTCGGTAAAATCGTTGAGAAAAAACGCAATGTTAATCATTAATATTAAAGGATTTGCCGGAAAAACGCCAGAGGAGGAGGCTTGGGTTGACGCTTTTGTTGATCTATTCAAAGACTTCATGATTGCCCTTCGAAAAATTTCGATTGTATTAAGAGCTGGAAAACCAGCTGAGGAAATTGTACGCTTTCAATAATCATATATAAAATTACGCAATTATGTGTATTTAAAAATTTAGGAAAAAATCCGTAGTGAGATCTACAAGCCAGCTGAGGAGATCTACTTCAAATATCTGAATAAATACCTTGCCCAGAGCAAGTCAGGTATAAAATTTTCCAAAATTTTCCAAGCAGTTATTAAGTCTTTATAGGATTCCTTGTTGGAGATAGTGTTACTTTTGCTGATCTCACAATCGCTGACAATCTATTGACTCTTCAAGTGAACAAATTGAATGACCTCAGCAAAGAGCCAGCATTGCTCAATTATCAAAAGAAGATTCACTCGCTTCCGAAATTGAAGGAATGGATCGAGAAAAGACCTGTCACTGCATTCTAAACATTCAATTTTCATAGCTTCTTTTTTACATAAAGGAATAAATAATTATACTACATATTAAAATTAATACATTGAAAAGTTGACTATTCGTGTTATTCAATGACACAGTGGATTACTTTGCAAGTAACAAAATGACTGGAAATTTAAAACTGCCAATTTTCGCAATAAAAATACGCTAGACGAATTTTTGAAATTCTGGTTTTATTTTTCATGATTTGTTAATGACTCGGAATATTTTCTATCAAATTATCCTAGAATCATTATTTAAAGTTTAATTTCATATTCACAAAGAAAAAAACATGTAGAATTTTTTAGAAAGACGTCAAAAAATTAGAGATTGATTGTTTTTATAAAACGATTATTCAAAAATAACACTGGTTGTCAGATGAGAAGAAACCTCTGGTAACCGACCTTTTTTGAAATATTTTCTGATTTCTTACTGTCGAAATCCGAGTAATCAGTAAATAACTTAAAGCACTTTATTTTGAAATAATACATAAAAGAAATCGATTCAAATTCCTACCAGATATGGGTTATTTGAATTACCGCAATATAAGTGCGGCAAACACGCTCCATTGAACGACTTGGATTATTATTCGTCTCCGTCTTCACACAAATTCATTATGGAAATTTCATATTTTCCCCATTTCTTTGCCGCTTTTTTCAAATAATTTGAATATTTTTTTGATAAAATAATCTTTACGTTTAATTTTGATTTAGTATCGAGCAACAAATAAAGAAATAAATGATAAATTTAGTGTTTTCGTTAAATTTAAATTTTTTGTTTCTTTTTGCAAATTTAATTTTTTCTAATTAATTCATTAATTTTATGGGTGTTTTTTTGCTACGATGTTCTTTGAACATATTTTTTTTGTATTTTGAAATTGATTGATTTTCTTTGCTCTATTTGCCAAAATGATGAGTCATTCATTCTTTAGTGATGGACTCTCAAGGGCGGAAGGTAATTGTGGTCGACAATGGAACCGGGGTGAGTCTTTTTTGTAATTTTTATTCCAATATTCATTTTTCAGTTTGTAAAATGCGGATATGCAGGCACAAATTTCCCAGCGCACATTTTTCCATCAATGGTCGGACGGCCGATTGTCAGATCATCGCAAAAAGTCGGAAATATTGAAATCAAGGTTCATTTTTTTTATCGAAAATCTTTATTCAATTGCGAATTTTGAAGGATTTAATGGTCGGTGAGGAGTGTTCGCAGTTACGACAAATGCTGGAAATCAATTATCCGATGGATAATGGAATTGTGCGAAATTGGGATGATATGGCTCACGTTTGGGACCACACGTTCGGTCCAGAGAAGCTTGACATTGATCCAAAGGTGATTCGTGATTGTGCTTTTTTATAAATATAAAGTTTAGGATTGCAAATTGCTCTTAACTGAGCCACCATTGAATCCGACGAGTAATAGAGAGAAAATGTTCCAAGTCATGTTTGAGCAATACGGTTTCAATGCGATATACGTGGCAGTTCAGGTGAATCCTCCAACCCTAAATATGGTAATGCAAATTTAAAAATATATTGTAGGCCGTGCTGACCCTTTATGCTCAAGGCCTTCTCACAGGTGTCGTTGTGGATTCTGGAGACGGTGTTACTCACATATGTCCGGTATATGAAGGATTTGCACTTCATCATCTCACCAGAAGACTTGACATTGCTGGAAGAGACATTACCAAGTATCTCATCAAGGTTTACAACGAAGAAATGCTTGTCAGAAAAAAAATTGTATTCTAGCTTTTGCTCCAAAGAGGATACAACTTTAATCACTCTGCTGATTTTGAGACAGTTCGCCAAATGAAGGAGAAGCTCTGCTATGTGGCCTATGACGTCGAGCAAGAAGAGAGATTGGCTCTAGAGACTACTGTGCTCTCTCAGCAATACACTGTAAGATTTACTTTATGCACAGGCTTCTAAAGAGTCGGATTTTTGAAGTCATTAAAAAACCAGAATCAATTTTCTCAATTTTCTACCTTATGTTCAAATTTAAATAAAAAAATTTGTTAAACGAGGCAAATGTTTCAATTAGACCCAATTTTGAAAGCTTATACCATGGAAACTGCAATTTCATTAAAACCAACGTTCAGCTTCCCGATGGGCGAGTTATTCGACTCGGAGGCGAGCGATTCGAGGCGCCCGAAGTTCTGTTCCAGCCGCATTTGATCAACATTGAAAAAGCGGGATTGTCTGAATTGCTGTTCGGATGCATTCAATCAAGTGATATTGGTGAGTGCCTTGTCATCTTCTTCTTCGTCTTTGTTTTGTTGAAAATGTTCTTTTCGCTCTTCGACATGATTATCCGCTATTAGTAAACAACCCGTCAAGGTTTCCACCCACCCTAAAAAAATTAGGGGGGGGGGGGCGATTATGGTTGAAAAGAATGTCCTTGACTATTCTTGTTTGCATAACTTGCTTCTGTAATTGAAAAATTGATTCGTTGAGACATTTGGAGGGAGACGAGAGGAGGAAATTGTCTGAAAAAAATGGGATGCATTCTACCGTAATCATTTGACCAAATCATTGTGATTTGGGTCTTACAACGATTACAGTAGTAAATCTTTTAATTTGGATTTCTTTAAATGGAAACCAAATCGATTTTCGTTTTTAGATACTCGTCTCGATTTCTACAAGCATATCGTGTTGTCCGGCGGCACGACAATGTACCCGGGATTGCCGAGTCGTTTGGAAAAAGAATTGAAGCAGTTGTATTTGGATCGAGTACTTCATGGAAACACTGAGGCTTTCCAGGTTTCTTTTATTTATTTTTTTTTTTGAGAAAATAAATTACCGTTTCGTTATCGTTTTCAGAAATTCAAAATTCGTATCGAAGCGCCGCCTAGCAGAAAACATATGGTGTTCCTCGGTGGAGCTGTCCTCGCGAATTTGATGAAGGATCGTGATCAGGTACGAATTTTATCAACAAAAAAAAATTGCGCAATATCGCAATGCACCTTTAAACTGGTTATTTCTTCGATTTTGATGACCCAATATGATTGTAAGTTTGAAAAATACACGTGAAACGGGTTTTTCAAAAATTTGCCCATTTAAAAAATTTCTGAGACGAAATATTTGGGAAATTCTAGAATCTATCCAGCGATTAAGGAAATATCATTATTTTTCGAAATTTTTTTTGAGAATAAACCTATTTTTAAGATTTTTGAAGAGCTGGAAATTGAGAAAAACCTGATTTTGTGAAAAAGGAAATGATCCGATCCGACTTTTAAATTATTATTTTTCAATATTGTGACTATTTACATCGTGAAAAAAGGTAGCACATCGTATTTTTTTCGGGAGATAATTGTAGTTTTGATAAAATAGTGGAATTCGGGTACCGTACTCCCGATAACCTGCCAACCACGCATATGATATTTTTTGCGATTAGAATAATTTTTGTGAAATTGGTGATTTTTTGAAATTATTTTCTCGAAACTTCCATATTTTCATATAAGAATGCGAATGAAAATGGTATATAGTAAAGCAGTTTTGTCAACAATTGACAGAGATTTTATTGACACACACACACACACACATATATACCATCGTTGAATTGTACACCATGTTTTTAGGACTTCTGGGTGTCGAAGAAGGAATACGAAGAGGGCGGACTGGCGAGATGTATGGCGAAACTCGGAATCAAAGCCTAATAAGTTATTTGACAGTTTGACTTCGTTCCACTCAATTCAACCCCCCCCCCCCTTCCTTACATGCCCACCCTTTAAGAAAATGTTCACTTATATTGCTGCTCTTTTTTTCATATATGTTTTTTTCGATCTTCATGTGTATTTTGTGCTTTATATGATTTTGTTTATTAGGAACATTGTAAATATTATTTATGAAGAGAAAATAAAAATCACAACCCAAAAATGAGTGTTCGAAACGAAAGTGGTGACCCAGTTGTGATGATAATGTTGATGATGATGATATGGGATTCGGTGGGGAAGAGTCGCAACAAGTATCACATTCGGATCATATCCATTTGTGGTGATTTTGAATATTTTTGCGATCATATTTCAAATATTTGGTTAAGTCGGTGCAAAAGACATTCAGGTTTTTTCTTTTAATTTTTTTATTTCAAGGAATCTTTACTTTAATATTAATTTTTTATATCATTCGGCAGATTTTCCAGTGATTTTCGAAATTTTCCATTGAAAATAAACCAATATCTGTTTTATTTTCATTTTTATCGAAAAAAAAGACAATGGTTGAAAGAGGGCGCCTCTCTTGCGAAATATTTTTCGAATCGGACCATTTCGATTTTGTTTCTCAAGCTGAATAAGGAAATTGGTTGTGTTTTTGTTGATGCCCGACACCTTTTTTTCCCTCATCGACTTTTTCGTTGTAAGACCTCCATGTCTGTCAATGTGATTTATTTGACGATTGTGTTCCCTTCATCGGAATTCAAAAGGAACGCATTCGGGCCGACGACGTCGTCAATTTGCCCCCCACATGAATTGAACCGAACCGTTTATTTTCTTGTTCTCACCTTGTTTGCACTCGTTGTTGCCGTTTACGGCAGAATTTCCCATTAATTTTGTGTCTTTCTTGATGAAATTTCTTTTGGTTACTGTAACGTGAGAAATTGGCCATTTTAGCGTGGCGGTGGTTACACACAATAAGGAGGCACTGAAAAATTATGAAATTTTTTTATTCTTTCCGAAAAAAACCGTTGGTGTTTTCCGAGGTTTTTTTTTCGCGCTGTGTCTTATCAGCCAACCTGTCGGCATTTTTCAATGAACACCATCGAGCTTTTTATATTTGTTCCCTTGTTTTTAATGACTGTGATAAAAAATGACATTAAAATAAAACGTGATGTTACTGTAATTGCAGATTGGTTGCCGAGTTGCGTGACGGTGCATGCACAAATTTTTGTTTGCATTTCGGCTTACCCAAAAGTTGCTGTATTTTCGCGTCAGTTTTTTAGGGAGGACGGGAATTCTTCACATTTTTCCATGATTCATCACTCAAGCAAAAAAAAAGAATTGCTAAATTTCTCAATGAGTGTATATGAATGCGAGAAACTCAATGCTTTTTTATCACTGTTCCATTTTATTTGCATTTTTTTGTGACTCCCCCCACCCATTGATTGAGTGGCCAGTTTTTTTGGTTATCGCTCGCTTCGATAAGTGTTTGTGCGGAAAATATATACTTTTTCTAAAGTCTATTAGTGGTAATCTCGATCCGTTATCGACCTTTCGCGAAAAATCGACTCCCTACCGTTTTCGAACTTTATTACCTCGTTTTCAGCTCTCCACATCTCAATTTTGTTGGCGTCAATCGAAAAAGGTAAATTTTCTGCTTCAATTTCTTATTATCTGCGATTCTTATGCAAACAACTGTCAATTAGCGGTTTGATTTATGATTACCTAAGTGGATTATCAGTAAAGTTTGCTTTTTTTTTCTTTGCAAAATATCACGTCAATACGATAATAGTCTACTCAATTTTGACTTTTATCGGCTCCTCGTCAGCATTTTTCGTATTGCTTGCAGTGCGAATGCAAATTATTTTTCAAAAATTCTTTTATGTCAGCCATGTGTCAATAATTGCCCTCTTATTGATACTTTCTCTATGTTGTAGATCAAAATTATTTAATAAAATGTCTTCAAATTTTGCCCTCGCTAAAAATTTGAACGAAGAGATTAATTCTAACAATAATTAACTGTGTATCCGGCATTTTTGCAAGATCGCAGTAGATTTTAAAGGCGCATGAAAAATGATTTAAAGTCCCACCTGGACTATTTTATTATTTAAATTTCCGACAATTAGTTATTTAAGCACCCGCTTTCAAATTTTTGGTCTTCTGCTCACCGCCCCAGCTGCTCTTCTAGCTCATTTTTCTCTATGTGGTGTGAGTTTGAGGATGCCAAACCTTGAATGATGTCGACGATCTTAATCATGTTGTTGTGGCACCTTGACACCTACCAATCTTCTCCCTACAGCTATTTGTAGTCTATCGACGAGTGCCTTGGTGAACACCCAAATTTTTTCCTGTAAGGTTTTCTTTCAATGAATCAAATCGGTGGTGTTCTTGATTCAATTGAAATCTGCTCATCAGTGTTGCGCATAAGTAAGTCGAGAATTGTTTTGCGTAGAAATTCAAGTCGTATATTTAACTAATATGGTTAGGCATATTTTTATTATAAAAAAGCGTATTTCAGAAAATAAATGAAGTAAATCTTTTTAGAACGAAAAATTCCAAATGCAAGGGCTTCTACTGCTAACGATTATTGCGTTAGTGGAATTTCTGTGAATTCCTCCAGCTAATTTTATGATTCTCTTTTAAAATTCCCTCCGGGAAAGTAGTTTTTCGCACAATCTTCATTGAAATTTTTGAGTTCTTAATGGCTATTTGTTTTTTTTTGTCGCTTTTATCTATTTTCAGTCAAACTCTTTGAGTTTCTCAACCGCAAATTGGCGCGGGCGCCAGAAGTTCTGCCCATCAAAGTTCCCATTATCTAATGTATTATCTATTGTCGACAAGCGTCGGGGTAGATTTACGAGCGTGCACTTTTGAACACGATTTTCTCACTTGGAGATGATTATATCGCAATTTTCACTCCACTCATTCTATTTTTATCAATGGTTTAAACAAATAGAAACGTTTTTTTATGTGACAGGTCCAGTTGTTTAAGGGCGCATGCCATATGGGGGGGGTCTCATTACGACTTGAATGAAAAATCTGGCAAAAAATGTTCCTCACAGTGACGTCATAATAATAATAATAATAATAACATTTTATTATTAATTTTTGTGTTGTTTTGATGTTGTGAAGGGATTACACTGATTTTCTCATTTTCTTATCAAAATCTCACAAACCGATTTGATAAAATTTCACGTGACCTTTGGAATCGAGAAAAAAAGCTCCAAAAATACCAGTTTTTGTATTAAAATTAGATTTTTGTTACAATTTTTATTAAATTATTTGAGAAACGAAAATAGATGGCGTTTTTTTAAGAAGAAGAGGCCGATGGTTTTTTTGTGAAATATTTGAAGATTTTAAGTGAAAATCGCATTTCTAGGAAAAATATGACAACTTTCTACATAATATGGTCCCATAAAACCTCCCCCCGCCAAAAAAAAAAGAAAATTCCCAAAAATCGAATTCCACTGGTCTTTTTTTTTTCACTGGTTGGTATTGATTTGAAAAAATAAATCGAAAAATGTTGCGAAGACGTCGTTTGTCGTCGATTTACCGATTATCAAACGCATCGACCTCATTAATTATCGTCAGTGTTGCATTGTTTATTTTTCGTCCAATTAATTTTGTCTTTCGCGCCTCGAGACCTGTCTGCCATGTTTATTTTAGTTTTTTTTACACACAACCTCATCATCGCCGACCTCATATCGATATACACGCGCGTTTGTGATATTGTTTTTTTTTTTGCCAATTTTCAATACATTGAAACTTTTCGGCGCCTGGTCAGAAAATTTTAACATTTTTCAAAAATTGGGTTGCTCTTTTTCTTATATAAAGTATCGTTTTTTAATCGAAAATTTATGAAAATATACTTTGGATCAGGGATTTTCTGACGAAGTCGGATCTATTATAGGAGAAATCGGGAAATTTCTCAATTTCTCTAGACGTTTAAAGGCACACGCTTGAAAACCGGAAAAATGATTAAAATACCAGCAAAACAATTTGCAGATTGCAAAAAAAGCTTGTTTTCAATTTTTAAACGTTTTTTTTTCCGGAAATCGGTACAGAGCGATTAAAATATTGAGCAGGGAAACGCGAATTTTAAGATTTGAGAGCTTCATTCATTTATGCGTTTTTTTTCTGTTCCAATATAAGCTAATAAAACAGGCTAATCAACTTTTCGTCGTTTTTATTGCAATCAAATTAGCTGAAACTGTCATGAACCGCAAAAACGATTGCCAGCTTTGAAAATGTCTGCACAGATGACTTCTCAACGAATTCCGACGCACAAATTCAGTGTAGGCGTCAGAAAATGATTGTAGGTAACAGGAATCCTCAATTTTGCAGTTTTCCTTTTTTGCCAAGAAAAAATAGCCGCATAATTTGAAGAAAATTTACAAAAAGATAGTCAAGAGGAAAAAAACATGTCTTGTGATTCGCTTCGAAAGTCAACGAAACCGTATTCGATGTAAATTCTCTTTTGCGCTTCCTGCTCGCCGAGCTCAATTTCCTGCGTCTCTGCGTGTTTGTTGTGCGCCGCGCACGTACGGTTGCGCTCTGTTCTGTTTCTTCTTTTCAAATTTCTTTTTTTTGTGCTGCTCCTTCTACTCCTCCCGTTCATTGATGAGCACATTGAGACGCGCGTAGTCGGGCGGCGCTCGCGACGTTTTTTTTCCACCCCACTTGTTACCTCGAATCGATTTTTATTGCCTTTTTTTCCGGCGATACCGTAATCTTGACGTTTGGTAGCGTTTGATCTACTTTTTCTCTACTCGCCTCTTCACATATATTCTCTCTCTTCAGCGGCAATCCCCCTTGTGCGCCTTTAACTCATAGACCTTATTTTTCTCCGTTGCCGCCACCCAGTAATACCCAATTTTCGTATCGAATAAACGAAAATGGCGAAATAAAAACGTTACTCTTGAAATATGAGACCCGACACCACCACTACTTGAAGAATACGCTCGTGTTCCAAACCAACCCCGCTGAAAACGAAAGTTGTTGCTTGATAACCAATTTTTTGTTGTGAAATGGTTATTTTTGATATGACTCGACGCGATAAGAAAGGCCCTATTCGAAAGGAGCCCGGCGAACAAAAAAAAATGAAGAAATTCGAAGGAGCCCTCATTTGGTATGAATGCGCGCCTCGACGAGGCATGGTTTTTAACGAGTTTTTTTATTAGCCACTAATTAATATTTGTGTCGTCTTGTATTTTTTTTGTGCGTGAAATTGAGCCCGCGACGAATCGGGGGAGGGGGCTCTCTTGGTGTCTTCTCTCTTGGAGGAACTCGTTGAGATAACAATATGCAGTTATCTTCTTTTGGTTGACAAATTTAAATTCTATTGGTTCGCGTCAAGACCCGACGCGCAAATTCGGGCTATGAGCCCTTAGCTACAGTATCCTTGATAGAATCGATTTTTTTCCTGTTAAAATTGCACAAAACGAGCACCTAGTCCGGCATTTTCTTTTTTTTGTGCTTTTGGTCTCCATTGGAATTGCACTCTCACTGGGATTCTATCCAAATTTGGAGGCGTATAGTTTGGTCCCTCTATGCTTCAAAGATTTGTTCATTAGGGGGTCGAAATTGTCGTTTGTTTCCAAAATTTGACTCCTTTCTCGGATACCCATCGTATATTTGAGCCAGTATTTTCAAGTCGTTTCCTAGTCGACGCGATTAAAGGCGCATAGATTTTCGAGACCTGCCAACCCGATTAAGCTTGTCTTACGTCTACTCGATCATTTCCATTTGCGACCTGCTTCATGTATACTCACTAAAATGTTCGGACATTGGAGAGCCTTTGTCTTTATGGACTTGTCAATTCCAAACGTTCACCGATCGCTAATCCTCGTGTTGCCACGAATTTGATAGTAAATAAGGGCGTGTGTGCGCTCATCAACAAAAAAAGGACGGAAAATTCAAAAATCGAGAAGCTCGAATTTCACGTCGTGTTGATTTTTGCGCAAACTTTCACATTGGCAATTTTATTTTTCCCGTTAAAGCATTTCTCGTTTGCAGATTTTTGCCCCCCACAAACGGTCGTCTCGCGTCGACAACAGAAACCCGCCGCACAACTGACAGTAGCACGTTGGGGCGGCGATGAAGATTAGCTGCTCGTCCGACAACTGACTGATTGACCTTTGTTGGAAGCTAACTCCCATCATGCGCATCATCATTATTCAACTCGTTGTGTTGGCCATCGCATCAGCGGCGCTGAAAACGAAGTGCGCCGAGAAATGCGTACCGGATGAATGTCCGCAGATTGGCGATTGTTTGAACACGATGTTCGATGACTGCGAATGTTGTCCGGTGAGTATCATCATCAGCATCATTTCCGTTTCCGATTGACAGCAACAACGAGAAGAAGAAAAAATTTAATAATACGCGCGCGATTTGCGAAGGTGTGGGAAAATGCGCGCCGGAAACAGTATATCAATTTTGTGGCAACACAAATGAAACACACTGATTTCGATGTGCTCCCACGCCCCGCCCATCATCCCAGCGTGATATAAGAGGAGCGTGTTGTGTTGCGTTTTCCCCCCAAAAAACTTCATTCACTCATTCGGTTTTGACCGTCATGTTAGTTTGTGCGGCTAAACGCCTACTGGTTTTAGCGGCATTTATTCCAGCAGCGGTTGGTTTTGCTTTTTTCTTTGTTTTTTTTAATTTATTGGTTAGAGAGATGTCATGGAATGTTGAAAAATCGTTGAATTCCATAATAATACTATTAGAGGAAAAACTACAGAATTTTTTTTTCTCGAGACTCTTGAATTTGAAATTGAATAGTTCCCTAAAAACCAGAAATTCGATTTTTTGGTATACTGAAGGAGGGACAAATTTTTGATGTCTTTACTGTATCAAAATTAAATTGACGGCTAGGGTCTCGTATGGAAAATATCCATGGAAGATATCGTAATTTGAATTTTAAGTATTTTGTTTATTTTTAAAGTGGTCCAATGGCCGATTTTAACTTACGCGACCAATAGATTGACAGACCGCGAAATTCAAATTTTGTCGAATTCGTCGGTTCACGACTAAAAGTATTATTGATTTGCTATGAAAACCTCATGTATCGAATACTCTGAGACATGACTATTTGCATTCAGAATATTTATGAAATTCTCAACGAAAGCAGTTCACTTTTCGTCCTACAGTAATCCCGTGCAATAATATGTAGTCGCGTGCGCGTTACGGTAGATATTGCTTTTTTTTTTTTGATAAACGCGATGCGGCTCGGACAAAAGAAAAAAAATGAACAATTGAGACAGATATCGTTTCTCATATTGAGATGATTGACTTTCTCTTTTCATTTTTTTAATTAAAAAACGAAACCCACACCCATTTTTTTTCTGCCTCACCGCTGCGAGTGTTCAATAAAACAATAGGAAATTTCACATATACATATTATATTGAGTGTCGGTGTTTGTGAAGTGACTAAATAAACATGGAAAAAATTGGCGAATGTGTTGCCTGAATGCCTTCGTCGCATTAATGATCTGTAAATAAAGCGTTGCCCAAATATAGTGGGAGAAACTTGAGCGATTCGCGGTTCTCTCCATTCTTCAAATTATGTATATCCAAAAATCAGCATTTGTTCGCATTTTTTTTTCAGATTTGCGTTCGACAACTCGGCGAATCGTGTGGTCGCGACGGCGAGGTTTGCGATACTCATCTACAGTGCCATCAGGAGAACGATATCAACGAAGTTGGCTATTGCAGAGGTACGTTGGCTTTTAGATTTTTGGGTCTCGTATCGCGAATTGGACCTAAAGTAGTCGAACAGAAAACTCCATGTGCCTTTAAATATTGTATACACAAACAGTTCATTGTGAGTTTAGTAATTTTGATGATATTTTTTTGTAAAAATTCATCCAATGAGATGCAATTTTGCGGCACGGTGTTTGCACACATTTTTCCATCGAATTTTCATTGTAATTCTGGCGCCAATTCAAATTTTGCGCACTTTTCCTAAATAATGATCCGCAGGAGCTCTCTGTAAATATCCCACTCGACAATCCCAATGATTCATCATTTTTTTCGTGTTCTCCTCGTCTTCCTCTTGCTTCACATTGCACAAAATGGTGATGATTAGTTGAGCAGGTGTTCTTCGTGTATAATTATCCAGCGACTCATCATTTCGGGTCATCAACTAGGTGTTCAGTTTCTATGACCCAATATGGAATGGCGAATTTGGGATTTTCATCATCATTCCGAATTTCAAGCTGCTTTGATTTTCACTATTAGTCATTGTATTGTATGATCCCGTGCTGAACTTATGGCGAACAATAAGTGGAAGTAGTGGTAGTCAGCTGGAGCCATCCGAGATCATTGAATTGACGCGCGGGGAGAATTACACCACGCCGCGTCTCTTCGTCTCAAGACCATTGCTGACATTTTTATTTTCACTGAAAATTTCGAATTTCTCACAGTGTCTTTTTTTTCATGATATTTGAGGCGTATTCCAGTTTTTTTTTTGTTTGTTGCCTATTAAACGAAATTGCCCTCCATTACCATCAACTGATTAAAAACCATTCATGTCATTTCGTTTAATGAGATTTCGTTTTGGCCAATTCGTTCAGCGCGACTGGAAAAGCGTGTCGGAGTTTGTCATGAAAAACGAAAACCGCGTTCATGTTGCCATCAGGACACTTTTTTTTTTTGATAAAAGCGTTTCTTCCGTTTTTTTTCTTTTGCGTGGATCTCAATTTTTTTGGATATTTCTGCTGTCTCGCCGCCGCGTAAAAGCCGCTTGCCTATCCGAATATACAATTTCTATTTACTTTACTCACGAACACGAATCGAATGATGAAAGAACTAAACAAAAAAGCGAGTATCTTTTTTCAAGGGGAATTTCCTCTTTTTTCAACGAGGTTATTCGATTAAAAAAAAACTAGATGGAACACGAGAAAAGAGCGAATTATCATTTTTCTGACCGTAAATTTTTAAATTGAGGCACGAATTTCGATTTTTTATTCGCTGATCGTCGTGTGTTAATGAATTTTTTCGGCGATGGTGAGTAAATTTTTAATTCCAGAAACTTTTTTTAAATGATAATTTCACGCAAGTACAAAAGACGAAATTGTCGCGTTGGGTCTCGTTAAAAAAAAACATTTATGAAAGGATTTTTTCTAACCAGTTCAAGTACTTATTTTTAAAGAATTTTACGTACCAAAAGATTATGAGTCCATTGTGGACCACTTAAATAGCAATACGTCAGCAATATTATTCGCAATTTTCTCATTTCATCTAAAAATTTTATTAATTTGATTTTTTTTTGAAAATTAATGGTCGAATAATTGTAGGCAGCGTGTTCAATTGGAGGTCTACTCTTTTAGTTTTCGATAATTTTGATCTACCAAGATATGACTACTGTTGTTTGATACCATGATTGATTTATTCGACTATGTTTTTCATTCGGCTTCAATTGATCCAACAATTGTTGATCATTTTCAAATTCAAGCAAGTAGAAATGATTCAAAGCTGTTCAAACAGTACAACATTAAAATTCAACGCGTATATTCTCACGTTTTATGTTTTGTAGTTTCTCTTTCTTCAATTTTATGGCATAAGTATGGCGTATAGGATGCAACTTCTGTCGATTTGTTACCGATCCTGTCATCAAGTGTGGGAATTACCAAAAAGTGAAGAAAAATGCCGATTTTTGTGCGGTTTTTTGTCCAAATTTTCACAAAAATGCCAATGAACGCTTATAATTTGCTCCTAAATTCCACAAATCTTCGCTTGCCTTAAAAATGTTGTGAAAATTGTGGAATTCCTGTTTAAGTACGGAAAATTGAAAAAAAAATTGGTGTGATCGCAAATGTATGGAAAAAGCGGTCCGCTCAAAAAATGTCTGCAATTTTGCGTGCAAGTGATCGCGACCACTACTGTCATTTTATTTTGCAGAATTGCCTAGAAGTATGATCAGGTTCAATTCTAGAAGTTTTATGAAATTTGCTTGGTTCACGATTTTTTTTACTATACTTAATTATGTTAATTGGGCCCCACTAAAAAAATTTGAAAAAGAGGTCCCCTGACCAAACAGAGATGGAAAATTGGATGGATCGCATAAATTTCGACGACACTTTCGCGGTGTCATGGAAGCCGCCAATTCGCGTTCATTCGTGTGCCTCCGATTTACGGCTTTACGAACATTTTTTTTTCGTGTTCTCGAAGCCACCGTACTCGTATCCGAAAAAGATGACATTGCACATTGGAAAATGGATGAAAAGGGGGGTTTTGGGGCAGATCAGCTGTTCTTTATTCATTTTGATCCATGGGTTGGTTGAAAAAAAAAAGAAATAGATGAAACATGGATCAAATATGGATTTTAAAAACAGATCCCCCCCCCCCAATTTTCAGTGGACGGCTTGTTCACCGGCACCTATTTTTTGCAATGTAGAGCGAAAACATGTATGTAATTTTTAAAAAAAACCCACACCTACACCCACATTTAATTTTTCGCCAATCATAATCGGAGAGAGAGTGCCGACTCATCGGGAGGGCCGGGCCGAAAGTCGGCAAGCAAATTCGCACATGATTCATCCTCAGGTGTTCGACGGCCGACGGCTGCGCCTCTTCGTCTCCAATTGTCACTCGTGCGTCGAGGCATTCTCGTGTGATGTTGCCGTGTTTTTCTTGTTTCTTGTTTCTTTTTATTTTCGCGCCGTTGTTGTGTTCGATCGCCGACGGCACAACTCATATTCTACTCTGATTGCGTCTTTTTCGTTTGCGTGCTGGGTCGACATCGAGATGGCGGTTTTTTGCTTGCGACTGACCAGTTGATCATCGTGCGCTCGAGCCTTTCTGAGTCACAGGAGCATTTGAGGTTCCCGACATTTTTAAATTTAAAATTGGATATTGATTACAAGGAGTTTACAATGGCGAAATAATTAAAACCGTTGAATAATATTTTGAAAACGGGTCTTGAAGCGATGAGCAATTTTTTCACTTAAATTTTGCATTTTGAAATTTTCGAAATAATTAGCGATTATTTTAAAATTGTTATCTTTAAAGACGATTTTTTTTTGGTTTGCGGTTAAATTTGAAAATTCGATAGGTGCCCAAAATGGTGCAGTTTCTGTCCAAAAAAACTTGTTACTGTAGTTTAAAGGCGCATCGCGATATTTGATCTAAAAGTGACTCCGAATAACCAGGATTTGGGATTCGCTTTTCTGCGGAAAGTGGTTTTCGAATATTCTCCTGAAAATAACACTGGAAATGAACATCGATTTAAAGGATAGTGAATAGGTCCACACATGTAGATCAAATAATCCAAAAGCTTTGTTTCCTGGACTTTTCCGAATCTTTGATTGAGGAGGCTCATCGTTATATGGAAGAAGGCACTTAACAAAATTGAGTGAGTGACAAATTGAATATAAAGTAGTGTGGTCGGATGATGAGGAAGATGAAGAAGCCAGAATCAATTTGTCAAGACTCCGTTTGGTTGCTCATCATCAATTTCACGCCACGCTCGTCTGTAGTTCGTTGTGGGTGTGTGTGTGTGTGTGGTTTTTTTTTTGAACGGCGGGTCTTATTGTGGGGGGTGGGAAGCTTTCGGATACTCGACAATTAATCAAAACTGGCGAGGTGTTGGGCCTAAGCGCGAGCCTATCATTTTGCGGACACTCACATACACACAGGCACACACACACATGACACAAACAGACGACACTCAATGTATCCGAGTTGCGGTGCTCCGAGACACTCTGTGATGCTTATAAATCATTGAGGAGCGAAGAAAAAAACGTGTGATCGAGAGGAATTCACACCGTTTTTTTTTCCGCCCAATTGTTCCGTTGTGTTGCCATTGTTTGCCGCTCTCTCTCTCTCTCTCCCTCTCTCTCTCTCTCTCTCTCTCTCTCTCTCTCTCTTTCTCGATTTTTTTTCTTCTTCTCATTGTTTGCGTTTCGAAACTGTTTTGCATAGATTTGGCGACATCTTTTTTTTTTCTCTCTCTCTCTCTCTCTCTCTCGAAAATCTTGTGGATTGAGATTTTTTCTTTTGGAAATTTGGTGGATTTTGTCTAGAAAACTTGCCTTCACCATCTACTTCAAAGAGAAATGTCCGAAAAAGAGTAGTTTAAAGAAGATTTTTAGGATTTTTTTTTGGAAATTAGCTATAACAAGCCAGAATTTGAATAAAAAATTGGCTTTATAAAATGAATCTAAAAAATGCAGACAATCAAAATATTCGGACATTTTTTATTCAAAATTTTGACGAAAATCTCGACCTTTTGTGACAAAAATTGCAATTTTAATTTTTTTTTTCCGAAATTCAGATTCGTGTTGCAGAGAAGACACATGGCATTTTGTAAATTGACACATCCTCAATGAGGAAGGAAACCTCTTCCCAGAGGAATCCACACATGAGCTCTTCAGACTCAGTACCGTAAAAAAATTTAGAAAAAAGTGCACGTTTCTTGAGAAGCGGCTTATCTTTTTGCGCGGATATTAAAACGTTTTTTTTTTTTTCGGTTTAAAAAATTCTTCAAATTATCAAAAGTCTTATTTTTTATCGAAAAATTTCGAAAGGTTGTCGTCGCAAAAAAAAATGAGATTGCTGGGTATTTGTGGACCCTCGCATTTTTTGCTCCAGTCGGTAGTTCAATTTTGAATTTATGCTTTGGGGAATTTGGGTACAGTACTACAGAATAACCCCCTTAAGGAGGACGTTTATAATTTTCATTTTTTTTTTGTATTTTGCTATTGTAAAAATTTTTCGCTCATTTCTCCCCCCCCCCCCCCTCACTCGATGAATGTTTTGGTGTGTTCGTCAAAGTGGAATGTTTTGAAAATGTTCTCGCCTTCGGATGTCGCCCGCACCCGAATAAAAATAACGCGTCAAGCATGCATACATTTTTCTTCGTTTTTTTTTTTTTGCTGTGTGTCCTTCTTGATTTTTTCTCGCATGTGTCGCGTAAAATGCGTAGAGAGTTGACTGGGGTGGGGGGTCCCCTCTGCCCGCCCCCCCTAAACTCCGGATTTTCGTTTTCTTTTTTTTTGCTTTTATTCGTTCCCATCGACGTTCGGCGCCATCTGGTGACCGATCTCGGGGCCATGTTCTCACTTTTTCGCGCCCTCGTTTTCCCTTGTTTGGTGTCGTTTTTTGGTTAGGCCTAGGCCACGCCCACTCGCTCTTTGGTGGGCGTGGCCTCCGCACGCGTTTTTGTTGTCCGCGGCGCACCAAACTCATTTTGGTTGCCGCTTTTTTTCCCATCGTTTCGTTCTTGTTGAATGTCGGCAGATAAACATTTTTTTATAATTTTGACCTCATGATGATCAACGGCTGGCGATTTCTGCTTTAATTTCGATGTTTCCATCGATTTTTTCCAATTGTAGGTCAATTTTTGCCCATTTAATGACTTGTCTGAATTTCAGACAGGAATAAGCATTTAAAATGTAAATTTTGTCACGTTTTTCTCAGATTTACAATCTTTCAACGGAAATTTTTCCTCAACTATTACCCCAACCTCCTAACTTTGGCAAGGTCTATAATTTTGGGAACGAAAAAAAAAAGCGGGGCGATGAATCAAACGAGTCCCCGCCGAAATATTTTTGAAAACCACGCCCTCGGAGAACTGGTTACAAACCGCAAAAAAAATCGGCTCGAAAAGATGTTTGTGTGTTCGCAAAATTGCCCACATTTGTTTTTTGAGCGACATTTTGCATACGGTAGATCACATGTCTCTTTTCGAGTGGCGGTGTCAACAAAAAGTTCGATTCAACTTTGTTTTGCGCCCTTTTTGCCGGTGCCTAGGTTCGACGACATTTTTTTTTGTTTCGGGCAACAAATCCTCCACCATCGGTGGGTTTTGTTCTCGATCCTCTCAAATTGAGTATGTGTGTGTCGTCTTATGACAGTATCATACGGTTATTTTCGGTACGTGTTCTTCCTTCATTTTTTTCTCTTTCATCAATTTATCAATTCGACGAACGCGAGCTCGTGCTCGACGAAAGAGCCTCTCCCCCCCCCACGGCGGCGCCGCCGACGCCGCGCCCGAACAGATGAGCTGTGTGGCGCCGACGCGGCGACGATGAGTCGGTAGCAGTTCAACCCTGAGCAAACATGCGTTTGAGGAGCATCGTCTCCTGTCGCGCAGGCGCGACCAATTCGCGTATCGAGTCGCCCATTGTTCGTGTTTTGCTCTCCGATTGGGGCTCGTCGTTTCCGATATGATTGAGAGACTCGCTGGTCCCGAGATATTTGACGCCCCAATCTCCGCCGCGATCGGTTTTTTTTTAGATCTTGTCTAATTTTTGAGCTATTTTGATTGGAAGAGCTTCTTTTGGCGCTGGCGTAGGTCATGCGCCTTTAAACAAAAAATTTCCAGCTAATCAGACGTGATGATAGGGTACAGTAATTGTTCTCGTCGAAAAGCCCTGGATTGCGGGTTTTTTTTTCTAATTTTTTGGTCTTGACACGATTTTTGATTAGGGGGTATTTTCTGCAGTTTCAAGCATGCGCCTTTAAACAGCGGTCAATTAGTAATTATGTTCGACAATAAATTTTTGGTGTTTTTTTTTTTTGAAAAATTTTGAAAAAAGAAAGAATCTAAATTTAGATTGTGACATTTTTCATCAAAATCACATGTACCTAGCATATATATTTTTTTTAATCCAACCGCCCGTTCTTCTGTCTCAAATAGTGCGCACTTCTGTGATTGTTTAATATTTGTTGGCGATCATTGATGAACTGAGGCGTGTCTTTTTCCAATGATTCGCTTTCTCTCTCTCTCTCTTTCTCATCGTTTTTTTTTTGTTTGTGCCGTGGAGGCTCTTAATGAATATTTCAATCGGATAAGGGAGGTGTCAAACATCTGGTGGCCCCCGCCAATTAAATGGTCCGGGCCGTATGTCATTGTTTCTGAATTAGTTAATTAGTCGTAATTCGATTGTCGCGCCATCATTTTTGCGTCCACCCGAAGATGCTCGTTTTGCAGAAATGCAGTCGGACAACTGCTTGAACGCGCGATGTCCGATCGCGTTCCATCCGCGATGTCCCGACGATTCGCGATTGGTGATTCTGCCGCCGCCGGCGGGCGAGTGCTGCGGCAAACCGGGCACGTGCCATTGCGATCTTCAGGTAGGCTCTCGAGACGATTATTCGGCGCTCATTCGAAATATTGTATGTATTTCATTTTTTTTGTTGTCGCTTGCAGAAATGCGCCGAATTTGTGCCGATTTGCGACAGAAAAAGCGAGGAGCTGAAATTGGTGAGCGGCGGCGCCGACGAGCCCGGCAAATGTTGCGATGTGTTCGAGTGCGTCAAAAAGAGCAAATCGTGCGAGAACGTCCACTGTCCGCCGCGTCCGTTCGACGAGGACGCCGGCGCTTCCGACGAATGCCCGCCGGACAGCTTCCGGCCGCCGGAGTACATCACCGGCGACGCGTGCTGCCCGATGCGCCACGCGTGCAAATGTCGAGGCTCGATTTGCCGGCCGGCGCAGTGCGCCGACGGCGAACGCGTCAAAGTGCTCAAGAAGGGAAACGGCACGCCGGGACGATGTTGCGACGAATGGAAGTGCGAACCCGACGCGATGCTGGTAAGCGGAGTTTTTTTGTTTGAAAAGAAGAAGGGAGGAAAAAACAAGAAGTTCATGTTTTTTTTAAAATTTTCCGCAGAAAAATCTTGAAATTGTCGAAGACAGATGACTTTCGAAGAGTGGGCGGAGCGTCTCGTAATAATATTCGATTTAACTGCATATCAACTAGTAATTATGGGCGCATATAAAAAATTGTTAATTTCGCGCCATCTGTGTTTTCCCACTGTTGTCTGTCTTCGACAATACACAAAAAAAAGAGAAATTTTCACAAAGAACCCCCTTCTATAGTGTTTTTATTAGCATTTTACGTTAGGAGAAGAGAAAAAGGAGAAAAATATGATTCTAGGCTCAAATTTTGAAAAAAAAATTTACAGAATTCTTTTCGTGAAATTTTCAGAATGGTTATTAGAATTGCGAGTCGATTGAAAATTTGAGATCGAATCTGAAATTTAATTTTTAGCTTTAGTGTTTTTTTTTTTCATATTTTTTGGGGTTTTTTTTTCACTAATTTTGAAATAATGGCCGATTTTTAAAACATTTTCAAGTATTTCACATAATTTGGAGTTTTTTGAAGTTTTCTTCATCAAGATCAGTAGTTGAAACTCTTAAAATTTCGCGAATCTCTTTTCAGGAGTCATCTTCATTAAGGGATTCATTATAAGGTGTTGGGCTCATTTAATAGCTGAAAAGAAAATTTTAAAAGAAAAGAAAAATGATTGAAGATAGGCAAAAAATTGAATTTTTGCAAACAAGCTATTCACAAATTAGTCGGAATTTTCTATTAAAATGAAGATTGCAATTTTCAAATTTTCAGACGAAGAAATGCATGCATAATGGCAAAGAATATGAGGATGGTTCCGAATGGCATCAATCGATTTGCGATGTGTGCCATTGTAAGCGCGGAATTGCGATCTGCACGAAAATGACGTGCCCGAAAGTCTCTTGTAAGCTCGAAAATTTTGAAAAACAAAAAACCACACATTTCTACAGCGCAATGCACATGGATCATGATTCCCGAAGGCGAATGTTGTCCGGTTTGCTTCGGATGTCAGACGGACTCGTTGGAGAAGAAGAAGAAGCATGAGAGCTGGCAGAAGGATGACTGCACGACGTAGGCGATGATTTTTTTTCGATCCAATCCGAAATTGTTTCAGATGCACGTGTTCCGAAGAAGGCGCGCACGTGTGTGTGAAGCACATGTGCAAAACCGACTGCGAGAATCCGCGCAAAGTCGACGGGCAGTGTTGTCCGGTGTGCGACGAGCCGTCGATTGTGCGGCCGCCGGCGACGTGCCCGTCGCTTGAGCACTGCTCGTTGAGGTTGGATACTTTACACGGACCGAATGGATTGATGCATTCCAGATGCGCCAACGGTCTGCGTCGCGATGACGTCGGCTGCTATGTGTGCGAATGTGTGCCGGACGCGACGCCGAGCGACGTCGAATGCGACGAGCTGAACGAGGAGAATTGCGATAAACAATGCGCGCACGGCTACCTCAAAGATAATCACGGATGCGCGGCGTGCAAATGCGCCAAATGTCCGCCGCTTCACCAATGCTTCAAGCATTGCCTTTACGGATTCGAGTCGAACTCGGCCGGCTGTCCGTTGTGCAAATGTCGCGCCTCGTCGAGAGTGGAGACGTTGGGAAATGAGTCGGACAAGAATAAGCTGATGTCGAAGAATGGAGACAAGTAATACATTCTCAATCAATTGTTTTTTTTTTTTATTCTGAAACGATTCTAGATGCATCTCGATCCGTCAAGACGGCCATCAGGTGGAGCGCGATGGCGGCGAATGGTGGAGCGACGGATGCCGTCATTGTTTCTGCGAGAACGGCCAAGAGTTTTGCTCGCTCATCTCGTGCCCGTCGCGTCCCAACGATTGTCCCGACGAGGCGTGGCAACAGAAGGACGGCGATTGTTGCCCGCAGTGCACCGTCGCCGGAATGAAGAAGAAGCCGACGACGGGCGGGGCGGCGGCGGCGGCGAGTCGCCAGCAGAAGCACGAGCACACTGTGTGCCAGTCGCCGGGAACCGGACGACTTTTCACTGGTATGAATCTGGGGGAAGCGGGAGATTGTTGACTGAAATCTTGAATGGATTCAGATGGTGAAACGTGGCAACTTGCGCCGTGCGTTTCGTGCACGTGCCGAGTCGGACACGTCCTGTGCCGGACCAGCGAATGCCCGCCGATCGCGTGCGCCAATCCCGAATACATCAACGAGGATGACTGCTGTCCAGTGTAAGTGACATCGTAATTCAGAGAAGCACCTCAACTCGACATTTTTTCTTTCATCGTTCAGATGTCCAGAGAAAGCGGTGATGACGACGAAAGACGGGAATGGCGATGTGATCGTGTGCACCGATGAGAGCGGCGTCGCGCATCTCGTCGGCTCCTCGTGGCGACAAGACGATTGCACGTCGTGCGTGTGCACACCGCAAGGTGAAGCCGACTGCTATCGCGAGGCGTGCGACGAGCACATCGAATGCCGCGGCAATCCGCTCGTCATCAAAGGCAAATGTTGTCCGGTGTGCTCCGACGCGCTCTCGTCGTCGGCGGTGTGCTCGTACCAATCGGGCGTCTACTCGATCGGCGAACAATGGCAGGATGGAAGCTGCTCGAATTGCTCGTGCGTCGCCGGCGGACAAACGGTGTGTCGCGAGATGGTGTGCCCGCATTGCGAGGATCCCGTCACCATTGAAGGGCATTGTTGTCCACTGTGCAAAGGTATGATTGAGATCTCGGGGGGCTTCGAATTTGACACATTTCAGATTTTGCCCAATTTTGAAAGTGGGTTTTTTTAAATTAGATTTCAAAATTAATTTTTGCCCAATTTGGAAGCGATTCTGTTGTAAAAAATATGTTTTTTGATGAATAACAAAACTCAAAAACATCTCAAAAATTCGTATTCTGAAAATTCAATATGCTTGAAAAAAAATTAAATTCTAGACGTCGGTTGGGCTCCATATGGCATCGGCAACGGCTCGTACCATCCATCGTTGTCGACACGCCAAAACGCAATCGACGAGCCGTCGGCGTTCCCGTTCCTGATGCTCTCCGCCATGTCGTTGGCGGTCGTCGGACTCCTAATTGTGCTTTTGCTTCTCTTCAAGCGAAATCGGAAAAGCAATAAGGTAAAACCGAACGTTTTAATGGATGATAACTATCGATTGGCTCGATTTTAGCTGCACAAGTTCACAGAAGTCGGACAGATGAGCTCTGGCGCGTCGACGGTTCGCCTCTCGGCGTCGAAGGCGATCGGATCGATGCCGAGACTATTTGAATGGAACGAGAACAGGTTTGCCTCTCTCTCTCTCTCTCTCTTCCTCGCGCGTTCAATAGGAGTTCTTGATTTCAGACCAACTGAGGGACCGGCGAATCACATCCGTCACGATTCGCAGAATTCTGATGATCAAACTGATAGCCTTTTGTCCACTATGTAAGAAATTAGAAGGGTTTTGTTCGAAAAAAATGAGCTTTTTTTTGAAAAATCATTAATTTATATGTTTTTTCTTCTTCGGATTTACCTGTTTTGATGAGAAATTTGAAAATCTGCAAAAATTTTCCTCAACATCCAGAATTTCTCGTTTTGTCTTAAAATTGAAAAAAAACTTTGCCCCAGTAAGTCCATTTTTTGCTGCATTTTCAAACTTTTAAAATTATCTTAATTTGGAATTGTGCGGATAAAAGCAGAAAACTGTTTAAAAGTACCTTTTCTTTAGGAATCTGCATAGAAATTGCGCTTTTTTTGTAGTATTAAAAAAATCTGCATAGATTTCCAGAAAACATTCAAAACTCGTTTTCAGGTCGGACACATCCACAGCTCCGTCGAGCATCTCGTCCGGTCACTGTCCGGTCTCCGACACTCAGCCGCTCACGCCGAGTCGCATTCGCCGATTCCCTGTCTGAGCATTTCGTTGTTCTACTTCTTCTTTTTTTGTACAATGACACTCTATGATATTTTTTGTTCATTTATTTGTCTAAACATTAAATTGCGTATCCGCCCCCAACCCCAATACACAAACTCTCATATTAGCGGGTAGTTCCGTATTTTAGATTCCCCCCACCTTCCAAAAACCTTCTATGGTAATATTGCAAAGCAAAACACACATGAAAGCGTTTAACTGCGATGCGGGTTCCGGCCACCCACGTTTTTTTCTGGGAACCCCAAACAATTTTAAATTTTGTACAATTTTTGGGTCTTAGAAACCCCCCAGCTTATTCATTCTACCAACTGCTTTTTACGCATAGTTTTGTCAAATCACTCGTGTTGTTTTTTTTGAAACAGTGAAACCCAATTTTAATATTATTATTATTTTATTATAATAAAATGTAAAGCTTTTTTCGGTCTCATTTTCTTTGGCAAACACACCAAACCGGGGAATGATGAATAGAAGCAGGCAGTATTTTTTCTAGAGAATGAATGGAATGATCGATTTGCGATTGGGCGGGTATTTCGGAAATGTCCGCTGATACCAGCGATGCGTGATCTCGGCGGCGAAGATTTGGTTGATGAAGACGAACAAGAGCACAAACTGCAAAAAAAAAAAGTAAATTTTTGGATTTCGCGAGCTGGCATAAAACTTGGCAGCCACAAATATAGGCTCCGAGTAGATTAAAAAAAAAAGCCCAAAATCGGTCTACGTCGATTTTTTGGGAATAAATCTCAAAAAACTAGTTTTTTAATGTGAAATATGTGTATATACAGTGTCTTTTATACGAGACACAAGCTGTATATTTCATATACGGCAGTTCTTTTTCATTTTTTGAAAAGATTTTCGGAAATTTATCCACGTGGATAGCACATGGTTTCCATCTTTCCAAATTGTTGTATTATACAAATTAAAAAAAACTATAAACTCTGGTAAAACTATTGGTTGCTGTACGCGGGTAAATTTACGGGGATGCTCTCTTCTGTTGGTCTCGCGAGGACTAACTGGTTGCTTCGCATTTTATTGACCGGTTCGATAATATTAAAATCGAACGACGTTAGAAATTCCAAGAAATGCCAAACTCGTCAAGAAAAAATAAATCGTTCACGTGAAAACAGCAAAATAAGCATTCAAACGGGGCGAGACCTTTTCAAGGCGCATGCGCGTAAATCTACCCGTGCGCAGCAGCCGTCGGACGCCGAAACATCGTGTTGAGTTTTGGAAGTGCGGATTAAATAAGGTTTCGAGTGGATCAACCCAAAGGGAAGAAGAAATTTGAAATTTTTGATTTTTTTAATCTAAATTATTTTGATGAAATTTCTCGAAATTTAATTTTTGAAAATTGACTTGACCAACATATTTCAAAAGATAATAGAAAAAATTGTCGTGCAAATTGAAAACCTTATAAGCGAATCCTGTCGGGACCACGAAATACAATGACAAGTAGATGAGAATCTCGAAGAAGAAATGCGGACATGAGACATAGTTGAACCAGCCGCCAAAACAAATTCCATACGCATAATTCCTAATAAGACCTGTAAAAGTCAGCATTAGACGGCAATTTTTCAACCAATTTCGAACCTCTCGGCCCTTTTCTGGTATTCGCAATTTTCTCGGCGATCTCGTGCTGCTGAATATTGCAAATTATGAACAAAACTGCGCCAATCCACTGGTACGTTGTGATATCTTCGATAGACACTTTCAAGTCTTCTGAAATTTTGAAAAATATCAATGCGGTTTAGATATAATCGTCGTGTTACTCTTATTCGTTGCGAGACCCTCGGTTTCGCATAGAATCGAAAATGGAAGGATTGTGTAGTGAATGAGGCCGACAGCATAATGGAAGATGTTCATTCGACTGTCGGAGTAGACGCTGACGGCGACAGTCTCGTAGAATCGGCGGATGACGTGCACGGTGAGTAAACCGATCGCCAGGCAGCATGTTGTGAAGGAAACTGCGAAAACCATGAGGTAGAAATATTTTTAAAATTTTTTCTGAATAATGTTTCTCAAATTTTTGAAAAAGTTAGATTTTTTGGAAAATTTGTCAATTTTTTTTCATATTTTTTGCCACTAAATGTCTATTATGTGGTATTTTAACTAAATTTTATTGAGAATTTTGGAATATAAAAACAATGAGAGGTTTCTAGTGGATTTTCAACAATTTTTGTCATTATTTTGAATCACCCTGGGTTTAAAAAATTTTTTCAAATAAAACCAACTTGATGGGATTGATTGCGGCCGCGTGAGCATTATCAAAAACGTTCTGAGATCTTTTGAATATTCAATCGTGCCTATGAAAGTTGTATAAAGGATATGAAGGCTGAGAAGTAGTGTGAATGTGCCGAGAGCGTAGAAATGGCGGAACCATCTAAACAAATTGCATATTTATTTTAATTATTGCAAAAAATACCGTTTTGGAACTGAGATCATACTGATAAACTTGTAGGTTTCCAACTGATCACTTGATTTTCCGTATGTGGTCAATGCGGGAATCACTGTGCATATATCATAAGGAACGAATAAGGTAATGAGACATGAAATTGTTAGAAGCACTGTAGAAGACAACAAGTAGATTGGGATCAGATTATGCACCTCGTTTATGTGGAATTGCATTTCTGAAATATTTCGAAATTCAAAAAAAAAATATTCGAAGAATTCAAATCAAAATTCAATTACGGGTACGGTAAGCAAATAAAAGTACGCACTAAAATGTCAGGATGTTTGCAGAAATATTTTTTTCGTTTATTTTCGAGACGATTTTTCCGCATTTTTTCTTAATTTTTTAAATGAAATCTCATTTTTTGCTCAAAAAGGTGATTTTGCGAAAAATTTAAAGAAAATGTGACAAAATTTCATTTTAATTTCACGCCGGGCGGAAGCGGACATTTTTGTACAATTCACTTTCACAAATGACGCACCGCACGCACCAAAGAAGGCAAATTCATAAACAATGCAACATTTGTTTCTTCAGCGATGCTATCTTGAATTTTTACAAAGTTCAAAAGGGAAAAAAAGAAACTTTGGTGTTGAGGCGAGAAAGCGGTGGTGCGCGGTTTTGAAACTCGAAAGTAAACAGATGGCGCCGGCACACGAGGGTCCTCGACAACTCTTTTTTTTTGCATCCGATTTCAATAGGCTTGGCAGATGTTTGAAAGAAAAATGGAGCGGTTTTGGCTGGAAGATGTTCAAGGTCGTCGGCGAGAAGATTAACGTGCGACAAATTTGTTTGGCATTTTACGCTCCTTGACCGTTTTATGCGAAAAATGCATTGAAACTTCATTTCAAAAAATCGAAATTTGTGTTTGAAATCGAAGAATTGTTGCATTTTCGGGGCGTCAATTAAACGAAAATTGGTTTGGTTTCCGATTGTTGAAATTCAATATGACCGAGAAGCGAAAAGAATTGAAATTGAGAGGCAACGTCGTTTTATTAAAAATCCGAAAGATGTTGCATTTTTTTAATGAAAACTGTTGGATTTTTCTACAAAAACCGTTTTGTGCGCTGAAAATGTTTCAGGTTTGCTGAAATTCCAAATGGTCGAGTTTTCGGCAATCCCGAAAACTCGTCCATTCCTAATTTTTGATTATTTTATCATCATTTTTTCTCATTTTAAACAGTTGAAAAAACTCGAAACTCCGATTTTCTATGTTTCAAAGGTAATTACAATTTCTAACGTGAGTTTCAGAAAAATAGTGAAATTTCAGAAATGCGTGGTTTTGGAATTTTTTTCTCCACGTTTTTTTGCAATTACTCACAGAGCATTTTTATTACACAAAATTGCTTCTGGATTTCGAATGCCATAAAAAATTCAGCCCAAAAATCGATTTAAGAAATAAGGGCCGAAGGTGGCCTAGAAAATCGCAGGCCACATTTTCGGCGTTCCAACACGTCGGCGTCTAATTTGTCATCATCTCCTCATTTTTCGCGCAATGTCGAGCTTATTCAACGATGATCTCTTAAAACCGCATATTCCGCGTCAAGGCCTTCCACAAGGCTTCAAAGTGCGCCCACTCAATTCCAACGATTTTTCAAACGGCTACTTGGAGTTGCTCAGTCAGCTAACAACCGTCGGCGATGTTTCGAGGGAAAAATTCATGGAACGCTTCGAATCCATGATGAACACAAACCCAAAATCCTACTACATCACCGTAATTGAGGATGAAGCTTCCGGCAAAGTCGTCGCGTCGGCGTCGCTGGTTCTCGAGTGGAAATTCATTCACGAGGCCGGCAGCCGTGGGCGAATCGAAGACGTCGTGACGAGCAAAGACTACCGCGGTCGAAATTTCTCGTCATTCCTCAACGCGCTTCTCGTCTCGTTGGCCAAATCGCTAGGTGTTTATAAGATGTCGCTTGAATGTGTTGAAAGCCTTGTTCCATTTTATTCCCAATTTGGTTACAAGGACGATTGCCATTTTATGACTCAAAAATTTTGATGCCGTTATTCTCATGTATTTTGTCGTTTTTCATAATAAATCGTTTCTTTTTGTTATTTCAGATGGAAACATCTTTTGGGTTGACCGAATATGTGAGCGCGGAGAAGATCACCGAGATCCCATGCTTGCTCAAAGAGCTCTACACTGATTTCATCGTTCAGGAGATTCTTGGTGAGCTTTTCATTGGATTTCCAAAAAACTATGAGAATCTATACGCCACAAGTTTTTTGTATTGTAGTTTAAAGGCGCACTAGCTTAATTATTGCGCAGTGGTCTTGAAACGCGTTCCAATTGGTAATTTTAGAAAAATTCCCATTTAAAATTTGATTTAATTCAAATTTTGACATTTTTAAACCCGAAAAAATTAATGTCGCCTTTTACAGCTGACAAGACAGTTCTTGAGGTTCCAACAGCTGAGGATGTTCTCGCACTCGCGACTAACGAGGAGAAGATCACGATAAACGAGAACGTCGAGATTCCAACATTCCTCACCGACGACCACATCAAGGCATTCGATGAGCGATTCAATCAGAAAGGCAATCTGGTCATCGTTCCGGTTGAGGTTGACTATTTTTTCAATTTCTTGATGTCCTCAGAAATTGATATGCTGAAAATTGCAGGGAATGGATAAAGACAGACGCAAGGCGGTCCATCAATTCATCAGAGAACGATATTCGGGAAAATTGATAAGCGAATTGAAGCCGGAAGGGATTTGTGTGTCGCATGGCCACACAAACTCCAGCAGGTTACTATTATACTTCTCTTTTTCGCCGAATTTCGATATTTTTGATAGAAAACGGAAAATTTGGGACGAAAAAACGCCGAAAGAGTGTCATTTCACGATGGCCAAGGAGAACAAAGATACCGTTTACTCGCTGGGTGTGATCGCCAAATTTTTGAAGTAATTTTTTTTGCTGTATTTATTTATATTAAGCCGAGTTATTTGAAAACTCCATCCATTTTTTTTGTAATTTTAATGATTTTCAAAAACGCGATTGAAGAAATTGAAAAGTTTTATTTTTTCTTTTAATTTTTGTTCCACAAATTAAACTTTAAATTTTTATATTCAATTTTCGTTCGGAAAAAATCACTCCTTTAAACAAAAGATCATTAAATAAAATCAAATGTGTGCAATTTTGCGTGCTTGTGTTTGCACACTTATAACCGTGAGCCGCGCTTTTTGGGAGGAAAAGGTGGAAATTGTCCGAATTTTTGTTAAAATATTTCTGATTTATACAAAATTTACACTGGACGAAATTTGTATTTTTTTTCAATTTATTTGACATCGACTGATTTTACCAGAAAAAAAGTTTGAAATTATTTCTAAATTTTGTTTTTTCTTTCTTTCAGCGTCGACCGAAAATTGGTGAAGATGTGCGGAATAAAGGATAAGCGCGCTGTCACAGTTCAGCGGGTCTCGTGTCGACAAGTTGAAGAGGTTGGCGATTGATTCTCGCGATTGGAATCCGAACGATTTCATTTTTGCAGAAGAAAATCCTCTCGCTGAATTCGAGACTCCGCAATATTCTTGTGTACGATTGCAAGTATTTCGACAATCCACTACAGATGGGCGGACATTGGGGAAATCGATTCAGCATTATTTTGAGGTGAACAAATTACGCTCTACACATTTTTTGAACAAAACCACTCTACAGAAATATCAACGAGAACGACGTCGGGGTTCTTGAGAGCCGATTGACGGTGTTCGAGACGCTCGGATTCGTCAACTATTTCGGAACGCAGCGATTCGGCTCGCGAGACGCCAACACCGCGCGCGTCGGACTCGACATTGTGAAGCGCGATTGGGAGGCGGCGGTGAAGGCGATTCTCAAAAATACGCTATCACGTAGGGGGCGAAACAATTTTTTTCCAAAAAAAAAATATTGAACCATTTTGTCAGCGATGAACCAAAGCGGGACACTTGGCGAGGCGATTCGGCACTTTTGCGAGACTGGCGATGCTCGTGCGGCCTACAAGAAGCTTCGAGGCGCTCAGACGTTTGCAACCATCGAGGGAACGGTGCTCAAGCATTTGGGACAGGGCGGAACGTGGCAAACCGTAAGGAGTGTCCTTCTTTGTTTTTTCCTGAGAGCCACATGTTTTTAGGCGATCACCGAAGCGATTCCGATTCAGACGCGCAGTTTGTATGTCCACGCGTATCAGAGCCTTATTTGGAATAAGGTGGCGTCGCGTCGTGTTCGTGAAGCTTACACGCAGGTGACGGACACCGACGTCGGCTTTGATGGTCAACCGTTGCCGGCGGATTCGTCGCACTTCGACATTCACATTCCGCTTCCGGGCATCAATGAGAAATTCAAAGACACACAAGGTATTTATTGTGTTTCTGAAGCGAAAAAAAACATGAAGCGGCTATTAGAATCAGAATTATTCGCAATAAGACCCACCTCATTTTTTGCGTTATGGTCGCCTTTAATTGAAAATTTTACACTCAACAAAATTTTTGAAGCGCGGTCTCGAAGCGATCGAACAATTCTAGTGTAATTATTAAATGTCGCCAAACGCGTTGCGGTTTTATTTTATTTTTTTGTAAATGTGAACCGCAACGCGTTTGAACTACGAGGTCTTGAAATTCTGGTGCCCCGCTTTTTTTTCTACGAGAAACGCATAAAAAACGGCTAGCAATTATGACCGGGATTTTCAGCGTATAAATGGACTAGCGAATGTTTGGCCGAGGATGGTGTGACGCACGAGAGCTTCGCGCCGCTCAGAGAGTAGCTAACCTCTATGAAATTCGCCCTAAAAATTGCAATATTAAATTTTAGTCGATTTGCGATTGGCGAGTCCTCGCGACCCTTATTTGGAAGGGTCGAAGATGTGAGCTGGCAGTTCATCAAGCATCCGGAGCCGCGCTCGTTTCTGCAAGACGGCCTCTACACTCGCGCGATTCCCGACGATCAACGCAATGGTCCGTTCACGGCACTTCAGATCAAATTCAATTTGGCGTCGGGATGCTATGCGACGACGGCGTTGCGCCAAATCACTGGCGTCGATATGGGAAAGACGGCGATGAAGGTTGGTGGCGAAAAAATTTTTTGAGGCTTTTCCAGTTAGATTGGATCTGAAAATGACAAATTCCATCATTTTTTTGTTGTAATTTTGTGGAAAAATAGTAGTTCAATTTTTTGGTGAACATTTTCCCGATTACAGTAATTGCGGAAAGGACCACTGAAGTTTGAGAGACGCAGAAATCGAAAAAGTGAATTTTGAAATGTTTTAACCAGGAAACAAAAATGGAGAATTGCAATCTCTTGAGAAAATTTTTTAAAAATCTTCTATGAAACTGAAATTACATATTTGAGGCGAACTCTGAGGAATTGCGCGGAGCAGCGGCGCAGAAAGAAGAAAATTGCGTGGAGCCCGACGAGATATTGGGACCCGTTTGAGAATTGTTAGTTTCCTAAATTTTTGTTATTGTTGTTTTTGTTGTTTTCAATAAATTGTTTTTCAAGAAAAAAAAAATCAATTTTTTTGGTTGACCCAGTTATCACACCTGACTGTTGGTATTTTGTATGATAAAATGGATTTGACAAGTTTTTGAATTTCAGAATGAGCTCATTGAGCATTTTGTGTCCGAACGCGAAACGGGTTCAGATCAAAGTCGCGCCGATGATGCTGTTGCAGCAGGTAATTTGAAGATTGAAAAATAAAACACGAGATTTGTCCAAATCTGGACGAGAAAATCGTTGTAGCGATTTGATTTTTTCAATATTTAATCAAATTTTGACAAACAAATTCTTGAAATAGTCGAAAAGTTGCTATAATTTGCTTTTATTTTCGGAAAATTCATAAAAATAGGTGATTTCTCACAAATTTCCCCCAAAAAGCTTATCTTTGACGTAAGAATTAACAATTTTTTGCTTAAAATAATGAAAATTGTGGTCTAATAAAAGATTTCTTGAAATGTTTTTTTCTTAAATCGTACAAATATAGATAATTTGAGGTTTTGGAAGAAGCTTGCCTGAAAAGTGGATTCGACGCCAGCGCGCATCGCCTTCAAACGCAAAGCAAGAAGCCGATCGATCATTCATTGCCGTTTCGACTCAGCGGAATTCCGAACAACGCGACACTTGAAATGGTGGCGAGGCCGGTGTCGAACGCGCCCGTTGAAATCGAGCTAGCGATTCAGGTGAGACGACGCTGATGGCATTAATTGATGAATCTATTGATGTCAGATTCCATCCGGTCAACGCCGTCAAATGAAAGTCGGAGTGAATGAGAGCCTTTTGGAGATTTTGCGAAAATTCTCGACGCTGTTTGGCGAGGATTTGACGTCGAGCATTGAATCAACGGCGCCCGCTGTGGTTTACATGAATAAACGAGTAGGTTGTGCGGTTTTTTTAAATGTCAATTAGTCGATTTTAATTGTAAATAATTAATTTTGAAAAAAACATTGAAATGGTCCGGTGATTAAAAAGAACGTTCTTTCAAATTGTAGTAATGGAATTAAACAAATATCGCTTTTGAAAATTTTCCATGCGAGACCCAAGGCGGCAATAGCCCAAATCTACGGCGATACTACATAAAAAATAAATGGCGGCAAAAATACGAAATAATTTTTTTATTTTATTATTTTTAAGAAATTTTCAAATTATGAGAAATGACTATTTTTTCAATTCTGTTGATCTGGTCTTGAAGCGACCGATTACGGTAGATGCGAGAAATCGACGACTATATCAGATTTCTTTTCGTGCTTTCAATAGGGAACCAATTTTTTGCAGTATACTGGTAACATTGAACTCACAAATAACACATTATCAAGCCTTGGAATCACCAATGGAAAATGTTTGATGAGATACTTGCGCGTCGAGGTTAGCGACGAGCAGCTCGCCGAGATCGAGGCGAGAAATCGCGAGGAGATCGAGAAGAAAAAGGCGTTGGACGCGACATTTGCGAAATTGAAAGCGGAAAATGAGGCGAGAGAAGCGCTCGAGCGGCAGAGGCAATTGGTGGGTAAAATGTCGGCATTTTCCGGAATTAATTTGAAAAAAAAACACACACACACAAACACTCTTGTAACAATTTAAAGGCGCATATTGAGATTTTTGAACAAAAAAAAATTGGGAGATTGATTCTAGGAATTTGAACGCGACGCTGAAGAACGAGCAAAACGTGATCAGGAGCACTTGAAGGCGATTCTTCCCGAGCCCGAACAAATGGACACGAATGAGCATGAGCCGACGAATGTGAATGTGGTGTATGCTGACCGTCATCCAATTCCTTTAAGCGATTTTTCGAATTTCAAGAAGTCGAGATGTTCTTCAAGACGTGCCCGTCCAGAATCCGAATGATTGGTCGTTCAACGCGCCGGTGTTCTCGAGACGCGCGCCGACGACGGCGATGCGTCTCGACGAGCTGAATCGCCTACTCGAGCGCGTCGACAACTCGCTGGGACCATCGACGACGACGAACGAGGACGCGATGGATTCGATGGTGAACGCGTTGGCCGACGGCGGTCGAATCTCGTTGTCGGAGATTCGCGCGCGAGCCGAACTCGAAAAGCAGCAGCGACGCGACGAGGCTGAGAAGGCCGAGAATGCGTTTGCGGAAGCGTGCGAGCGTAATCCGAGGATTTTCAGCAAAGTGTACGAGTTTATTTTTTTTTTTACAATTTCATCGTCGATTGGCAATTTCGACTAGAAAACGCGTATAATATTTTTCAAAATTTAATTTGAAACTTTTTTTTTTGAAAAAAAAAGAAAGAAGATTTGTATTCCATTTCTATTCATTACGGAATTGCTCCATTTAATTGATAGGCAATTTGAATGGCACACCGAGGTGATTATTTAAATAGATCAAAAATAACGATCAACACCGATTTTAATTTAATTGACTGCGTCTCAATTGCAATTAAAAATGGAAAAAATACTCAATTTTCCGAAGCAGTGATGTTACAGAAAAACACATTAAATTTTTTTCAGCCTTTGTCAAAAATTGGAAATATTCTCTAATTTTTTTTTCAATTAACATTGGATTAGTTGATTTTAAGAAGGGGTTTTAGTAAAATAGGCTTTAAACATGTTATGGGGTAATACAGAAAAAAATTGAGAAAATTTCAATGTTAAAAAATGAAAAAAAAATGATATTTTCTCTGGATTGGTCCTTTAAATATTGAGGAAACTTGCTAGTTCATTTCTTCGAGCCAACGAGAATTTAAAATCGCTTTTTTTCGTTTTTTAAATAGATTATATTTTTATACGGACAATTTTTAGTGCGAAACCGGCTACCGAGCAATTAGAGCCGATGGAGATTTCCGACGAATTTTTCGAGGTCAAAATGGAAGATATTAAAGTGATTCAAAAGGATTTGCGGAAAACGGTGTAAGAATCTTTTTTTTCTTCAATTTTGGGTTCTTCCATTATTGTATTTTAAAGACGCGAACAAACTCAAGCCGGATTTGTGTCGAAATCATTTTTGGCTAAGAAAAACCGAGGTCTGAAAATGGAGGCCTACAAGCATTGCGTAATTCGAATTGTCATCGGCATGCACGTTCTTCAAGCGTCGTTCAACTCGGCGGAGCCTAGTGAGCCTTTAAAAGTGTGCACCTTGAATGAAGCGCCATTAAGGTACTCGTCTCGACGAATTCATGGCCGGAGTGATTTCGGATGAGGCGACGAGGAAGAAGATGAAGTTCTTCCTTGGAAATCAGCATATCAAAACTTGTGCGACGAAAAATTTTGTCGATATCGAGCTGGCGCCGAAATCGACGATTGTGGCGAGATTTCACGGCGAAGAATGTTGACATTTCAGCGATTTTTCCGAGAATCTCAACCCGAAATTTGCAGTAAATGCTTTAAATTTGATCAAAGGTGTGAAAGAATGCGAGATCGCCGAGGCGGATGCGATCTCCGCCGAATGGCTCTCGGTGAACACCGTCTATCAGCCGTTCAATTTTATGATCGACAACGATCGCATCCAGAAGCGGCCGCCGACGAACTATGCATCGACGTCGACGTCGTTCAACGAGCCGCCGGCGAAATCGTCGATGCCTAAATGGATGATTAAAGGGAAAAAATAATGATTATTTTTTACTGCATGATTTTTCCGTTTTGTACAGCGGGTTCATATCCAACTAGCCCTGTTCAAATAAAAAATAACGTTTCTGGTTTGTTGAAAATTTATATTTTTTCTTGCGAATTTGGTGATACTACGTTCAACTAGGAATACTCAAATGGTAACGTTAGGCGGTGACTTGATCGAGGAACTCATCGAGTTGTTCGTCGTCGAGCACACCGCTGAAGCCGCCAATTTTCTCGCCGTTCTGCAAGAATTGTGGATTTTGCGCGATTTGAAAGACGCGAGTTTTCTTCTCTTATTCATTGATTGCATACAATTTGTTTCAGAAAAAAATCCGCCACAAGAGCCAACTCATTTTCCGCCTAATGCGCCTTTAATCAATGAATAGCGTTAGATCAGAATTTTCAAGAAGGCTTTGAAAATTGAAGTCCAAAACAGCAATTCTCAAATTTCAAGAATTCTTCTTTGGATACTGTAATTAAAGGCGCACGCTGTTTTTAGTCTCTTCAATCTCTATTAAGTTAGCTTAGTCGTTTTTATAATGAAAAATGCTGATCGAAATCAAAAATTGACCTTAAAAGCGAAAATCGTTGGAACCGCGGTGATTCCATAATCCATCGCGATCTCTCCGGCATTGTCGACGTTGATTTTGGCGAGAAGAACTTGACCGTTTCGACCGTTTATCTAAAAATCCATAGTTTTGATTTTTAAAATTATAATTTCCACCTTTTCCTCGAGCCTCGGACCAAGTGCCTGGCATGGCCCGCACCATTCGGCATGAAAATCGGCTATCACTGGAACATCGGAATTGATGACCTGCAAAAATTTTGACAATTTTCCAAACAATTTCTCCGTTAGCACAACTTTTTCGCTGAAATCCTCGGCGGTGTCGACGTCGAAAATGTAGCCGGAACTGTATCTCGCCTGAAAACATCAAAACCTGGCATTCAATTTCGATTTATTTGCCATTTCATCACCGCTTGCGCGAAATTCATCATTGATGGCTTCTGGAATCTTGCGGCGGTTTCGGTGAGTCTCGATCCGAAACGGAAAAGCGTTGAAAGTTTCTGCATCTAAAAACGATTTTTAAAAAAAACAAATGAGATAAATGGCACGTGAAAAATTGCGTCAATGGCCGCGGTTTGAACATGTCAATTTTCGCGGCCATTATTTAAAAATGAGGTTTTTTAGTTATAAAAATTGAAAGACATCGCTGGTAGCTCAAAAACCAATAGGATCCAACAAAATTCGGCTCCGGGATCAAACCGATCCGGAATTCTAGGTAATTTTTCGAATGAGATTGTAAAATTGTCGGTCGGATCCTTGGAATTGAAAAAAAAAACAAAACGGATTCGAATATTAACCAATCGGATCCGACAAATACCCAAAAATCCAATCGGATCCGACAATTTTACAATCTTATCCGTAGAATTTTCAATTAAATAAGGTCGATTCCTGAGCCGAATTATGTCGGATCCGATTAGTTTTTAGTTACCAGAGATGATTTTTTTAAAGAATTAATTGAAAAGTTTTTAATATTTTTCTTTTTGGAACAGTCTCCATTTAAAATAATTTTAATAATTATTTATACAAAACGATTTTTAAAAATATTAATTGAAAAAATACAGAAAGCGCGATGCACCAGAAAAACGCCAGTCAATGCATTCTTGCGCTGTTTTAGTGATTCCTTGTAGATTTAATTCCTTTTACTTGTTTATTTATTTCTTATTATATCAGCAACAACAAGGAACAAAAGAAATTGTCTGGAAGTAAGTACTGCAATAATAACAATTTCAGAATAATTAAATTCGCCCACCAATTGTTTTTCTTAGCAATTCTTTACTACAACGATTTTCACAGAATCAATTATTAAAAACGAATTTATGTATTTAAATAGTATTATTCAATTTACTACTGACAGTCGTAATGTTCGCACTTTTGGCTCGCTGAATTCTTAGAAGTCGTTTGGCCGGTACGCGCATACGATCGTTGACGAAAACCATCACAAGACTGCAATTAATTATTATAATTAAATATCAATTATGATAATTACCCTTCTAAGAATCTCGTGAGCACCATTGATATGCAAGAGCAGCAAAATTGAAACCAATAAGCGTCGAAGAGACGAAAAACCAGTGTTCGATTCAAATTATCAATAAGCATCAGGAATTCTTGAAAAACGTTTTGAATGAACATGACACGACGTCGCGAGCTTCGACGATTGTGCTCAACTCGACTTAAACTGAGGCGAGCCTGGAAATTGCCTTAATTTTATGAACAAAATTGATCTAGAAATACGGAATCTGTTATCAATTTCATCAACGTCGCAATATTGAGCATATTCGAGATGAATGAAACAAAAAGAACGACATAGACGAAAATGTTGGAAAGGGTCCTGGCGCACGGAAAATCTTCTGGAGCCCATGAGAGAAGCTCAAGTCGGAAGAGAAAATGGCAACCGTCTGAATATTGAATTTCTAAAGAATAATTTGTAAAAAATCTACCTTTATTTCCGCCAACTCCAATTAAGGTAGCAATTGCAACTACAACACAAATTGCTATCTGAAATGAGTGTTCGAATAAAAAAATTGAAAAAATCGAAATTACATTTGTCGGATTATGCTTATAGTGTTTCGAGAAATGTCCGGGAAAGTATACGGCGAATGCTCGATTGCTAGTGAGCAACAATTGCGATAAACCGGCCATGATGCCGGCGAACCAACCGAGCACCTGACCGAATAATACATTGAACACCGGCGGCAGATAATAACTATTCCTGAATTCATTTTTATTAGGGTTTGTTTCGGAGATGAAAAAATGGGGACGCCGCAACTAACAATAGTGTGCGCCTTTAATTACTGAATCCAAAAAATTTTTTAAAGTTGAAAACACCTCAAAGTGTCTTATAACCACGGATCAGAGCTGTACGGAACTCAAATTTTTTAAAAATGGAAGACGGAAGGCGGAACAAACAAATTTTAACGGAACACAAACTCAATCTAACTCGAATACTTTAAAATTAACAATGCAAAATTTGAGAATTTCCAAGTGCTCATTAGACAAGGACCTTCTTTTTGTCGAAGAAATTTAATAAGAATACGGAACACGGAGAACACAGGAAAGGAATTTTCGAATTCGTGGATAAAAGCACAAAAAACTGGCTGTAGGAAAAAAATCGAAAAAAAATTTTGGGTCTTGCAGCGACTGACACTAAGAACTATTAGCGCCTTTAAACTTACAAATATATCACTGGGGTGGGCCATATCATAAATCCGTAGCATATTAGGCAATTTATGCAACTTTTGAGTAAACATATTTTGAAAAATCCACTGCGATCAATAAGTTGAGTTAGAAGAATGAAAACCACGAGTGTGTTGGAAATTGCACCAAGAATGCATACCTTCAATTGAGTTCTTTAAAACTTTTACAGAAATTTTAGAAATTGAATAAAAGAAAAGGGTGAATTTTTTGAAAAAAAAAGTTACAACAAAATGTGTGCAATTTATCGTAAGGTGCCACACCAACAGATACCCTACAGTAACCAGAAAAAAAATTTTTTTTAATCAATTATTCTTACCATTAATAAGCTGAAAGCGGCCAAAATTCGAGGCGCATCGGATACATTGGAAACAATTGTCGAATTCATTTAAAATAATAAAACAAAAAAATCCGGGCAAAGCGTTCTTTTTGTTTGTCTTGTTTTTGTCAAATATCCATTCATAAATTTTCGCGGCACGCAATGATTTATTGCCAATATTTGCAGGTGTTTATCATTTTTCGACAAATTTGATTCAATGCACTTTTTCGCTCAAGAATAGTGAGAAAAATTGAACTTTTGACATTTTTCAATTAATAAAACGTATTTGTCATAAATTTTGCAATTTTTTTATTGACACAAAAAAGTTATTTTGCCCATGTGCACGTTCACGATTAATGACGAAAAATTAAAGACTAATCGGACCGATAAAATGTCCGCAGATTGATTTTTATTTATTTCAATTAGTTTATATGATGTTTGATAGAATAATATGTAAAATTATTAATATAGAATTGCTCAGAGAAAATTAAAAATCGGAAAAAATGCAACGTTGAAAATTGATAAATAATCTTTTTTTTTTCTTTTCTCGAAGAAAATTGATGTAAGAAGAAAATTTCGGTTTCATCAAGTACCACAAAATGATTTTTCGATGCTGGCAATTTTTAACGCTTCCATAATTCACAAAATTTGAAGATTTGCGCTAAAAACTTATTTTTTACGAAAAAAATTGTTTGAGTAACATTCTCGACCTGGGTATACCGATTATCCCTGTCTCGACATCCCCTGAACGAGAGCCGAGTCAGTTGATCTCCGAGGCTCGGCATTTGAAGGAAAGGCTCACCAGCATCAGACTGAAGCCTGATGTGGGTCCCCGAATGGCAGCCCATACCCATAATCGGAGTAGAAACGAATGAAGAGGCGACGTCTCGTTGGACCGCGGGCCTGCTGGTGATAGGTAGAGATTTCCGGGAAAAAAATGATAATTCTCAGAACAGTTTCCGCTTTCATCTTTCTTTAATTTCCTGTTTTCTTTACATAAATGCCCTGGTGGTAATTTGCGTGAAATCTACGTATATTAAAATTATCGGGGGATGTTTACAAGGGATCTTCTCTTCCTCTCTCGCTTAAAGGAGCTCATAGGTCTCGGCACGATGAATGCACTGGCAATTGGCTTTGATTATCAAGCGACGCCCCTCACAACAGGAAGGATTACTGTAGAAGGTTGTAATGAGAAAATGAGACGAAATATTCTAAACGAGAGAATAAATGAATTGGAACAAATTGCGAAATAATTGGCAGCAAATATGCGGCATATTCTCGATATTCTCGAATTTCTACCTGCTTCTTCTCATCAAATATTGTTCGCCGAAACAATTGGGCAATTATAAGTACTTGATGGCATACATTTCGGTATTCGAGATATTCTATTCGTTGGTTGATTGCATTGCCGAACCCGTCATCTTCTCATTTCGTTCTTCCTACATTGTTTTTGTTGATTTACACAAAATCTCTTGGTTTCGGCGAGCAATTAAAATCATACTGCACAGTAATTAAACGATAATTGCGACAAATTGAAATCGTCACAATTTCAGAAGTTTATTGTGGATTTTTTGGACTATCAATGGCCATATTTGGTGTGCATTTCTTATACAGATATTTGATAACCAAAGGGTAACATTTGACGCCTTTAAAAATTATTTGTTAAAGGACAAAAATGATGTTTTCTTTTTAAATTTTTTTTTTGTGGCGAGACCATAATTAAAGGAGCAATGTTCAGGAAGAAGGTGTCCTTAACAACGATTGGTGTTTGGCTGACGATTCCCATATTTTACTTTTTCGTCTGGATGTCAATTGTGGTAGTCCTTCTCGGACCATTTGATTATTTTTCACAACAACTCAGGTTTGATTGGCTTCATACTAATGCGCCTATTCAGACAATATCCTTTACCGTTTAGTCATTAATTAAATTTTTAATTACAATTAAAAACATAGAAATACGAAAAAATTGGTTGTCGTCAGGCAATGGGCTGAAACAATGTATGAATTTTGATAATATTGTCGACTTCTGTACGCGGGCAGATTTACGCGGATGCTAATTTCTCTTGGTAAAAAATGAAATGTCAAACTCATCAAGAAAAAATAATTTAAAACAAACAAAGCACGCGTACAGTAGTCACCGGACGCCGACTATACGAAATTTGAAAATAACCGCCGTAAATCGCTTCACGGATTATGGTAATGCGCATCGGTGTATTGCGTACAAAACACAGGATCCCACGACACCTCGACGCATTTCTCGTTTTTCATCAATATTTCAACAAATATCAGAAAATTGCCGCCAAATTCACACAATCGATACCTATTTAAATCTCGCAGTGTTTCAGACAGCCGGTATTTCAAAATTTCCACATAAGCATCAGAAATATAGAATATATGGGTCCGTATTTTTATCCAATCGACTTCAACGGTAACCAATTTTTCAATTATAACACAATTTACGGCATCGCAATTCTCACGTTGATAATTGTAGAAATTATATATTTAAAAAAACACCTAAAAACTCCTTATTTAGGCATCTTCCATGTTGAGTGTATTCTATTTTGGCCATAAATGCTATTTGCACATTCAGAAGTTTACAAAAAATGCAAACTCCATAATGATTCCATGCGTTCTAATGTATATTCCAGCATTAGTCCTATTCACCACTTGCTTCCTTGATCAAAATCTCGAAATGGCCAGCAATTTTATCAATATTTCGATAGCCATGTATCCAGCAATCGATCCGCTTCCCACGATTTTTGTCGTCAGACGATATCGAAGTGCCACAATTGGTTGGAATTCCAACAAGAAATATTGAAGCTACTCATTGTTTTCTTTTTTCAGAATTCCTCAAAAGGATTATCGATCGCGTTGGGCTCGTTCGAAAATTGTTTCGAAAATTGTCCCGTTTATAAGTCTCGCCTAATCTCCAACAATTTTGAATTATACAAGTTTTTTTTTTGCTATAAAAGGCCCTAGCAAGAACTGTTTCCCACAGGCTTGTAAAAAATAATGTACGGCCGCGGCCGCCTATCACGAAACAACGGATACGAAAATAACAATTTAGATTGCTCTCGTCATTGTTCTTGAAAATGGTTGCCATTTGTCATCCCTGACGTTCATCAGAATAATCTGAAAATTTTGAATTGAGAAGTTGAATGGTGTTTAACTTGATTGAAATAAATACAGTGCTCCACATAACTATATAATATAAATCATAAATAACATTTTGAAAAAATGCGCATATTTTAATAATTAAAACCATCTCTGGAGGTGTTCGCGTTTTCGAGTTATTCGACAAAATTGGGGTGGGTATATAGTTATGTGGGATTTTCGGGAAATGCGATCAGCGCGTTTTTCGCGATTCTCACCGCTGCCTGCTTCTAATCAAATTCAAATCACTTAAAAATTGGGCAATTATAGTTAGTACATCTACAATTGTGCCTATTTAATCCTGACCGATAGAAATGGAAATTCGTATTTCAGTATTCTCAGGCAAATCATGTGAATTTTGGCACTTCTCCACCCTTTAGTACTTCTAAAAAGGCACCAAAAGGTAGTCCATCATGACAAATTTCCCTCTCGGGAGGCTAAGGCTTCATTTGAGCAGTCCAAGACTGCTCAATTTGCAAACCCTAGGCTTGAACAGTCCCAGACTGCTCGAGCCTTCAAGATTCATCTGCCTCCCTCGGTCTTGGCCCCTCGGGCCACCGACATGCTCCCCGAGCATGGTAAGAGGCTTCAACAAAACATGTAGAAAAGCAGCAGAAAAAACCGACCGCTTGCGGTCATAACAGCGCTCAGAACTAATTAATTTAGGCCAAATTAATCCATTTGTTTACTCCCAAATCCTACCTAATGGCGTTGCGGCGGGAACCCGTGGGAAAATCGCCATAGACTTTTACCGTCTGCGTCTATTCATTAGGGTTGCAACCGCGCCCCATCGCACAGTGTAGATTTACGACCACATTTTCGAATTTATTTTTCCTCTCTCCTTTCCATTTTACCTCTATCTTTTCCATTTATTTTCCCTTTTTCAGGTCAAATCGTCCAGGTTTTGACAAATCAAATAAAATATTTTGAGAATCAAATATTCAATGATAAACTCTAAAATATTTTGAGAAAATCTAAAGTTTATTGATATTTTCTACAATTTATTAAGAACAGATATATTTAAAAATATTTTTTTTAATCTTATAAGATTTTCTAAAATTTATTGAGTAAATTCTAAATTATCTCAATAAATTCTAAAATCTTATAATAATTTCTAAAATTCATTGAGAAAAATCTAAAATATTATAGAGACACGATAGTTTCTCAATGAATCTCAAAATATTTTATTGAATTTACCTGAGTTCCGACACTCGCAGACCTCGCCATTATATGTATCTATCAGAGATTTCCGGTAAATAGCGATATTTCTCATACAATTTCCGCTTTCTATGTTCTCTTCTTCGACAATAAACGCTTTGTCCAAACACTGCCATTTTTGGTGAATGAAAAATACCCTGAAAAACCAAACTGAAAAACGTGGATTTGGATGATGAATAAAAATATGATGTGAATTTCATAATTTCTTCACCTATCCCTGGGGGTTCGAAATTAGTAGTCCATTATGACGAACATTCCTTTTCCTTGGCGGGGCTGAGCTGTGGCTATCATCATTAACCCGTCCGTGCTCGAGAAATCAACAGAATTATCCTTGGGTAGTCCTAGACTGTTAAACAAAAACATTTTCCAAGGAAAAATAGACCACTGACGAAAAAAAAAAATTGAAAGTGAACTGACTAATTTCCCACTTCCACGGCCTCTCGATCTCTGACGTCGCGACGAGAGCCCGTGGTAATGTGCGCAGTCGCTGCAAGACCCAATTATACTGGTGGTAAAACTCTTATGATGAGCGTTGGGATCTTTTCTTCCTCTCTCGCTTAAAGGAGCATGGGTCTCGGCACGATGAATGCACTGGCAATTGGCTTTGATTATCAAGCGACGCCCCTCACAACAGGAAGGATTACTGTAGAAGGTTGTAATGAGAAAATGAGACGAAATATTCTAAACGAGAGAATAAATGAATTGGAACAAATTGCGAAATAATAGGCAGCAAATATGCGGCATATTCTCGATATTCTCGAATTTCTACCTGCTTCTTCTCATCAAATATTGTTCGCCGAAACAATTGGGCAATTATAAGTACTTGATGGCATACATTTCGGTATTCGAGATATTCTATTCGTTGGTTGATTGCATTGCCAAACCCGTCATCTTCTCATTTCGTTCTTCCTACATTGTTTTTGTTGATTTACACAAAATCTCTTGGTTTCGGCGAGCAATTAAAATCATACTGCACAGTAATTAAACGATAATTGCGACAAATTGAAATCGTCACAATTTCAGAAGTTTATTGTGGATTTTTTGGACTATCAATGGCCATATTTGGTGTGCATTTCTTATACAGATATTTGATAACCAAAGGGTATTATTGAGAAAATTTATAACAAAAAATTTCGAAATATCACCACCAAAAAAACATTTTGCTGCTAGATTTAAAGGAGCAATGTTCAGGAAGAAGGTGTCCTTAACAACGATTGGTGTTTGGCTGACGATTCCCATATTTTACTTTTTCGTCTGGATGTCAATTTCGGTTGTCCTTCTTGAACCGTTCGATTATTTTACCCAACACCTCAGGTTTGAATCGATTCGAGTGGATGCGCCTTTAAATAATGTCTCGAAATGTTTGAGAGAGCCATTATTTCAAAATTTCAACATAAGCATCAGAAATATAGAATATTTGGGTCCGTATTTCTATCCAATCGACTTAAACGGCAACCAGTTTTTCAATTATAACACAATTTACGGCATCGCAATTCTCACGTTGATAATTGTAGAAATTATAAATTTAAAAAACACCTAAAAACTCCTTATTTAGGCATCTTCCATGTTGAGTGTATTCTATTTTGGCCATAAATGCTATTTGCACATTCAGAAGTTTACAAAAAATGCAAACTCCAAACTCTCGCAGAATTTGCAATCGCAGCTCTTCAACGCCCTCGTTCTTCAGGTTTCTAATTAATGAATTAATTATATTAATTGCAATTAATTACAGACATTGATTCCATGCGTTCTAATGTATATTCCAGCATTAGTCCTATTCACCACTTGCTTCCTTGATCAAAATCTCGAAATGGCCAGCAATTTTATCAATATTTCGATAGCCATGTATCCAGCAATCGATCCGCTTCCCACGATTTTTGTCGTCAGACGATATCGAAGTGCCACAATTGGTTGGAATTTCAAAAAAAAAAAAGAAAAACAGTTAGTAATTCGTTTGCAGAATTGCTGAAGTGCATTCTCAAGTGCCTAACAAAGCTCATTCGAAAATCGAGCAACTTGAATGTGGTCTCGTCGAGAAAAAAAGCAATCGGCTCATAAGAGAATTTCATTTGTGGAATTCGCATTGTTTTTATTAAAATTATTTGACGCCAACGGGGCGGGTCGGGGCGGGTCAGGGTGAAAATTTCACCGATCCGCCCGGGCCCGTCCGACCCGCTAATAGATTTTTGAAGAAAAGTTTATTATAAAAAAAATCGAAAATGAAACGAAAACAATGAAAGCCGGTCCAATCATTTTTGTTTGGGGACTTCTGAGCAATTTTTGTTCCACTTACTTTCTTAGTCACTTAGTCGGTTCGTCCTTCGCCTATTGCCGTGTCCAATTCCGCGGCCGCCACTCCGTTAGAAGAGTAGTCCATCTTCCATCTGTTCTTCTAGCAACGTGTCCAGCCCAGGTCATCTTCCTCTTCGTAATGTGATGTAGGGGGTCTCGAACTTTAGACATGATGCTGATGTCCTCTCGATGAAGATCTTGTTCACGTTGTTGTGATAACGTGAGGCCAACCAATCTTCGCTCAAGCGCAGCGTGACTAATTCGGACAGCAATTAATTCTACTCAAATAAATGCAATTCGAAATTCTTATTACGCTAAAAAAAGGCCTCGCTGTAAACTTGGAGTGTCGTTGGGGGTATGTTTGACGTATGTTTGAAGCAACAGTTTTTTTCTACGTCTCCTTTTACCGCACACTCTTCTAGTGTAGATCCGGAATATCGTAGAAAATTCTAGATGCATGTCTGAAATGGATATAGAAGGTCGCGCATTTCTATTGTAATGGTAGTCAGCCTCTTTCCGATAAATGCTTCTTCTCGTAATATTGATTGGACCACTCAAACCTCATCGCCCGGAACATCGTTCCACTTTAACAAGCGATCCCGATGTCCACAGCAATAATATTTAGTACTACACAGATTTGAAAAGAAACTCAAAAAAAAAACTTAAAACAAAAAGCTATGCAGATGACAAAAAAACTCGGAAATCCTGCAGTATAACGTATTATTAAATCGCTACAAGAATCCATGCGCAAATGTTTTTCAATTTCTCTTAAAGGCGCATATGGTAAATATCCTTGCAGCGATTAAAAAAACAGAAAGACGGGAAGCGGAAGAAAATTTTTTTTACGTAAAATGTAAAACGGAAATATAATGTCACGGAAGATGGCATTGAGCCGAATTTTCCATGAGCAAGAAATTGTCGCCGTATTTCCTTCGTCTAACCATCTTAAAAAAATATAGAAAATAAAAAACAAAAATCGAATTTCGAAAATAAAAAATCTGTTCCTTTTTGCGTAATGTCCACTGCGGACTTCGCTACCGTAACGCACAGAAATCAATTAATACATTTTTTCCGAATCTTTTTCGTTTTTTTTATATTGAAGTAACTTTTTTTGCGCAACACGGAACAGTTAAATGTCATGAAAGACGGAATTCTGTGCAGCTCTGGTCTGCATTGCGTATTTTATTATCCGAAATAACCAACCTTCAATATAGGGCAAAGGAAATTGAATTGGCTAATTAATATTGGGAACCAAATACGTCGTTGTCATCCCAAATGCGATCGACGCAAGATTTGTGCGAGCGCGTCGCTGAGTTCAGCGCGTTTTTCGCGATTCTCACCAATGTCTATGTTTTGACACCTCAAACTTGGGTAATTAAACCTTTTATTTAATAAACGAGGCAAGAATAAAATATAAGTAGGTTATAAAACTAACAAAAATACAAATAGAAAAAGCAATAGTTCATAGCGAGCCACAATGTTAATAATGATTGATCATCGTTGTAACACTCACAAATATTGCATCAATGGGCGTGTCTGAACAGTGCTGACGAGCACACTCCCCGGGCCTACGCTTAAGTGACTAATACACTTGAGTTTCAAAACACAATTAAAATTTAGAAACAAGAAGATAACAGAATTGGCAAAGTTCAAAATTAAAATCTAACATTGTATATGTAAGAACGATAAGTAACAACTATTATTCTTCAACCAATTTCGTAATGGCCTCCCGGCTTCAGAAAAAAAAACTTCATCAAAATTTGCGCCACTATTCACGATGTTTAAGTTAAAATTAGTGAAAGATAGATTTTTTTTTTACACAAAAGCATTATTATTGTTAAGCATACACATCAATTCACTCAAGAAAGTTAAAAAAAAAACTTACGCAGTGTGGTCTTTGCGCTGTGTGGGCTTGCATTTGCGACAAATTTTGAAAGGAAGGCTGATAAGTTTCCAAAGAAGAGATTTGAACAAGTTGCACAAAAACAAGTAGCTGCAGAGTATAATGACTATAACCGTAGCTATTGCGATGAAAACGTATTCCATGTATTGGAAGTATGTTTCCAAAAGAAACCAAAAATCTGGTAATTTCCATTCATCATAGATTTTTGTTTCTCCGTTCAGTATGCGGCTCATTGAACTCCAAACGTCGGCCTCAAAACGTAGGATTCCTTCCAAGTTGAATTGATTTATCGTCTTTCCGCCACAGTCGATCGTGCATTTTTCTGTAATCCTTGCTTTGTCAAAAAACATGTTCGCCGTATTTCCTTCGCCTGCCGGCGAGCATTTCACTGCGGCCCTGTGATTTCCACACTCCACATCTCCAGTCAATTGTTCCTTTAGTGAATGGCATTTTAAGGAAATTGTTGCTCCTTTGGCACAATTGTAGCAACCCGTCAGTTCGACGTTTGAAATTCTGCACTCATCGCTGTTTTTGACAATCATCAATTGAGAATCGTCTTCGATTTTCAACACAAGTTCAGCATTGTTTATTTCTGTCGATTTCATAATTGCAGTCCCTTCATCGTCAGTCTCCAATTTCCACAAGTTCCGTTGCAGTGGTAATTTTCTGTGAATGTCATGGTATTCCTCCCATGAGTTCTTGCATTTGCAATTCATTTGTGTTTCAGCTGGTACACATTTACAATTTTCTTCGAATTCACAGTTTAACAATTCTGCTTCTTTCAGTGATTTGCATCTTAGCTCAGGGAATTTCCCGTTCGTCCATAAACTTGTCGATTGGTTTCCTTTCATAAACCATTCGCTGTTGATCGATGATGTTGGAAGGCTCACTTCTTGTAGATGAATGGACATTTTTCCCAGTGTGTTGCCTGTTTCAAGTGTCACATTCCATTGTTTCTTGACATTTTTGAAGCTCCGCAACCGAGTTTCCGTGATTTTGAACACAATTTCATGCTTCCAATCGCATCTGTACAATTCCATGATTTCTTCGTTGATCGGTACTGCGTATATTCTGTATAGAATGCATCCTGAGCTGGTGTAAAAACAATCACACCCCCATCCACCACATGATTCACTGCAACCCGTCGTCCCTGGAAATCGATTGACTTCGTCCAGTTCTGTCACTTTCGAATTTTCTGTGATGTTGGCGCATTTGTTTTCCGTACACGATCCCATTCTAGGGCATCTTTTCACACTTAATACTTTTTGTTCTGTTTCTCTAGAAAACGCGATGGTATTTTTTATGCATTTCATTCGCGATTCTATGAATTCGATCTTCAATTCTCTCAATGTTATTGCATTTTTTGTTACTCGCAAACATGCTTCACGTGTCCACGAGTTAAATGCAATGTTCTCCTTGATGTTCCATGCGCATTTTTCGTGATCTGCGCTCTTTGTACATAGCAAATTCCGTGATTCTGTAACATCGACTTCTTGGCATCCATTCGTTATCCCAAAGTGAACTAATACTAATGCTATAGAAACTGAATCCCAGTTGATTCGTCGTCTTCGTCTTTTTTCTATAAATTTTTCTGCAAACCATCTGAATAATGGTAATACCGTCCATTTCCCAAGCTTCACTGTTATTTGCAATATTGAAAAGCATAGTTTGATCAGGATTCTTGTTACAACCGACACAATCCATATCAAGTTTGTCATCATAGTGCACATACATCCGATAGTTACAAGAAAAAGAAATAGTATTGTGGTCGTCGCAATTGCTTTGATTGGGTGACAGTGTGGATTCAATATTAGTTCAAGGCATACGAGGCAATCGATCTCCTCACAAAATTCTCTTTTTGATGGATTACATGATTTCGATTCCATTATCCATGTCGATCCTTTTCGAGCTTTCATTTTTAATTCAAAAAGTCGTGTTCTTCTGCTCGGTGATATCCATAATTCTAAGTCCTCATTATATGTTGTCGATTTAATGCAGTAGCCATCAACGCAGATTTCGGAAATTTCAAATTTATCGGCTTTCAGCTTTCCTCCAGTTGGTACACATTCCATATGAGATTCGTGTGCTCTTGTTCCTGCTATCAGCATTGTTATCAAAGCAATTGTCATCCATCCAATTGTATTCAGTGATGGTTTTTTCATCGTCACATTGATACAGTTATCTTGACGTTCCTCCTCTTCTCCTTCTTCGCGGTAGTTTACTGGTTTCCGTTCTCGCAAGTTGTATCTTTTGATGTTTCCATCAGTTTCGCTTACGTTTGGACTTTCTTGTTTTTCTTCATCATTCGTGAATGTTTCTTCTGGCAATTCTAGTGGCACAATCGTATTCACTGGTCGTCTGAGTCGTTTTTTGTTAGCGGTTTCGACTTCGACTTCGCGAATTTTTCCATCTGCACTTTCCTTGATTTCGACAATTCTTGCCAATTTCCAGTGATTTCGTGGCGTTAAAGTTTCATGCAATAAAACAATTTTTCCAATTGTAGGGATTTCTGTGCATCCTCTTTTGTTGTTCATGGATCTCTTGTGGTTCGCTCGCAGATCTCGCATATATTCTGTTTGCCAAATGTTCCACATTTTGTTCAGTTGTTCCTTGTGTGCTGTTATCCATGTCATCGCGTCTTGTTTTGATTGAAGTCGCGCTGCATCTTCTGCTGGAACAAATGCTCCAATGACTGGGTCTTCAACTTCTTCGAATGGTAGATTGAGGTGAACTCCTGGGTTGATCAAGTCAATTGGCCGTAATGACTGGAAATCATCGGTTTCCGATCCAATGTAAGTTAGTGGGCGAGAATTCAACATTCCGGCGATTTCCATCATTGAAGTTTGCAATTGGTCCCATTCAA